GGAAAATAAACTGTGGGTTTGTTTTTGTTTTTGTTTTATTATTATTAATATTTTGACCTGGCTGTGAGGTAGTAGAGAATGAAAAATCATGTGGTGTGCTGGCAATTCTGAAGTGATGTGAGGGAAGTTTTTGGCAGTCCAATAATTTTGGGACCTTACACAACAACAACCAATCATTTAAATTTTCTAACTTTAATGCTTCACTATGGTCAAGTAGTAATTTGACATTTCGCTTCTCCATTTTACGATTATCGATTAAATTTATGATCTAAGCATAGTTCATCTGAGTTACAAATCAGTCTCGAGTATTAGTAAGTGAGATTGTTAAAATATTAAATGCCCAATAGCGTGGAGAGGCTTATTGGATGATAAATTTCATCCTCTAAACCAATCCCCAAGTGGTAGCTTAATCTGCCCCTTGAGCTCGACTAATAACGAACTTGAAGAACCGCCTGCTTTATGCATTTTTTTTTTTGAATATCCACTCATTTTTAATTCAATATTCTTCTATAACTTTATTCAATTCTTCTGTAACTTTATGAAATCCACTTCTAGCAGTGCCTCCATTTCACCGTCGTTCCTCTACAACTACCTTTCGTCCAACATGATCACGAACGATGACAGGGAATTGCGCGGATTACTCCTTTTGCTCCTCAGAGTACGGGGTATTAGCCGTCTCATGCCTCTAATCTAAAGCTTTAGTCTAATCTTAGACAAAAGAGCAAGGAGGATATGAAGCACTATTGAGTAGACCAGGACTCCAACCAGGGTGGTTCATGATGGGCACTAATAAAAGACGGTCTCAAGCAGGGAAATTCAGGATCGAACAAATGGAAAAATATGCTTCAAAATACTTTGAGCCAGTCTACACCAACAACTCGTCGTTATCCTGTTATATTTAAAATAACTCAGTAAACGTAGACAAAAAATAATATCCAATATATGAGCAGACAATGTCCTGTAATGTAAGTTGAGACTTTCCATTGAAATCATCTGGACAGAGCCTTCTAACAACTAAGCCATATTCAAGGTTTTAAGTAGGAACTGTACAAGAAAATTACCAGATCATAACAACAATCTGCACAAGAGCAAATCAAAAGACAGGACCTCATACACTTAATTGACGGTACACCCTCAGAATGTCATGGAAAGCATGAGATGATACAACAAAGCAGAATTGACAATGAATACAGAAGAAATCGAGGAGATGATCAGAGGATTAACGACACAGGCACGAGGTAAGTTTTCCATTAGCTAATGACAGGCATAACCATCAACTTGATCGAGTTCCCCATAAAATAAAGATAACTTTCCTCAATCTGTATTATAAGCCCATCCATGTTTATCTAGAAATGCTTGTACTGCTTCCTTTATGGCTAAGTTTGGTACTAGCTGTGACTCGCTGAGTAGCTCACGCGTGATGGGATCGAAATTACCCACCTAGAAAAGGAAGAAAAGGGTTAGGATTGTAGCTACGAGACATGGAGGATGGCAAGGCGGGAAAATGCCGGTGCAAGATGTAATGTCACCTTCCGGAAATGGTCAAGAATCACCGCTCTCTCATATGTAACCCCGCTAGGTGTAATAACAGGATCGCGAAGAATATCAAGCGTGATTTTACAACAAAGATAATCAGGCACCTGAAAATATCAAATGAGTACCTCCACAGGATTTTAATGGAAAATGTTATGTGACAACAATGAAAAAACTGAATATAGCAGCAACCATCATGCTTACCTCAGATGGCGCATCCGCATCTGCAACTTTCTCGAACACACTTCTTACAGCCTTTAACTGTTTCCGATGAGCAATATCGGCTTCGTCTATGAACCCTTCTAGTTCAGAATGGTCAAGAAAATACTTTTGTTCAAGGGCTACCTCACAAGCTTCTCTGAGAACAGTAAACTCATCAAAATCAAAGAAGGGAAACAGAATAGATAATACCAGAAAACCACAGAGAAATCCCATCTTCTTTTTGAAGTCAATGATAATGATTATTGACTTTTTCAGAGGGGAACAGAAAAAACTTACTTCAAGTTTTACAGAAATGTGGAATATGATTATTGACTTCAAGAGTGGCATAGATCCAACTCTAGAAACCAAAATCCTGAACTCAGAAAATACTTACTTCAAGGTTTGCAATTCCCATGAACGTTTGGTGAAAGCTTGTTCCCACTCCCTGTATTTTGCTTTTGCAAGCTCCTGCCATATCTCTTCTACTATATAACTCTTCGGGTTTGCCCCCCTACCAAGATCCAAAGCCTTAAAAAAAAGGTCGAGTTAAATTTATGTTCATATAAACATGTCTCGAGTACAAATACTAATGATCTAAAATATTGTTGCATTCAAAATTGATGAATTCTTATATTCTTGAAGAAATTAGCTTGACCAAAACGTTCCCTGAAGAAATAAGTCAACACCACAAAAGTTATGCTTAGGGAAATTGCAATCTTCCAAATTGATTGGCTATATTTCCTAATAATGCAGTAGTTAATTGGACTTCATTAAACTTCAATTCTTTGAAAATCGTTCTGATTTCATTGCAATAGTGATAGTGATAGGACTCAAGAGGGTTAAGACAGAAGATCCTCTGGCTTGTGATAGGACACAAAGTGACAAGACATGATGGTAGTACACCAGGGGTCCAGGGGAAATAAGATTCTCTAGCTTCAACTTATTAGAGCCTTCTTTTCTCGACAACTTGTCTTTTGTGACTGAGTGGCTCTCTCCCTGATGTATACATTATATGTACCCTTCAGAAACTATAGTTTAAATGACCTTTGCGTTGCCCCAATCGAACGAATCTTTTGTTATGTTGTCTCCTACCCTTCAGCAACTTGTCTTTTGTTATGTTGTCTCCACCCAACTGCTAGATTCTCTGGCTTAAATTTTTACTAGACCTTCTTTGGAATCTACGGCTAGAAATAAAGAAAAGAACGTTTGACGGCTAAGAGAAGTATTTTGACACATCTATTGACAACTTTTCTTTTGGGGCTCTCTCTTGATGTGTGCACCCTTCAGCATCTTTGACAGCTAAATTGACCCGTGTGCCAATTAGACAAGTTTTTGATAACCTGCCATGGTTTTTATAATTTATAATATCTATAAAATTTCTTTCTATCTTTTTTTATTTTCTAACAAGAAACGAGACATTTTGTCCTATTAATGAAAAGAAACAAAAATTTTAACAAACTCCAAAGAGGAGTAAAAAGAAGAAGAAAAAAAATACAAACTAAATTGGGAAAATGAAGGAAAATTCTTCACATAATTTCGATAATGAACACCATCGAGAAACATATAATCTAGCCAACTCAAAACAATCGATTTAACTACAATGTTATCTTAAAAAATCTGTTGATTTCACTCCAACCAAATTTCCGAAATAATGACTTCGACCCAATTATTTATTATTATTATTTTTTTTAATGAGAAACAGTGAAGATCATATCAAAAACAACAAAAGGGAACAACCTAAAGACGTCGGGGGGAGGGATCCCTATAGCTAAAAAGTACATCCAAATACAAAAATGAAAGTATATTCAAGAGACCCACTACTCCTACTCTCTCGACAATAAAAATGTAATGTCTAGCTAGATGGCAGCTGCTTTTATATTAGTACTCTGATAGAAACCAAACAGCTAAAATATATTGAAAGAAAGATAGAAGGACTACAATAATCCCCAAGTAATTCAAGGTACTTGGACCCTCCCCTTTTGAAATCACTCAAGCCTAAACCATACTAAATAATTGCCTACCTTCATCCTTTCCTCCTCACTCTTATAATAAATCTCTACTAACCAAATCATTAACTAATTATTAATATACCCTTACTATTCTATTAATAATCCTGATTACCCAAGAATCATTCCTATCATTCTCCCCCTTAATTCTTAGCTAACCAACTGATATCACTTCCTCTATTACTATTCTTTCAGCTATGCAGCATGAAATGGGAGGAGAACCTCATCCTTAGAGCACCTTGAAAGGACTAGAGCAGGTGCCTGTGTGAGATGAGGTGTTGTAGTAAAACTGTCCATCCTAAACGTGCCCATGCTCCCCCTTCTTTGAAGTCTTTGCTTCCATTTGGAATTTTAAAATTCCTAAGAAAGTCGAGGTATTCTTGTGGTCCTTGGCTTATAGGAGCCTAAATACTCAAGATTCTCTCCAAAAGAAGTGTAAGAATGGGTCTATCCCTCAGTTTGCAGTCTATGCAATAGGGATGGTGAGGCCATAGACCACACCTTTTCATACATTGTTCTTTTGCGGCCCAGGGTTGGTTTTTCTTGCTGGATAATTTTGGCATTTCAAACTGGGTCCCCAGCCAGATTAATGGTTGGCTAGCTGGTTTGTTCCTAAAAAAGCTAGATTCCTCTAGAATTGTGCTGCGAGAGCCATTTTTGGCACGTTTGGTTAAAAAGGAACCGGTGTACTTTTGAAGATAAAATTCATACTTTTGATTCTTTTTGTAGGATTGTAAAACACACTTCTTCTTGGTGGTATCTCGGAGGGGGTTATCTCTACCCCTTTCCCTTGGGCTGTTTCGGTTTCGACTTTTTGTTTATAATATATTTGTCTTAGGAATTTTATGAACAAAAAGAAAAAAAAAACGTCCAGGCCAACACATAGCCCATCGCTTGGTTTTGTAATTGCACATCTTAAATATGCTTCCAAACCTCTGTTAACCATCCTCACAATAATTTGTGGATGGTAAGGTCAGCTGTGTGTTGTACTGTCAAAGAAGTTTGGACCGATACAAACTTGAACCATAACCCCATCTAAAGACCAACTTCTGGACATCTTAACCACCTGACCAACCATTTGTGGATGATTCTGGATCACACCCTTTTATCTAACCTTTTGGACCTCTACGGGTGACGACAGGGCCCTATTACATGATCCTTGCTTCTGTTAGGTGGTAACCTTGGCAGCCAGCTGAGTTTAACTTTCACTAACACACCTTCTGTCTCATCCCTTAAGACTTAAGAGTTACATCATCAATTTCCAATAGATTAGGGAGATATACTTGAGAATGCGATGATTTGCCACTCAGCCACCGTAAACTTAATTTGTAAGGTTTTCCCGAACAGTTGTAGATCCCAACATAGACCGCCATTTGGATACTCAACATAACTCCCCAACGGTAATACTATCACTATCGTCGGGTCTTATAGCTTAAACACTACTTTGTTACACACAACCCCTGTGCCAAAGCTCCAGTCACCATCACCACCTACTACACACCTTTGCGTGTTAGTCATAAGACCACCCTTTTCCATATAACTATAGCCATGTTGATTGCTCCTCCACGGCAATCTCTTGTTTCCCTTCCTTCTCTTAATCATGAACCTTCATCACCTACAACTCTCTTACGAACCATTATGGGTGGATCATTGGTCCAAAGGGACTAAGGTTAATTAAGAGGGAATGGGTTCAAATCCCATGATGGCCACCTACCTTAGGAATTAATAATTCCTGTGTGTTTCCCGGCACCAAATGTTGTAAGGTCAGACGGTTGTCTCGTGAGATTAGTCGAGGTGCACGTAAGCTGGCCCAGACACTCACGGATATCAAAATAAATAAATAAATAAACAACTCTCTTACTTAGGCTCTCAGAATCTACGTTGCAGCCATGAACTTTTCATCAGATATAATACACAAACTCTTCTCCTCCCTAGGCAACCTTTACTCAGAGCTGCAAGGGAACTTAAAAAGGTAGTTCCTATTGATAATCCAACGTATTATCCATTAATTTACCTTCACAACACTGTCCTCATTCTGTCCATCAAAATTCGAAAATTCCTCTCAAAAGGTAACCTATCAGTTATTTCTTCCTCCACATGTGTCGTTTCTTTCTAACACTTCTTTTTCTTTTTTTTTTCTTTTGGTATGAAACAAATATTTCATTGATGGTATGAAATATACAAAAGGCCACTAAGGTAATTACAAGAAAGCTCTCCAACTTGTAATAAGATCATTTAGAGAGTAATTGTTAAAAGGGGTAAAAACATTTACACCAACTCAAAGCTAGAACAATAACTTTATGAAGAAAGTTTTCAAAAGAGAGGGTTTTATCATTGAAAACCCGATGGTTCCTTTCTAACCATAAGGACCATAAGATCATTTTTTTCTATGGATGTGTTCAAATCATGCTGTGATTTTCTCGTTCGAAGACTCAAAATTATATTGCTCTTATTTCATTTTCATAGTACTTAAAGCACAATTCTTATCAAAATATCTAAATACATGCAAAATGAGAATAGAAACTACCTACCATCATACAAATATAAGAGACTCCCGCAGGTTCCTTGCCAGACTAACCCCTAGTTATCTCCTATTTTCTCCCCTTGAAAATATGCATATATCATAGTAGACAATCCAATCTTCTTCACAGTTTCATCTATATGATAAAATTAATTGTTTTTATCCCAAAAGCAAAGTTTGACAAGAAATAATAATAACAAATAAATCAACAGTTACCTTCTCCAAATGCTTGATTCCTGCTGGATATTCTTCATTTTGTATTAATGATAGTCCTAACATATAATGTGCCTGCAAATAAAAAATTGCCAACAAATATGAAAAACAAGGAAATCAAGAGGGAAACCATAAAAAATAAAAAATAAATAGGAAGGGAGGATTATCGTTAATCAACATTTCAAGATCAGACAAATGCATGAAAATTGAAAATATGTAGGGCGGTGGGAGGAGGAAGCAGGATTTGAATCATGCGCTATGCAGCTATATCACAACATTTTCTTCACCACCAAAAAATTTCTGGATATGAATGTCAAGACAGAGGCAATATAGTGGAGCGGAATGCAAAGTTTTGAAACAGAAATGCTCATATGAGAAATTCTGAATCTATGACACAAAAGATATTATAGACTTAATAGAAGTAAAGGAAATTTAAATTGGCCCATCCAACAAGGAGAGGGTTATAAAAAAATTCAATATGAAACTGATAGGAATGAAGAGTGGGAATCAGCATAAAATTTTCATTATTGTGTTCACTGTTCACTTAAATATGATTTAGAATATGTAAATGGAAATGGTAAAAGTGACTGCTAATGTTTTCTATAAAGGTAAGAAGACGTGCTTCCAAACTGATAAAAGCATTAGAATACAAGGAAGCAATAATACCTTGACAGAATTGGTATCAAGCTGAATAGCTCTCCGGCAATCCTCCTCCACCTTCTTCCAATCACTAATATCATTTAAAAAAAAAAAGGTAAACCAAGTATAGTTACCACAAGAAGAAGTTTTCATTCTTCTCCTCAATCAGGAAGGGGGAAAATAGATTAAGAGAAAGAATTGAAAGGAACAAGGATAGGTGCCCGTACATACTTCCGCTTGCGATGACACAAAGCACGGTTCGTCAAATACACAGGAACATTGGGGCAAAGCGTAATTGCCTTCAAAGCCAAACAACAAAAGTACCCCAAAATCAATAAAGACGATTAAAATCTACAGAACCCACAATCAATTGTTCAATCTGCTAATTCCAATGAAACCCAAATAGTAATCACAAACAACAATCCAAAACAGGCGCGCGCAGCGAGAGAGAGAGACCTCGGTATAGGCTTCGATGGCGGCTCCGAGTCGACCTTTCTGGAAGTAGTGGTTGCCGTCCTTTCTGAGAAGCTCGGCCTGTTTTGCCGCGCCAGACAAGGCCACGCCCGGCCCCATCACAATCTACGGCGATTCTGTATGAAAGCTTTGTGGGTTTTGTACGGGTCAGGCAACAGAAAAGAAAAGAGAGATTCTTGCACAAGTGGGATTTGATGAAGATTGATTGGGCGAATGAGGGAGATGATGGAGGAAGTTCAGATTATGGAAAACGGAAGAAAATAGAAGCCAAAGGAGAGAGCCATCTCTTTTGCTTCAGAGAGAAGAGAAGAGGGACGATTTCAGGCAAAAGATGTTTGACGCCAAAGTCTACATCTTGCTTTAAATCTTTTGTACGGATAATCAGAAATTTCCCATTGTTTTTCTCTCTCTCTCTCTTTTTCTTTTTTCTTTTATTTTCTATCTAAATAAACACCATTTTTTTTTTCTTTTAACTCGAAGGAAAAAAATGCAAATCCCACAAATTTAATATATTTTTTTTGGGGTTAGAGAGTAACTTTTAGTTTTACTATAAATTTTACCATGTGATATGTACAGTTCAAAAGTTCGATTTCTTATCTCTACATTCATTTAACTATAAAGAGTTATCAAGTGTGATGTAATTTCAAGTATGTTTTTAATTCTAAGACTTTATTTGATAGGAAAGTTTAAGTTCTCGCGGGGTAGAACTAACTTTTCAATTTCAAAATTTAGTTCAAATTTTAATGGTTTTTTTATGTGATTCGTTATAACGTAGATAATCTTAAAATAATGGAATAAATCAAACTTCAATCATTTCTTTAAAATATTGGGAATGAATTTAAAAAATTGAAATTATATAAATATATATATTTGGGAGTGATTGACTGTAATTATCTTTAATGTCGAAATCACTACAAATAGCATGTTCGACAATGATTATTGAATGATTTTATAAATATCCAAGATCACTTTTAATTCGGTCAATCACTCACGAAGTCATATCAAGTGATTTTTTGTCAAAAAAAAAAAAATAAATAGAAAATTAATTTTAAATGGTTATTATTTTAAATCTCAAATTTCAAATTTATCTTTTTGTTTCACCTTATTTTTCATATTTCTAAAATTGTTGTCCCTCTATAACTTTGTTCATCTTTAACTTTGTTTATTCTCTATTTTTTTTTTCTAAAATTTTAGTAATATCTCTACATTTTTAGTTATCATCTTAGTTTATTTATATATCTAAAATTTTCGTCCCTTGCTCTCTAAAGCTATTTCTCTAAGATTTTTGTTTTCCTCTAAAACTTTTATCAAATTATCTTTTTTAACTTCAAATATTAATTGTACCACCTTATGCCCAGGATTCGACACATGTTTGGTCAAGCATACTTAACTTTTGAGTTCTTATAATTAAGTCATGGAAAATGAAAGTGCACATTGTTAGTAAAGGTCATGAATATCAATTCTTTTAAGCCTTTTCTAACCATTCTTCCATAGTCTCAGGATCTCTCTCATTCGGATGTAGTATTAGTTCATTTATGTACCCCTCCTTTCTAGTTCGGTGTCACATGACAATAAGGTTTGAAAACTATTCTCAAATCACTTCTAAAATCTTTCTTTCTAACAACATTTCATAAAATTATAAAATCATTTTATGAAATCTCTTTCTAAATAACATTTCTCTAAAATCATAAAGCAGTTCTAAATTATCAAACAAACACATTTTATTTCATCATCAGCATAGACCCTAAAACATACCTAATATATATTTTCTTGAAATTCTATAGTAATACATATCTAAAAACATCTCTAAAATAAACCACTTACAAAAGAAGGATAATATTCAAAACGTTTAATAGAGTAACCACTCACTGACCATCTCAACTCACTCTTTATCATTTGTTTGCCCCATGCAGTTTCTGGGTTTCAAAGAGAAATTAGATAAGCTTTTGCCACCAAGAATAGTTCAAGAGTTGCATGACATTCTGTATGTAGSTGTCGGTTGTTTGTAAAAAGTTTTATTAGCACCCTTTGTTGGAAAAGAATGTTTAGAATGGATATAAGAATAGTTATTCAATAAAGTTTATTATTTTATTATACATCAATTCAGCTTGTTAACCAAAGATTAGGTCAGAGTTAAGAAGAAGAAGTTGACCATGGATTCTATAGTTAATTAGGGCCTGTGGTTGGCGCGACTCGTTCTAGGACTAGTAGATGTTTTTAGACGGGTCGTGTCATTAATCCTTCAAAATCACTTTAAATTATATAGAAAACACTTGAAATAATGTGTAACCAAGTGTTAAAATAATGATATAAAAATAACTTTTACAAAATCAATTATCATTAAATATCTTTTTGGTTAAAATCACTCGTTCTAAAATTATTCTCGAACAAATTCTAAGTGTCATGTAAAAGGTACTTTAATATATTAAAGAATTTTTTTTATTGAGTGTATATATCAAATATTTAATTTTTTAAATTGAAGTTGAATCATCACTCCAAACTTGTTAAATTGAAGATAAAAGTTAATAGGTGCAGTCAGAAGAATACAAATAACAAGTTTAATTTTTTAACTTTCATAGATGTGCATTGAACTTCTAATTTAACTAAAATTTATCAATTTTTTTTAAATACCCAATTTGAAAAATATGTCAAATATCAATAAACAAAGATGGAACGGATCGATCAAAAAACATATAAACCCAAAAACAATATACTATATATAACTTGGGATCACCAAATGTTCGAGAGTTCCTCTATTCAATCTCTCTTCTTCTTGTTGTATATCTCGTTCGTACATATCTCCTATCTATTTCTTGAGCCTATAGTGAGTTATAAACTAAGTTCAAAAATGTCAAATCTTTGATAATTCCATCCTACATGATTGAGTTGTGAAAATGTATCCCGCATTTGTACTAAATGCTTTCTGATTAAAGATATTTACTACATATTGATGGGAAGCACCTACAACAATGATATAAACATAAGTAAAGTACATTTAACACATGTCAACGTCTTTTTATTCACTACATAAACGCTATATACTTTAAGCACCAACAATAATTTTATAAACATAAAATTTATTAACAATATGTCAAATATAAATAAAGTATATTAGGTAGAATTTACATAGTGACTTAATGATTTGTTTGAAAAAAAATTAATTATTTTGTATATTAAACAGTAAAAATTAACTTTCTTAAGGTAACGAAAAGGTATCACGTATATGAATAAATTATTCATTATCAAACGTTTATAAAAAACTTTAAAAAATTGTATATTGTTTATATTTCTATATTTCTCAATCTCAATATATATCATTCAAAACTAACAAAAATAAAAGAAAAACATTGTATTGTATATATTATATATTAATATTGTGCGAAATTCTTTAAAAGGAAAAGAAAAAAACAATATGCGATATTGAAGATGATGTATAGTAAATATGAAAAAAAACAATTATGAAAAATGATGGTTAGGGAAACAATTTAAAGCATTAATGGAAATTAGGAATATAGTTTTTTTAGGAAAAAAAAATTAGGAATATAGTTAAATAACAATAACAAATTATTAAATTAAAAAAAATACCATAAGAGTTAATTAAAATATATAACAAATTGAGGATTCAAAGTATAATTCATGATTAATACCATATTTGAAACCATCAAAATTTTCGCTTTAAAATAATAATTAATATTTAATGTCATTAAATGAGGATTTTTTTAAATAATGTTTTTATTTAACCTTATTTTTAAAATAATGCTGCATTAAATAAAATTACATAAAAAATGCTTTTGAAACTAATTACAAAAATAATGTTTTTGAATTTAGTCCCACACTTGATCGTCCCCTCAAGAGACGACCATGCCACTTGTAGTAGTTGGTCGTCAGAGACGACCATAAAGACGTAACGCTTTATTGGCGCCACATCTGATTTTTTTAAAAAATCAAGACATGGTTGTCTCTTGACGACCATGTATTGGAATGCATCTCGAGATTCTTTCTTCACGGGATGACTTGGATTCTTAAGGAAATAATAAATATTATTATACATTATATATTAAAAAGTAGATTTTCGTTTACTATAGCAAATGGTGGCGCAGTGGACGAAAGTATAATTTTCTTACTTCACTCCATGGGTTCGAACTCTAGAAAATGCAAGCTTTYTTTTTTACTATTAATTATCAACTTTTTTTACTATTAATTATCAACTTTTTTTATTATAAACGTAATAAAAAATGAGAAACGTATCAATTAAGGCTCCACGAGAATTTTTGTATATAAGATTATATATAATAATTCACGTGATTACAAATCCACTAAAAACTATAATAATTATATATGTATATATACATATATTTTTATACACGGTTTATTAAAAATTATATAAATAATATATAAAATATAAAGATATAATAATAATTAATGAAAAAATAATAATGAGTAAAGAGTTAGATTAATGGTAAAAAGAAAAAAGAAATGCATATGCAATTTATTAAAAATTATATTTTTTTTGGAAATGCATTAACATAAAAATAATAATAATGAAAAGTTGATTAATTAATAGTAAAAGAAATGAACCGGCATTATCTGAAATTCAAACTCAAGAAGTGAAAGATGAAATCTGTACTTTTGTCCACTGGCCACTAATTGGTATAGCGAGCAAAATTCTACTTTTTGATATATAATGTACAATAATATTTATTATTTCCTTAAAAATCCAGACCGTCCGGTGAAGAAACGACCTCAAGATGCATTCCAATACATGATCGACCATGTCTTGATTTGGCGCTTTCTTTATGGTCGTCTCTTCACTAAAAGTGGCAGACACGAACCAAGTGGGAGACTAAATTCAAAAATATTATTTTCGAAATTAATTTTAAAATAAGCATTTTCTATGTAATTTTATTAAATGCAGCATTATTTTAAAAATAAGTTTAAATAAAAACGTTATTTAAAAAATCCCATTAAATGATATGGAGAAGGATAATTTCTAAAAGAGAGAGAGAGATATGCAGAAGGATAAAACTGACATATAAAAATACAGAATATGATAAAAATTAAAATATATCACACGGCTATTTTTTAAATGTCTGTCTCAAAAAGGGGATATTTAAGAGAATTTAAAAAAAACATATTTGGTTCTAAATTTTAATTAAAACAAAGATTGAAGACTCTCGATTTTAATTTGTAACAGTTGAAATTGTACGTAATAATTTAGTCTTTATAATTTAAAATTAGTAACAATTTAGTCCGTATGTCAAAATTAAGTATCAAGGTTTATTATATAACGATTTAGTATTTATAATTTATTATAAATATTTAGTTCTTCATAAGTTATTTACCAATCTACGTATACAAGAAACTCTATTAAACTTTAATGACATTTTTGACCATATAAACTAAATCATTAAAAACTTTAAACTACAATAACTAAATTGTTATAGTCATTTTGAAAAAAGAAAAAAATTGTTACAGTCAAAATAAATATAGTTTAGAAGTTAAGACATTTTGCTAACTTTTTAAGAGTCGAAAGTTCAATCCTTCGTCCTTATATTTATTGCACTAAAAAAAGATTAAATTTTTATAAATTTAAAAGTATGAGAGTAGATGGGCGAAAAAAATAAATTAACATTTGAAAATAAAATTTGACAACAAAATGCAATAATTTCGGTACACATTTAAAAAAATGCAACAATTAAAATAAACCAGAAAATGCAATAAAATGTTTGAATATTTGTTTATATTTCAAAAGAGGGAAACTGGGAAGCGGCGGAAGGCGATTCGAAACTCCGGCGAGCAGAGCAGTGAATGGGGTCAAATCGGAGGAGAAAATCAAAATCTCGGAGAGGTCTGGATTTTACAATTCATTGATTCGGCCTCCTTAAATATCCTCTCCATAAATGGTAACCGTTTCAATGCCTTCACAAAAATGTTTAGATTCCCTTCACCAGTCGTCCCCCATTTTCCCCCAAATTTCCCTCTCGAAAACGCCTCTCTCTCTCTCTCTCTCTCTCTCAATTTCTCAATCGCTCTGTAGATGGATGCGTTACGTTCGTATCCGGTCAATTTCAGCTCCGCTAGGGCTCCGATCTCGAGCGACGGCGATGGATCGAAGAAGCGGTCGATTAGGAGAAGGATGAACAAGGCGGCGGTCGAGTGGCTCAGGAGACGATCCACGGCGGCGAAGATAGCTCTTGCGGCGGCCGCAGCGATGTTTGCGCTCGTGATTCTGAAGCTCACTGTTAAGAATCATAACTATGTCTTCATCGCCGGTGAATCCAGCCACGCCGCCGGTCTCCTTGTCCTTGCTTACAAGCTCACCACTCATAAAACCTGCTCCGGCGAGTCCTCTCTCTCTCTGCGTTTTATTATTTATTTAAATTTTGGGGTCAATATTTTTTAATTTCTTTTCCCTCTCTGAAAATGCCGCCAAAAATTGGTACTAATTTTTCAACTGATTTTTTACTTTATTATTTTTTTCATGATTATTTAGCTTTTATAATATAATAAATAATAATAATAATAATATTTGTTTATGTTATTTTTCTTTACTCACTGTTTATGATTCAATATGGTGAATCATAACTCTAATTTTACATATTCAAGTTTTGTTAGGAAAGAAGCTTCATGATATTTTCAAGAAATGCATTCAGACAAAACGCAAAAAAAATATTAGAAATTAGAATTTAAAAACGTCATTAATCAATTGAGAAACCAATGCATCTGAAAATTACTCCACTCATTCACTATATCCATGTTTCATGAAATTTGATAAAACCAATAAATATTTGGTTAAAAAGTATATTTAATCTCATTTTGGTTAAACTAACAATTTAGTCTTAAAATTTAATTTATAAAGATTTAGTTATTCTACTTTTAAATTGTTGGATAACAATTTAGTACGTAAGAATTTAGTCATATACTTTTAAATTTGTAATAATTTAGTTCTATTGTGAAAAATATCTATTTTTATAATCACATTTGGTCTCTCATTTATTTATTAATATAAATATATAAGAAACTTAGCAAACAATTTCATCGAAGAAACTTAATTGTTACAAACTTTAAACTATAGGAGCTAAATTATTACATACTAAATTTTTACGAACTAAAACAGTAAAATGTTACCAATTTGAAAGTACATAGAGTAAATTGTTACAAAATAAAATTCAGGGACTAAATTGAATTTATTTTTTAACCTAATTTTTTTCTCCAACGTTTTAGGCCTTGTTTTATGGATTTTTTTTTCTTTAAACTTGTTTACTCACCATTGCTTTGTTGGATTTTTCATCTCATTAAAAATATTTTTGAATTCTAAGCTAAATTTCTAAACTAAAATCAGAATTTTGATTCATGTTATGCACTGTATTTGTTTCTTACGTGGGTGTTATTGGTAATGAAATCAGGTCTGTCATCAAAATCTCAAGAACTCACAGCTTTATTCCTTGGAGTAAGATTGGTGTGTGGGACAATCATGGATATTGACATTTACACAATTTTGGACTTCATTACCCTCGTCTCCACCATATGGGTTATCTACATGATTCGCTACAAGTTGAAGAATACCTATGCCAAAGCCTTCGACAACTTCCATTTGTATTATGTGGTAACTCGTCCATTTCTCTTCTTTCTAATTGCATTTCTTTGTTCTCTCTCTGAATCTATCGTTACTTGACAAGAATAAGCTAGGGTGGCATGGCCATGTATTGTAGTATCACATTAAGGATGAAACAATAAACAAACGGTTTAAATCTCGTCTTTGAGCTTTTAAGACCATTTCATTTTGGTCATTAACCTTTCAAATATTGGTCCATAGACTTTAAAGAAGTAGTTTTTTTAGTTAAAAAAAAAATATCATTGGTTGGCCTAGTGATCAATAAAGGCCAATGTAAAAGAAAAATGCTCAGAGGGAATTAGTTCAAACCATAATAGCCACCTACCTAGGATTTAATATCCTACGAGTTTTCTTGACAACTAAATGTAGTAGGGTCTTGTCAAACCTTGTAGGCCACTACTATCGAACGTGAAGCAACTAGACAAATTAAAAAACAACTTCAACTTATTTGTAACAGTCTCATTACGGTTAGTCTCATAAAAAAAGGGAACATGGGAATTTTGTGACATAATAAGTCACTCTTTGTTTAGAATGTCGTCGGGTTCCCCAACCATTGGACATTACAACACAACGGGTTGATCAACAGCCTTTGGCGATATCAAATGGTCTTTGTAGGACTTATTAGCTTGTACAAATTTTCTAATCACAAGTGAGGGGAGAGTCTTAAACCATTGATAAAGAATTAAATTTTTCGTAATCCATCAATTTAAGCTCTTGGATTTATTGGTGGAAGGGGATTGAAAATAGACGGGAAAGATTAAATTTGCTCCTACACTTAAGGATTTATTGTGTGATTGTTCCAAATATATAGGTTGTTCCTTCCATGGTGCTTTCTATGGTGATATTTCCCCACGCACACCACAATCATTTGGTTCGTGTGTTGTGGGCATTTGGTGTATATGTAGAATCTTTTTCAGTGTTGCCTCAACTTCTAATGATGCAGAATGCCAAGGTTTTTCCATATTCTCTTCTCCTCCCCTCAATCTTTTTCTTTTTCTTTTGCTTTCTTTTCTATGATTTGAGATTCATCAAAACTTGTTGGTTTATTGATCATATATATATATATTCTTCTGTTTTGGCAGATGATAGAACCTTTCACTGCTCATTATGTGTTTGCTTTGGGGATTTCAAGATTCCTAGCTTTTGCTCATTGGGTCATTCAGGTTTGTAAATCCCAATCACCTTTTTCGGATGGAATTCAATAGCTAATTTTGTTTTTAGTTCTTTTTTAATGACATTCCTTTTGTTAATGTTTTGTTTTGTATTTCTGCTGGATTTTTCCATAACTTAACTTTGCTTTCGATAACTATTTTGTTTTTAGAATTTTAGTTTTGAAAATTATATTCGTTTGCTCACAATTTCTCTAATAATACACTCTCGTACTTTTACCTAATTTCAAAACAAAAACTAAAATATTATTCACAAGTGTATCATTATTTCGATTGATGTTTAGGTTTTCGAGACTCGTGGGCGATATTTGTTATTGGTTGGCAATGGTTATTTTTGGTTCATGACAGCTTTCATAGCAGAAATGATTCAAACCTTCATCTTGGCCGATTTTTGTTACTATTACATAAAGAGGTAAAACAAATTCTTACCATTTGCTTCTTCCCAACTTCATTCAAATTTGTAAAAGGTTAAAAATACTATTTTGATCTCTTTACTTTAGTTCATTTTAGTTTCAAAATGTCATTTTGGTCTCTGTACTTTTGAGAACATTTTGGTTTATTTTAGCTTCTGTATTTTTGAAATGTTCGTTTTGATCTTTTACTTTTGAAAAGTTATCAAAATGAACATTTTGGAAGTGCATGGATTAAACTGAATCAAAATGTTAAAAGTACCGAGACCAAACTAAAGTAAAACTGAAAGTAACGGGGATGAAAATAGTATTTTAACATTTTCAAAATCATCAATCTCTCAAATTAAATCTGTTTTGTAATTCTATTTTATGATTTTGAATTGCAGTTTCATGCAAGGAAAATTGAGGATGCCTATTTAGAATCTCATTTTTCTCTAGAAAATATAGAAATGGTCTTGGATGTTCCAAATTTGACATACTATATGAAAGGTATGAATTTTGATTCTGGATTTTCCTTGTGGTGCAAAGTTTTCTTTTGTAGCTACATTCTTGGTATCTTGTTAAACTTCATTAATCTATCCTTTTCTTCGTCATCTCTATTACTTCCTCATTGACATTTGTTTCAAATCTCACCTACGTGTAATGATAAGTCATTGAAGATAAACTTTGTAAAAGATGAAATCGAATGAAATTTTGATAACTAATATTAAGATTTTAAAGTCAACACTAGTTCAAAGACACTTACGAGGCAGTTTAGTTATTTTATTAATAAAGGGTTTATTTAAATTTTTTAAAAAAAACTAATATTAAACTTCTAAATTAGAAAATGGATAAAAGGTCATGAATTTAAGTAATATTTAAACATATAAAGATTTCAATAAAATTTTAGAAGATAAAGTTTAAATCATGTTTAGTTTTTGAGTATGTTTATTTTTTTTGTCTTTATATTTTTACGGTTCCAAGTTTTTCGGAAGAGACTATTTTAGTTTTCGTAATTTTAATTTTAACTAAACGAGACAATTAAGTTTTTAGGTAAGGTCTAAAACTAAAAATATTATAACTTGAGCAATTGAGATTAGATGTTTGAATTTCAACCATATGGCCGATGGATAATATTGACGTGGCAACTCCAGCACCGTTGATTCGGTAAGTTTCATATGGCGACACGTGGCACGGAAAAGGTACAAATGAGATTATTCTACGGGGCCCACAGAATTATTCATTGCCGTACTTACCGTCTTATCCAAACAACTCAACCCACGTGTCCGACAACGTCGCCGCGTGACGTCGCCATGCAAAAATGCATCCCTTCAAAAAAGTTTACGCCTTAGCTGTAATTTCTCCACGTGTCGTCTTCCTGGTCCCCGAAGCCGGCCCCACATCAAGACTGACGAACACGTGTCCCCCCGCCGTCGGTCGCCTGGTCGCGCGGCAAAAGACCGCAGAGATTTGTGGGGATGGCAAGATCTCCCCACCACGTGTCAGGCCTCGCCAGCCTGTCAGACAGCTGTTTTCCCGCTCAAAATTCCCTACGTGTCATTCCGGCACTCCTTCATGCAGATCCCACGTGTCGTAACCTAACCTCTCAAGCGTGTCGCCATAATCCCACGTGAAAGGGTGCAGTAGGGAAGCGCCACGTGGAAGAAGGTATTAAATAAATTTCGAGAGTATATTAAAAATGAATAATCCTTTTAAGAACCAAACTTAAAATTTATTAAGAGGTATCTAAATTGTGGTGAGAATCAAGATTGGTGGCGAAAGCGTGGGCTTCGGTTGCGCTAAAAATATCTATGGGATTTATCCTCTCCTACGTGTACGAGGCACCGTCGGTTTTATCGCCTCTGCTGCCGCCACGTCTCCAATTTTTCTCTCTCTCCCGAGAATCACTGTACGAATTGCAATCCATATAATAATATAACACAGCTCCAACTTCCAACCCAACACAACACGGAGAAATCCAAAGCCAAAGAAAAAAAAAGTTAAAAGAATATTGTACTTGTGCAGGCAGATGAGACACCACGACGGCGACATGGAGCTGGATTTAGGTTTGTCGATCGGCGGAAGTTTGAGAAGGTTACCGGAGACGACGACTTCTGGTTCTTCGTTGACGTTGATTAGCGACGGAGATGAAGAGAGCGGAGTTACCGATGCGAAGGCGAGAGGCGAGATCCAGGCGGTGCGGCGGCGGGAGGCCAAGAGGAAGCGGGAGGAGAAGCGCCACCGGAGAGCACAACAACAACAACCTCAGAATCCGCCATTCAAGAAAGGGAAACAAGAAGCTGCAGCTTTAGGATCTCATTCTCAATGCAATGTGGATCATCCTCCGCTCCAAATGCCCTACACCTACTACGTCCCCTTTCTCAATGGCTATGCGTTTCCCTGCGTGGTGCCCTACTGGTCCGCCGCCGCCGCTGGTGCCGACCATCACCCGGTGCCCTGCCGCAGCTTCGGGCCGTTTCAGACGAATCAAAATGTTGCTGATGCTGCTTTGTCTAATGGATGCCAGAGCTGGAGCAAGAGTACAAAATCTGCTTCTGGTTCTAGTGGATCCTCTGTCTGTAGTTCCTCTGTCATTTCTGATCATTATCACAGCTCTTCGTCTCATGAAGGTACTTCTTCTATTCTTCGAGATCTTCTGCCGCTCAATTCATTCTGAAAGATTAGAAACAAAAAACCTGTATGCTTCGATTTTCTGATTTTGGGATTCATTCCCTTTTGATCATCATCTCTTTCTCTGATTCAAGTATTCTATCGGGCAACAATTCATTCACCTGTAAACTGCAATACATGGCTCATCTTTTTCAGAATTGAAATCTTAAGTTTCTGTTCATATTTTCAGGAGGTGACAGCAGCAGCTATACCCGGCGCAATTCAAGTAATTCCTCATCAGACGGACACCAAATGACTCAGCCGAACCCGAATGATCCTAAGAACGATAGCCCTTCCTCAGATCTTGTTAAACCAGATCCTTGTGTTGACAACAGAACACAATGTCCAGAAAAATCTGTTCAGTCCCATGTCTCCAAAAGCGGCGTAAGAACAACAATCAAGAAAGAACCCATCGCATCAAACAAAGATGATGAGGTGGTGGAGCCATCAACCAAACCTGTTTCGAGTTCCCTAAAGTCGTCTCCCCCAATGTCACTCAAAAACAGAAATATGGAGAATGGGAAACCTCCGAAGCCTCAGATTCAAACCCGCAACATCCCAAGCCTTCAGCAAATGCCCTGCGTTTCGACGACCGGTGTCGGTCCGAATGGGAAAACCATCACTGGCTTCTTGTACAAATACTCCAACTTGGAGGTCAGTATTTTATGCGTCTGCCATGGAGAATCCTTTGCACCAGCCGAGTTCGTGAAGCACGCCGGGGGCGCTGAAGTTTCGCACCCTTTGAGACACATTACTGTTCTCCCAACTAATGTAATCCCATCTGCAATCAGATGAAAGCATAACATGTGATCAGATCTTTACAACTTTTAACATTTTTTTTCTTGGTATTGAGCCATGGGGATTGAGGAGAGCTACAACAAGCCCCTCATGTTATGGTTTTGTGCCTTTATTTTAGATGACATTTTCAAATTGCATCAATATAGAGTTAATACGCTCATCACAACAAGCTTCAAAGTCTAACCTGCTTTTCCTCCCATCTCTCTTTTCTTTCTTTTTGTCCATAGACTAATTCCACTGCTACTGGTATGTTGAAACAAAAGGCAAGAATAGGCATGTTATTTACTGTTCTTTTGGGGGTGAAATTCAATACCAGTAAAATAAATCTTGTGAAACTATTATTTGCAGTAATCAATTAGCAAAATCTACTTTATGAGTAACATTTCACAACTAATTATGACAGGAGGTAATGTATATAACATTAGCACTGCTGGATTCTTCGCCAAAAAGCCTTTATGCACATGCTTCAAAACATTGCAGCTCTAGGAATAAGAGAGAGATAATATACTAATATGAGATACAAATTTTCAGCCCAATTTTTACCACTGCTCCAGCATGAAGATCATTAATTTTCATAAACCTAAGCTCTGTCAAGGATATTAGTAACTGAAACTTCCTTGAAATCTATCAGAAGTAGAAACTCATAGGAATTGAATAGCCAAGAGGTTCATAAAGATAAGATCTGGCTCTCTAACAATTAATGAAATCGTAACATTGTTCATAATGGTTCCTTTGCTTCGTATACTATTACAATGGCTTGCAGGGAGGTATCTCCCTAGATCAACTAAATTGAAAAAATAGATAATCTTTTAAGAGTACGGGAACAAGGAAAAATCTATAAACAAAACTTTTGCGGAGCCTGATTACAGATTGACGCCATGATAGACTACAATTTGATGCCATAACACTCACTGGCGATCAAAGCTAACAAAATTCTTCGTTATGACCATAGCTATTGTGAAGATTACCGCCAATTCTTGCAACGTGGAAAGCTGCATTGTGCCGACAAGTCGGCAAGAGTTGAGACAACCTACACGAATCTGTTTCTACTTCTAGTGTCTTATAATTCACAACTTCTCGTTCTTCTGTCTGGAATCAGCCTTTTGTCGCGGCCTAGAAATAGGAAGGAGAGGGAGATGGTAAAAAAAGCTGAGAGAGATATAATGAGTTCAAAAGTTGGCAATACAAATTGGGAAATGGATCCTATCTAAAAGAACAATAATATGGTACTAAACACATACATCTTCCAAAAAACTCAGCATTAAAGCAAAGAATTTGACTGATAGCATTGAATGAACCCAATCGCTCAAGGCACCAAGAGAAAAAAAAGGTCGACGGTTAGAAAGTTCTTCTGTCCAACTTCCTGTCTAGGGCTGAAATTCTGGAACTTGGAATGAAAAGAAATCAGCTTTACTAAAGAATGAAAGATTAATAAGTTGAACATCCATTCTGGTGTTCAAGTTTTTTTTTTATAAGAAACTGAACTTTTCATTGATTAAAATGAAAACAAGAAAGACACAAAAGGGCATACAAAAACATAGCCTGAAGAAGGAAGTCGGATTAGAGAAAGGACTTCCAATCCAAAAGAATATGACCTAACTGATAATTACAAAATAACTTCGAAACAAACCCCATAAAGAAACATTAAAATGAGATCCCAAACAGACTCCCACTCTCTTTCCACCCTTAAATATTCTATTGTTTCTTTCCAACCAAATCCCCCACATAATCCCAAAGAACCCTGCCTGCCAAAGGAAACTCCCTTTCTGCGAGAAAGGAGAACACATAAGAACTTCCTCCCATTCTGGTGTTCAAGTTATTAAGAACAAACGTCATCTAATTAATTTTCATCAAATGCATTAGTGCTTTCATGAAAATTTATACGAATTATAGGCTCTAAGAAAACCACAAGGTTAATGTAGTTGCCCAACAGAAGTTTATTTTTCAATAAAAAAGAAGCAACAAGATAACAAGGTAACAACAATATGAGGATTTCGCTATTTTTCCAAGAATAAGGTCACAATACAACAACAGCCACTTGTAGTTTTTACCAACCTTTTTCCAGGTTTCTTCCTTCTGTCAGAACAAACACTTGCCATTATCTCATCAATTGACAAAATCTTCTCAAGACTGCAGTCTAATAAGTTGCATCCATTTAAGGCAGCAGACTGAGACTGATCTGGAACATCTGACGCCCTAAGTTGTCCTTTAAGATGTTCCATCAAGGCAAACCCTACATACATACAGCACGCCAGAAATTTCAATATTCATTCTATACAAATAAAGCAACACAGTGACGGCACGATAATGCATGCTAGACACACAGAGAGATAGAGAGTTCAAATTGACATTCTAAACAAAGATATGATAGCAAGGTAATATAAACAGAAGAAATTCAACATATAGAAAGCAAAAATACCAATAGCACGTAGTGTCTTCAGATCAAATTTCTCAGCAAGAGCTTCATGGCCAATCATTTTTGCACGTTGGAGAACTAGCATTTTAATGCTAATTAGCATGTCCTGCGATGTACATTATAATTCAGAGTTAGCAAACATAACCTAAGAACGGCAGTAGAAGATTTCCATCCCATATATCAATATCTGAGACAAGAAAGCCCATGAAAATCAGCGTATCAATTCAAATTCAATAAGAAGATATTAATAGTTTCCAACAAAATTCATAGAAAAAAAATTTGACAGAAATAGGAATCAGCATATCTAATTGACTGGCACATGAAGAATGCTCAATTTTTGTAAGCAAAGCTAAGTATACAATTAGTCAATGAGTAATGCAATCGTAATCGTAGTGAGAAATAAGAGTGCTCGGCAGTTAAAAAGAGTAAGCATAGTTCCACATGAACTTACAAGCTCCGATTCAGATAGCGAACACAGCCAACTGACATCTTCGATCCTGTTATCCTTCAAAATTTCTTTCGCCTCTTCCATTCAAAGGTTTCGCTAAATTACTCCAGAGAAGCAGACAATGGCGTCGTTTCAAACTTCTGAGAAAAATTCACCAAAAGAAGGGGAAGAAGAACAGAAAGGAGTTCGTCAACGTCAATATCAATTCTCAAACCGCCGGCCTTGCGGAACATATAAGAAAACTACAGTAAAAACGAGACGCAATTTTCATTTACTTGCCCCGATCTCATTCCAAAACAAAAACGAAATTAGAAAAAGACAGGAACAACGCAAAATACCACCAAAATTGGAAACGAGAATCAAAACCGATGCACCGTAACCAATAAGACATAATTGAGTCGAGTAGTCGAGTAGTCAAGAAAAGATTCTTACATTTTTTTGCCTCTGAAGAGCAAACTGCAGAGTTGGACTTCGATTCACCCTCAGACACCGTTTCGATTCTGCTTCGTAGCAACCTCTTATTTCGCACGATCTTCGTCAATTCTTCAGTTTCTGTTTGTGGTTCTCGTTCTTCTTCTGGATTTGTCCCTCTCGATCGTCTTCTTCTCTCGGGAAATCGAACCTCCCGCGCGGGCGCCTTGACCTCTCTCCCCCTTTCTCCAGTCTACGCTTTGGTTCTCCATCCCCAACTTTGTGGGCTCGTAATCGACGTTCATGGGCCGGTATGAAATCGCTAAAAGCCCATAACGTTTTTATTAATAGAAATTTTTCCGCGTCATTATTGGATATATGATATTTCATAAATATACATTATTTTCAAAGATTTACACGTATAGATTTGGAGGTTTGAATTAAATTTCCTTTTTCCCTAAATTACCCTCAATTAATACAATCTAATCATATTTATTAAATCATTTTAAAATATTATTTTTCTTAAATGATTTATGATCATTTAAGGCTACTTTTCTTTAATTATTATTAAATGTCTATATTTTGATAAAGTATTCAACAAATGTATAAAGTATATCCAATTCCATTGTTCTCATTATTTTAGATTTTAATCACCAAAATTTATTTTCCACGGCTCATTGATTTTTCTGATTACTTAATTCACTTTTGTAACGATCCATTAGTTTTTCCAGTCTTACAACTACGACATCAAGTTCTCCAGTTGCGTGAATCTGTAAATGTGAAGATCATATCTAAACGATAGCTCCTATAATTGACGAATCAACGAGTGACGAGTCAACTCTCATGCATATCCGCACAATGCATGGTGAAACTCTGATGGCTGCTATCCTCTTCCGCACGATTAGTGGGGTGCGACGCGGCAACATCACGAACCCAACGACATTCTGAATCTGTGTCGAAACTTGATATTTTTCATTGTCTCCGTTGACACTTTGGTGGAGGGTGGGAGAAAAATACCGAGAGAGGAGGTATGAGACTCTATTGCTACGAGAGGAGGGAGAGAGGAAGAGAATCAAAGGATCCTCTACAATCTAGTCCAAATTAAAACTTTCTTTTTTTGTACGGTGAAATTGATAATTTATATAAGTTTCCTTTAAATTGACCAATATTTGAGATTATAGACACTTTTGGATGTTAAAAATAGACTAGTACTTAACCATTTTATTTGATTAAAATTTTACAAAAATGGTAAAAATTATAATTATTTTATTTTGATGTCTCAACTTTTAAAATGTCTATTTTTAAAATATCAGCAACTGAGCTGAGGCATTTAGAGAGTAGAATATGATTGAAATGTACCGGGAAAAAAAAACACTAAAGTTTCACTTCAATTGTAATTAATTTTATTTTACATATGAGTGAATTCCGGTGGAAGGTGTTAATAAAGTCAAAGTGAAAGATGGAAAGGAAATTAAAGGTTGATTCTAGTTAGAAACCTTTCAAGATTCAACAAATCTTTGCTTTAGCTTTTTTTATTAGTTAAAAGAAAAGACAATATTATGGTAAATTTGACATTCAAATAGTAACAATGGAATTATTCTTTTTTTACTTTTCGTTATCTTTTTTCAATCTAAAAAACAAAATATTAAATTAATATTTTTTTGTCACATCAACAAAATAAAATCACCAACCACCTAAACCACCGTGTCATATTTTTGTTAGTCAAATAACAGTAAAACAAGTCGATAGACAATTTAGAACGATGGATCCCCATCGGTGGGATGATCATTCATACTATGTCTACCACATGACCAATAAATCCTTCAACCCCAAATATCCCGCAACCCAACCATAATTCTAAAGAGAAAAACATGAGTGAGCACTTATTCTTATATACTCCAATGTTATTTAATTGTGACCTACTCAGCTAACAATGAAACGAGTAGACAAACTTTTTAATAAATAACAAATCAAAACTGAACCAAAATTTTTAACTTTCTTTTTCTTGTGGGTAAATAGCCTTAGCTCCAAGCCACTAATCAAGTTTCCTAAGACAAACAAGCAAATTTAAAGCAGTTGTAACAATTCCCTATAGATGACAAAAACAAAATTAATAAGCTTAAAGACAAATGTACATTCTATTAATTTAACCTCACTTAACCAAAATTTATTGGGAGCAATTCCAAACAACAAAAAACAAGACCCATAAAAGACGATTGACAAACAAAATTAGAACTGTTAGATCTCCAATTAGCAACCATTCAAAGATTAAACAAAACTATTTACCTTCACTATTTGAATAGTAGATTGAATCAAAGAGAGAACCAGAGAAGAAGAAGAAGAAGAAGAAGAAGAAGAAGAAGAAGAAGCCGCCATTAACAGTGTAGAATCAAGAACAAGAAGAAACAATGGTTCAATGGATCAAAGCCTTTCTACTGCCATGTCTGTTCAGCCATCCAAATCCCTTAAAAGCTTTCGACATCTTCACCAGATTCGGCCTCCCCATCCCCAAATTCATCTTCCCCGCCGAGAATTTCAGCGCCTGTAAGCAGCAGAGTTGGCCCTCATCTCCATCTTCATCTTCTTCCTCCTGAAATTTCTTCCCTCTTTTCGCCTTACTGAGTTTCTGTTTCTGTTTCTGATTCTCTGTTTTCTGCGATTGCTTCGATTCGCTCTTCTCGTATGTCTCCCACAGTGAATCCATCCCCTCGCTTCCCTCCGCGTTGTGCCGCTCTTCGAACAGCTTACACGCCAGCGTTCTTCTCCATTCCTTCTCCTTCCTCATCGATCCGTAGCTTCCCAGCGAACTGTACTCTCTTCCGAAACTCCCCGGCGAACTCCACGGACTCGATTCCGATCTTGACGAAATCGACGAATCTTGATCCGTCGGTTGTTTTCCGATCATTTCCTCGTTTTCCCCCGAATCTTCCCTCAGTTCCTTTCTCAAATCTTCGATAATCTCCTTCTCTTCCGTTTTCTCGTAGGGCACGGGATTTTCCGGGAGAATCTTGATCGTCTCGGGAAAATTCACCACCGGTTCTTCGCAATCGACTTTCACCTCCACCTCCGGAACATCAGCGTGACCGCCACCGTACGGATTCTCCTCAGCCTCAGTTCCAATTCCAAAAGTATACGTCTCGAACACGATGTTATAAGCCTCAAGCTCCTCCTCCAGAGGGCGAAAGCGAAACTCGTCGACTTCGTCGGGTGTTCTAGGGCGCAAACCGTCGAAAACAATCTGATAAGTGGTGGCAAGAAGCCCCATCTTGGAATCCGGCGATTGACGATCGGAGGAAGAGAATGCGGCGAGAGTGAGGAAGGCGGAGAGGAGGAGGAAGGTGGTGACGAAGAGGGGAGAGAGAAATGAGAGAAGCTTGAGAAGGTAAGGGAAGAAGAAGACGAAGTAGGAGAAGTAGAGAGGGTGAGAGAGGAGGAAGAAGCAGAAGCGGAAGAAGTTGTTGGAGATGGAGAATTCAGACATTGTTGTATTTGTTGTTCTTCTTCTTCTTGCTGTGTGTTCGTGAAGCTCTATAACAATGGCGGATGGAAGAAGAGTGAGAAATTGGGAGAGAGAGCGGCGTGAATAAAGGAAACAGACTGAAACACAGAGAGAGAAACTAACAATGGAAGCGAAAAGGCAGACTATGGAAACTTTTTGTTTGCCTATTTCTAAATTGTTCTAACCAACTACCTTATTATTATTATTATTATTATTTACCATTTTTTTCTTCTTCTTTCATTCTCTCGTTATTATCTTAATTGATTTTGCATGTTTAATTTTGATGAAATTTCCAACCTTTTCAATTTGCATCACATGGGTATTTTTCTATTCTATAGGTTTTAATTTATTAGTTTCTATTTCATGATTTAGAATTTGGATCATCACCCCATGTGTTGTACTAACAAAAAATTGACTAATTTTACTCGATGAAAAATAAATGTGTGGAAGTTAAAAGTCTATTTGTTAACGTTTATGTTTTGTTTATTATTTCAATTTTGAGTAACATTACCATCCGCTTTATTTCTTGTTTTTCATTCCTAAGAAACGTTTTCAAAATTGTGTAAAATTTTTGGAAGGAACAAAATCATTTCTTTTTCATGTTTCAGATTCTTTTCAAATGATAGTTAAAAACATTATTTTATTAATGTTGGCTTCTCATTATAAATATAATATAAATATTTAAATTTTTCATTTGAAGCTTGAAATTTTAATTTTCCTAAAAAGCTTTTACATTTTTAATTTAAAATTTTTAGATAACAAGAAATGGGAAATTGTTACCATGTTTCTCTTTGCAATAAAGGAGTAAGAACAAGACAGAAAAAAAAATCAAATCAAATCAAACACAATTATTTTTTCTTGATTAAAAAAGAAGAAACTAGAAACAAGAAAGATAAACATTATCAAACCTAAATATGCTAACTTATATAGATTGGTAGGGAAGATATAAGATGTTCGTTTTTCTTTTCCTGTCCTTTTTTTGTTTTGGGTGATTTTTGATGTCATTCATGGTGATTAAGTAGAAAGTAACGTTATTATGTGAAAATGATATAATAGAATAGACTTCACATCAATAATAGTGTTTTACGTACTTTCTAATACTATTTCTTATTGGATTGAAGGTGTGAGTTTTAATATAGATTCAAAAAAAAAAAAAAGGAAAAAACTCGGACATAAAATTGTACCTATAAGAATGAGCTCACTTCTTACCATGGTTATAAATATAAATATAAACATATTGAAAAATAAATCTATAGACTTAAATTTCTACACTTTATTTCATAATATACGGCTGAAATTGTGCCATGATTGTAAACTTTTAAATTAAGAAGAATTTAGTTCATAGTAGAAGTAGAAGCTATGATTATTCAAATCCCATACCCAAATATTTAGCATATAGCAACAAATATCATGCCATATTTGTTCTCTCCCTTTTAAAGTTGATAAGATATGTCTTCCAACTTTAATGCAAAAAGTAAAATTAACATATTCAATTAGTAGTAATTTTARCCTTTGTTTGTTGAATTAACTTTATAGCACTTGCCATAACCACCAACCCTACACTTTTAGCCTTTTCATCATTACATATTAGCTAATTGAAACATGAAATTTATTTTTAGCTTCTAACAACCCATATTTAATCACAATTTCATTACAATATATATTAATATTATTCCATTTGAGTCCTCTCGGAGGAGGAAAAAAAAGCATAAAGATCAATTTAGCAAAAATTATGAACCAATATAAGAAACGTAATTCTTGAAATAGTTAATCTGAACCTAACTTAATAGATAAAGAAAAACTTATTACCATCCCAAAAATTGATTGTTGAATGCTACCACCGTTGAACTCAAATAAAAAATTCTTGGAGCTCTAACCCTATTCCCTTTTTTTTCAGGAAATTAACCCTATTCCATTGATGCAAATGAAGCAGAAATTGCTATTTAGACGAGTTTACAACTTCACAGCTTTTTTCAATATAACATGTGGAAATGAGAATTTGAATCCATCGCCTTTTTTGGTGAATATATATGCCTTAACCATTATGTATGTTGGCTTCCAACTTTATAATTTTGATTGATCTTGATATTACTGAATGACAACTGAATGAGCAACATTTAGATTGATTGAATTTAGATTTGAAGTTGTTCACAAGTCGATTTGGATTTTAGAAAGGGTAGAAAAAAGAAAAAGAAAAAAAAAAAGACCTTTGAGGAAAAAAAACGACGAAAGGAACAGAAAGAGAGAAAAGGTCTGACTTGCAAAGGCAAAAATGGGGCACGTTTGTGGACATCAGCCCTGGTTAGGAACTGTCCACAGAAGAGCAACTTATCTAAATTAGACAAAAGTGGCAGAAACAAGATAAAAAAGAGAATAAATCTCTCATTTTTTAACCTGAATGTCAAACTTGGTTTAAAAAAAAAAATTACGGCCATGGAATCTTAATAAATTTGCACATACTTCCGGGTCGACAAACTGCATCTAACAAAATTGCTAACATGAGCGTAGCTCGACAGTAAAGGTGTGTAGTCCTCTAATTGAAATCAGAAGTTCAAATCTCCACGCATGGACTCAATCCAAGAACATTCCTCCGACCTAAACACTAAATCTAAGTTCTTATTATTGGGTTTATCCACTATAATTAACAGCCTAAAGCAAATCCTAAAGGAAATAAGGATGGATTGTGGGAATAGGACTTTTGAGGTCTATAAAAGGAACATCATGATCATACAGCTACTGATTATGGCTACTCGAGTGTGCATCTTTGCATCAGCGGCATGTCCTTGTAGCCCATTTCAGCCTTCCATGAATGGGAAAAGAGCCAAAGAGGTAAAAGAAAAGTTCTACAAATTGAAGAGGATTTCTGCTTTTACCCCTCCTAATGGATGCTTTTCTATCCCCTTTATATGTAGACACAACTATTTAATTCAATAAGAGAAATACAGACAAGAAAAGTAAAGTTCTAAAGTCACGAGGGGAAGTTTCTCTGCAATTAAATATTGTTACTTACGATGCTTGTGTCCTGCAATAATGGTGCTTCGGATGCTTTGCCAAGGTTGGGCCCCTCATGGTTGACAATGTTGAAATGTGTTCCCATCACCCAAGAAAGAAGGATTCTCCTCCATTTGCATTATTTGTCCAATGCGAATGTTACACAATTATGTTCCTGCTTGTCCTGTGTTCAATCAACAGTCAAAAAGGAAAGGAAAGGAAAGGAAAAAAAAGGAAAGGAAAGGATTGAATCCCCCAATTATCATTCTTTCTCTAGTCATCCACCGACCCCATGAATAATCATTAAAGACATTAAAAACTTTGCTTCATCATCCATCAACCGTACTATCAAAGCATTTTCCAGTAATAAGAACACTCATAAATTGATAAAAGGTTTTGGCCAACAGATAAAATCATAGAAAAGGAAAGAGGTGCTGCATTATATCATGCCTTCTGGCTTCAATAACAAAGATTCAGAATTGTTACTCTTTGCCGGGCAGGCTGACTCAATGCGAACTTAGAAATAAACTTGCCCATTGCAAGCAAGCTCAAAGGCTTCAATGGCAGAATGTTCAATAAAATCATACAAGGAAGATGCAAACTTGTTCTACTAAAGCAATTCGAACTCTGACTGCAATATGATCTGGAACCCCTACATATTCATGTAGTTATTACTCTGTCATGACCGGCTTGTTCTCGTTCGCCTTGAATTTCTGCTCTTTGGGCTTCTGTTCCTCAATTTTTCTGAAGCAAACACCACAAACAACAGCATGATTAGACTACAAATGCTCATCTACAATATGACACTGCATTTATTACAAAACGAGAAAATACATTGCAAAATACACAATATATTCTGCTATTATTAGTTCCGGATTACATATTTGGAAAAGTAGATCCATACTGTTGCATAATTCGAACAGTAAAGACAAGCATTCAACAAGAATAAAATTGCATCCACTTTTACCTGCTGATTTATTATTAGCGACAATAATTAAGCATATGCTGGAAGCTAAATAATGAGAGAGGATTCAAAAAGGACGAAGGGTACTGTCATTGCTTAAACTTAAAGCACGTAAGGTAAATATGCCGGACCTTTAGGTTTCGTCTAATGAGATAATTGCTACAGTTGATCAAATATTATAAACCAATCATCTCAAAAAAAAAAAAAATCTAAACCAGGGTAATAATGTCATGGAGAATCAACAGTAAGCCCTAAGTCAGAGTTGTCTTGAAGCATCAAAATGTGCATTCTATTTTTATAGGAAGTAGATATTTCATTGATGGTATGAAATATAACCAAATCGAGAGAAAATCCGAACTCCTAGCCAAAAAGATTATAAAAAAATTCTTCAGATTAGCAAAAAGATTGTCAAGACTATAATCACTAAAAGGAGTGTAACACATACACCAAAAAAAGGCAACCACTAAGTTGATTCTAGAAAACTGTTAAAAAGGCTTTCTATTGTTGTTAGATGTCCCGCTGTTCCTTTCAAGCTAAAGATTCCAGAAGAAAGTTTAATTTGGACTTGAGAATTTTAAAGAACGTGATTGCACATGAAGGTTTAAAAAGAAATTGCACATCAGCTGTCGTTATACTGAATTCATCTCAGAAAATCAAAAGTCTAGAAGAATCTAAAGCGCCAGTAATTGAACTACGCTGAGAAACTATCAAAATAAAAAGATACAATTCGGTTGTCAAACTCCAGTTTGATCGTTAATATCAATAAAAATATTCATGAAGCTTCGAAATGGAATCTAAAATTTGCTTCATGCTTTTATTCTGTAAACAAGTACGCTCGGACTACAGAGAACTTAGAAGATTCGAGACCAAAAATTGATCATAAAACATTAAAACTAACACAGAGATCGGATACAGGAATTAAATGACCAGATAAAACCGACCCCCCGAATTCATAACAATTCCAAGAGCATGCGTACTTTGTTAATTGTAGTAGAATTGATATCTGATCAAAATGATTCTACTTTCAAGAATAACTCAAACCAATTTCGACATCCCCTCAACAACCTAAGCTACTAAGGTCTATACTCTATAGTTCCATTCACTCACTTCAAAGAAAAAAAAAAGTGCAGTCAAATTAAGGCATCAACTATTCTCGGAACTTTACCCTTGGCCAGGACGAAAGCAGAAAAAATGAACAAACCGAGAACGAACACGATACAGAATCCAAAATCAAACAAATACAATACACGTTCAGAACTAAGAGAGAAGATGAATTTAATGAACCGCATTGCCCTAAATCCAACAAATGAGTTTCTATAGTGTAACCAATGAAACATGGTGAAAGCGAGAGCATACCTTTTATCGGAGTCTCCTCCTCCCTTCTGGCTGAGGAAAGAGCGGAACAGAGGAGAGTTGACGTCGTAGATCATCGTGACCGATTGGCGGCGACGGCGACGGCGACGGCAGCAGCAGCAACAATACTCCGATTTCCGAGCAAAAACCCTACTCTGTGTCTGACGCTGGCCTATTATATAAATATCGGCGATACGAGAAATACAGTCCGCCAAAACTTAAACGCAGCCTCGGTTATTATTATTATTATTTTTTCTCTATTTCCTCTATTAAAAAACACATTTTGTACGAAGTAACGACATATAAAGATAAACTATATTTTGCACCGTTTTAATTTTGTATTCTCAAATTGTTAAGGATTTATGTTACAATTTAGTTTTGGTAATTTAAAGTCGGTAATAATTTAATCTCTATCATAAAAAATGATTTTTTAATATTTATAAATCGATAAAGTAGTAAAGGATTAAATGTATTTTATAAATTATAAATACTAGGTCTTATACATTTATATTTTATTAAAAAAATTTACGATATAAATTAAATTATTAAAATTTTTGAAATACAGTGACTAAATCGTTACCTTTTAAAGTTTAATGACTAAACCTTAAATTGGTATCAGTTTAAAAATATAATGACTACATTGTTACCAAACTAAATTTCATGAACTAGTTTGTTACTTCTACAAAAGTGTAAGGACCAAATGTATTTTAAAACTATTTCTCTAATGTATAATTAAAACTTTTTTATATTATACCTCAGAGAAATAGTTATAAGTTTAGTTCAGTCGCAATTGACATATTTTTATAATCAATAAGTCACGAGTTCGAATCTTCCACTCTTATTGTACTAAAAAAAACACTATTACAATTTAATTGGTATGTATTCTATTTTGAAGGATGTCTAATTAATAAATCTCTAAATTTTGCATCTAGTACATCTCCATAGTTTAATAGTATTAAATAGGTTTTGAATTTTTTATTTTCGGACTAAGGGGCTAATATCATAATTCACGGATTTATTATGAATTTTGTATCTAATAGACATTTGAAATTTGTGTTTAATATCATGATAAATTTTTAAAGATGTCTAATATGTGAAAGACCTGTCAAATACCAAATTGAAAATTTAAAGATTTATTAAACACCATTAATATTTAGGATCTATCAAATACGAAATTGAAAGTTATAGTATAGATATAAAATTGAAAGTTCATTGAGTATTAAATACTTTCTCGGGTCGAATAACCTATTACATACCATCTCTCAAAAATTTGTATTTTTTAATCTATAATATTTAGGTTTTATCTTTTTTTTTTCTCCCTTTTCTAATGCTAATCCACCATTATTTTATCGGATTATCTTACTCTCTCCTTTTTTTTTTTTTGGGAAAGGATTATCTTACTCTCTTGTGCCACCTAATACCAAATTATATCTCCTTAGTCAAATCGTTCTTAATAGTAAAATTTTATTTTAAACGATTAATATGTATACATTTATTAGAATCATGATTGGAAGCACGAAGATATAATTAAAGTTTTTCAAAGTTCAAATATTATATACCATTATATTTATAATTTAATTTATCTCGACGAAATCTCAAATATTGACGAGGAGTGTCAACCATCCCTATTATCTTCTTTAAAATCGAAGGTTTGATCCATGATTAAAGGGGAAAAAAATTTAAAAAACTAGTATAGTTCTTATGTCTTTGATTCATCTGGGTCGAACCTATAAATTTTTGTCCATGTACTTTCAAGTTCATGCAACATGTAAATTGATTGGTCAATGTACTTTCAACCATAGTTTATTTTAGTTTATGATCTTTCAAAATATTATTTTTTAGTCATGTACTTTTAAAGAGATGATCATTTCATTTTTTTTCTTAAAAGGTGATTATTTCGATCCATAGTTGTAAAATTTTTATGTAGCTCAACGATAAATGACGGTTACTCATTCTCTTGAGGTTAGAGGTTCATGCTCCTATATTCCAATTTATTGTACTCAAACGAATATCATCTAATATAAAGTTCTGATTACCTTTCAAAAAATCTATTGAATATAATAGTATGTTAGAATTACAATCGAAAAAAATAAGATAAAAAATTAAAATGAAGAGATTAGAATAATTTTACAAAATGGTACACGGACCAAAACGAACATTAGATTTCAGATTGCGAATCGTTGGGTGCCGACTGTCCAATCGGTGCCTCTAGCTGCCTATCCACCCAGTTATCTTACTTTCCTCAACTACCCTTCCCCATTTCTTTTAATCCCCAATATGTCCGACTCAGTGCAATTTACGAAAACGCCCTTTATATCGACGGAATAAGTCAACTAAAACAAATAATATAAAAAATTTTCCTCATGCATATTTATAGTTTTGTTCGTAACTGAAATTCAAGACCTCGTTGGTTTGACTTGCTAGCCATATTAGAACGGGTCAATAATTAATTTTATTTGATTAAAATGTTTTTGAAATATAATTCGAATATTGTTTTTTATTTTCTTTCTGAATTTTTTAATTTAGTTATTTGTTCACCATCTTTCAAACGTCCCACGTCACAAAATCTTAACCACATTGGACATATTTTGTTGATTCTTTTGGAGTTAATTTGGGTAGATTGACAAATTTCACATCTTAACTCTATAAAGTAACTTATTAAAAAAATGGAGAAAATAAAATATAATTTTGAGAGGAAAACACAGATTACGGAGAGAAAGAAAAGTTATAAAGGATGAAATATTAGAGACAGAAAAGTTTGGAAAAATATTAAATTTTTAGATGGAGGAATGAAACTGGTCTGTTAGAAAACAAACAAAAATACATAAAAATTTGGAGAGAGACAAATAATAACAATTATTCAAAATAGGAAAATTTTAGAGGGAGATACCATTTGTAGGGAGAAATTTTAGAAATAAAAAATTTTAGAATGAAATATATTTTTTAGAGATAAATATTAGAAAGAAAAAAGTTCAGAAAAAATCAGATTTTGAAAAACAACAGCTTGTTTTTAAAACTATTTTTTTATTGTTTTTGAAATTTACGTAGAATTTTAAAATGGTTTTTGAAAACAAAAAACATCAAATTGAATTCGTTATAAAAACTTAAAAATCAAAAATAAAAAACGTGCGTGTAAAATATTTTTCCACTCATTTATGTTTCCATCAAATTCCTAAACCTCAATATTTTTCATCCTCATTTCTATTTAAAATCTTGACACAATCGATTGGATAAATTGACATCTATGGTTCAATTCTCCGTCCATATATTTATTGTATTTAGAAAAAGAAAAAAGAAACCTCGAAATACGTAAATGTTGGAAAATTTCCAGCACATGGACTGTGGTTGAAATTTCTTTCAGTGAAGCGCATTGAAACTACGTTCTCTCTCTCTTTGTAGTGTTTGTATCCATTTTAGACCACCACTGTTCATCACCTTCCCCTCAGACTCCAAACAACAATTTTACAAAAACAGGGGAATTTCAATTTCCAAGGAAACAAAAAGGTGGTGGTGGTAGAAGTAGATTGTGCATGAGTTCAGGATGCTCATAAATCGTTTTATTTCTAATGTTCGCCACCTTCCCTTCTCTTCCTCTTCCTAATCTCAATCCCCTTTTGTTTCGAATCGCTTTTCTCCGCCGTGCGCTTCCCACAGCCGCCGCCTCCTCAGGTACCAACGCCGCCTCTCCCTTCTCCACTGTGTGGCTTTATTTCCGCTGTAGAATGGTCTGCGTTTGATCGGTTTTCTCGGTCTCCGGTCATCGGCATTCGGCGTTGACGGCCGGACCCGAATGCTGATGAGTAGTTTGTTCTGTATTTGGCTTTCTGGGTTGGCGTTTGTTCTTTTATTGGGTTTGTTTAAATTGGCGTTTTGAGTTCATTGTGTTGCGTTTTTAGTAATTGGGTATCTGAATTGTTGGTGGGTGGGGTTGACTTGTGGCGGGAAGGAAGAGTTTGAGAACACCCACCACCCAAATCGTTTGGTTTTTGTGTCTGGTTCCTTAGATTTAGGATTGGAGTTTTGGATATGAATGGAAGGAGAAGAAGGTTTGGTCGTTAAAGTTGACTTGGGAGACTTAGAATTTTCTCGAGGAATTCGAACTTATGACGTTTAAGGAAGGTTTGTGATGCATTAACTAGTTGAGTTATGTTCAGGTCGCTCGAGTTCTATGGGAAGTGTGTAAAATAGTCGGGCTGAGTTTATTTTTTGTGCTCAATTTTAGGTTGCACTTTGGCTATTAACTGTTAGCTTGTACTACACTTTATTTTTTTATTTTTATTTTTAGTACAACATGTTGGGGAGGAGATTCGAACTCACAACCTCTCGGTTGGAGGTATATGCCAATTACTGCTGAGTTACGCTCGCTTTGGCTTTTACTACCCTTTATTACTTCTGTGATAATTTAAATGGGCAATTATTGGCTCACAGTATGATACTCATTTTCCAGTAGTACCTTATGTGGAGCATATGGACTTCATTTAGCTTGCTTCACAGATCTTCTATTTCTTAGTGTAGCAAGTTTCTGTTTCCTGACATTGGCTACAAAAGAAGAATAGACTTCATCATCATGTCATCTTCTTTGTTCAGTATTTGAAAACACGAACTCGTTTTATATTCATGTATTTGGTTTGAGTTCTCTTGAATGCATGAATCGACGTGAAAATACGTCATCCTTATTGGTGGTCCTTGGAAATTTACATTCTTTGTCAACATGATAACTCGATGCAATCTTCCCATAATCGGTTCTGTTCTTTTAGCCTTATCAATCCGTTTCATGACATTTAAGAAATTTTGTCCAGTGTTTTGGAGATGTCTTTTCTTCTTCTCATAGAAACTAATTAAGCTTGTTCTTCTTGTCTGCTCTAGATGTGAGGTAATACCACTGAGAAGAAGATCGAACCAAACAATTCCATTTCCATTCCTCTGATAAGAAGATTGAAGCTATAATCATGGTGAGCTTAAGAAGGCGTAAACTCCTGGGATTTTGCTCTGGTAAACATTACTTTTTAAAGCTCCTGTATTGAGAAAATGCCTCCTCTTGAATTGGTTGATAATCAAGGTGTGGGATTTGTAGGGAAAGGCTCATTTCTTGCTCCAGTTCACAAGTTTTCTGAAAATTTGACTACCGAAAATCCCATACATTGTACAAACTTTGTTAGCGTGCATCCGATCTGTTCAGACGACATTAACAAGATAAAGGAGGTCAGTACAATTGAGATTTTTTATTCTTCAATTACTACACAATGAAAATCATGTTGTTAACGAAAGAACTAGCTGCTTCAAGACCTTATTTCTTTCTCTGTTTCGTGGCTTGATTTGCTGTAAGTTTTATATTTTACATGTTTTTCTGAGGCAAGACTATCTGTAAAATTGCCCATGAACCTTCATTTATTTTCTTTTTCATCACAATAACTATGTTTAGTACATAACAAGGACATTTAGGCTGTATACTTATCTAGATAATATTGCATTTTTTCAGAATCCCATTGCAAATACAGAGCCTGAATCTTCATCAAGGGTAACTGTTTTGGATACATCAAAAGAGAAAAATGAGGAGTCAATTGCAGGTTTGTTTGGTTTTCAAATCATCCTTGCATATATAAGAATTTGCATGGTATTGTTTTTATGTTCTTGTTTTATGATTTTGGATACCAAATTATTTGGGGCTTTAGAGTGAGTTTAGCATGACTTTGAAATGGTAAAAAAAAAGTGTTTTTAACCAATTAGAGGGATTTTCCCAATTTATTATGATATTTGGCTAGAGATGAGTATTTTAGTCTATATTTAGAGTCTAGACATAATATGATAATGTGATTTAATGACTCAATCTGCATGCTATTGTACATGTAGACCCGCCCGTACAGTGCAGAAAGAGACACTGGAGAAAGCGTTTTCCAGATGAACCTTTCTTAATGAGAGGGGTCTATTTCAAGAACATGAAATGGCAAGCTGCAATAAAGGTTGACAAGAAACAAATACACTTGGGAACTGTAGGATCACAAGAAGAAGCTGCTCATTTGTATGACAGGTAAAGTTTTGAAGCAATATAATGTTTTAATTGATTGATGAATATGCCATTTTGTACATATGACAACTTGAATTGCCCAAGTAGTATACACTGTACAACTGTGTCCTTGAGTTTTTAAGTAGCTTTTGCCATCAAAGTTAGTAGTGATTCGTTGGTATGTTTATGGTGCACCAAGGCATAGGTGATAGAGCTGGGAAGTAGGTCAACTTTGTGCTTCTTTTCTCAACCCACCCGCGAGACCAGCGCGCCCCAAGGCTAGCTCGGGAGGCTTCAAGGAGCGGGGGAATTAATAGCACCACCGTTCAAATCTAGAACCTTGGAGATAAAACTAGACATACCAAGTAGAATTAGACGAAAGGATTTCACAGACTTATTAGACTTTTAAACTGACATAATGTTAATCCTTTAGCAGAGATAGGCAGAATGATAAAACAGTAGTGGGTGGTGACTATTATTTAAGATAGTGCTATTTATAATATTGAGCTCTGTGTACTAACATGACCATTTCTAAAAAGCAATGAGCTGACGATAGTTCTTTTGCATTTCTAGAGCTGCTTTCATGTGTGGAAGGAAACCAAACTTTGAGCTCCCAGAGGAGGAGAAGCAAGAACTGAGAAAGTTAAATTGGGACCAATTTTTAGCAGTCACTCGCCACGTCATTACTAATAGAAGTAAGTTTTTCCTCTCTTGAATTTGGACAACGTTCGGAATATTAGATCATCTTGGTTATTCATCATCATGCTCTTCAGAACAGAAGAGGCTCAGCCCAGAATCAAACAAGTCTAAGCTTCCTTCGTCGGGAAATCATGACTCGGACAAAAGACATGGCAAGTTCAGTAACCTCTCAACTCTAGAAGATATGAAACCAGAAGCCTCTACCTCTTGAAGATTAGAATTCAAGAAGAAAAAGTTTAGTTTCCTTATCTCTTCCTCAAGTATGATGGAGATCTGCAGTTTTGATTTTCCTCTGGAATTTTGGATGTACATCATTTTAGTGATTTTTAGGTAAATCCTTCAGAATTCGAGCCAATAAAAAGATCGATCGACTCGGGAGGGTTCTTTCCATGCCTTCTTATTTGGACATTACTGCAAGATGCTTCTTACGACGGGGCTCGAGCTATTTTCCAGGCTCGGAACCCATAGGTTCAGCCATCCCTTGTTGCAGTGATGTTTTTCACATGATCAAGGAACCTTGTTTCCATGGATGAAGAAGATACCACTATTAGCCATCTTATGTTCATAGCTATGCCTTTATTTCAAGTTTCCATTGTTATTAAATTATTATTTGAAGGTCCCCTTGAATCCCTCAATAATATGACATTGTTGTTTTTCTTTTTTTCTAATCATTTTACTATGTCTTAAAAGGAATAAAAGTGTAAAACCAAATGCCATTAAAATTCTCTCTCATTGCCTACCATCCCCAATTGAACATTTGCTAACTAAAACAAAAAAAAAAAAAAAAAGAAAAAATCTTGTTCCATTTAGATTATATTAATCAAATAAGGTTGAAAATTTGTATTTGAATTTTAATGATAATACTTTGAAAAGAAAAAAGAAAGACACCAACAATAACAGTGAGAGAGTGATAGTGCAAGAATTTAGAGGAGGTTTACGAATCATTTTATGAGTAGTTTTAACCATCACATTTAGAAAAATGGGTCTCCATATATTTATTTAAAAATTTGCTTTGCACTTTTTCCAGTGATTTTGAATGATTAAAAGAAACGCAAATATGAATAACTATGTTAAAAACTAATATTGTATTAATTTTTTAACTGAGAATAACTTGAAGTAATTTTGCATTTTTTCAAAACCATTCAGAGCTGTTTGATTCCCCGTTTTCAAAACAGAGAGTAAGGTTTTACAGTTTTACTACAGTAAATACTATTCCTCCCAAAATTGCTACCGTGTATATTCTGTTTTTATTCTCTCTCCTAAAATGAATTAGTTTTTTTAAATTAAATATATTAAATAAATGAAGAAATTAATTAATCATAATTTTAATTGTAAATAAGTAAATCAATTTAATTAAAATTACATGTAATAAATAATTAATTCATATATCGACAATTTTTCTTTAGTATTTTTTCAAGTGATCCAATAAATATTTTTTTTTGTTATTGGTATCTATTTCCAGCTGTTTTTTTTCCTCTATTTTATATAGTTGTTCATTTTGTTTCTACCATTTTTATTTATTTTTTGTTATCACCATCACATTTGTAAAAGATGCTATAAATTTGTATAATTATTTATTTTAATTTTATATATTCTTTTTAACTTATAAGTTAATAGTTTTAAACAAGTATTATTTAAAAGGTTTTCACTTTATAATAAAATGTAATTGTCAAATAAAAATGAATTAAATTTAATAGTAATGTTGATGATAATTAAGTAATAAAATTTACTTAACATAGTAAATAGTGAAAAATAAATAAATTGTTGATAACATTACCTCTACGGTAAAATTTATGTTGAAGTATTTTCACAAATAATTGAACATTTAATTTAAATTAATCATTGGAAAAAAAATTAGATGGACAAATGTATTAAAAATATTTTATATATCCTTAGTATTTCTTAATTTCATGAGAAAATTGATTTATTTAAAATAATGTCAAATAATTTAAATGTAATTTAAATGCTTTTAATTAAATAATTAGTTTATAAATTATTTTTTAAAAAAGAAAATTAAAACTCAACCAATCGAACACGAGTTTAATAAAGGCAGTTTAACAAAATACAAAATACTGATTTAACAAAAGACTTAATAAACTTATTTCCTACACCAAACTAAACCCAAACTTAACAAACCATGACAAAACAACGAACCAAACACCCCCTTAAAAATCATTGTCAAACATGTTGTGCTTTTGGCATTCGTAAGAGATTAGTCATGCCAACGTTACTCCCAAATATGTCATTAGACACGTGGACAAGTCAAGAACGTGAATAAGAACTAATCATCAATATCCACTTTCATAGTAAGAGCTATAATTTACATGAATGAAGTTCAGCAAATCCCTACTGGTTGCAAATCAGGACAATGCCAACGAGGTTTGAGAATCTAACTCTTCATCATCTCATTACATAGGTGTTTTGTAGATCCTGGGAGCAACCCGATTCTAGTTTAAGACTCTACGAAAGCAGTGAAACGAGTGACACAAACTCGTGTGTTATTCGCCCCTTGGATCTCGTGTTAATCACAAAGTGCTCTGGGTATTTTCTCAACAACATAAGCAGGCCATACCATGGTTTATCCTTGGCTTCTGAACCGTGCCAATCCTCTAATGTCAGGTATTTCCTCACTCTACTATGGTGCCAAACGTTACCATAATGCTCGACCAACTGCAGAAAACAAACCCAAAAAGATGGAGATTAAGAAGGCCCTAGTAACGGTTTATCGTTATACTCTGCATAAAGCTCAGTGAAATTGTTTGTAGTGTAAGGGAAATCATATTCTGATCTCAGTGAAAAGGTATCATGTGCAAATTTTGTTTTGGCAAATGAAAGCAGAAATCTTTGAACGTCTACAGAAATATGATGCCACCAGGACTTTAGAATGTAACCTAAGGCCGAAATTTGAAATTCTACTTTTTGATTTAATCGTGTATGCAGCTCAAGGAGTAGATGATTATAAATACCAAAAACTCCATTAAGTGAATAATGGCAACTTTTTAGGCCGATCGAAATAGAAGTCATGAGTGATAGTGAAGTCGAGTCATATAAAATGAGCAACCCTTATAGCAATGGTAAACAGCCTCTACTCATAGTCTCTTTTTCCAAACTTTCTCAACCTTCTATAAATCTTTTTTTAACTAACTAATACAGATTTGACAGCATCATTATCAGAAAGTACCAAAAGAAGTCCTACAAACTTAATAGGTCACTTTCAAAATGATAAACTTTTCCAAAACTCCAATATTTTTTCACTTTCTTAAAGCTATGGGGATAAGACATTCCATCTAACATACCTCAGCGTGGAGCTTCTCCATAGGCATCCATTCTCCTGGGCCACAAAGATCAGACAGCACAGTAGCTACCGATGATACCACATCTTTTTCTTCCTGGAGAAGCTGATTATCAGCTTCTCGATCGACTCTTGACCTTCCATCTAATTTCTTGTCCATGGAAACTGTAGATTATGGTTCAAGAGAGAAATTAGGCCTGTCCTGTACAACGTACAGGTACACAGATCTTAGGCAGCATGGAGAAATACAGTGCATCCAATGGTTGTGCAATCATAGTTCAATGCAAGCACCCAATCAATCGTTATTAATCCCAGCATATGGAAACAGATATCATCTTCCATAATCATGAATAGGAAGGAGTTTGCAAGAAAAATTTAAAGGCAAACTTCTTTTTCCCCTGTTGATAAGAAACTAGAACCTTAATGAAAGAAAGAAGAAACAATACACCATACAGAAAGGGAAGATAAGATAGCCTCCCAATCCCAACCAAAGGCCAAACATGATCACAGAAGAACTCCGTATTAGAATCAATTAAAAAGTGAAAGTAGTTAAAAAAAACTTAGCAAAAGAAGAGCACCAAGAAGAGGCTATAAAAGACATCAAATAAAAATAAAAATCTAACAAATTTCTCTCTATCCCTGGAGATTCCATCGTTTTTTTCCTCTCTCTAACCAAGAGGTCTAAAGGAGGTCCTTATCACATTCCACCAAAATGTTTAAGCTTTGCTCCTAACACAATAGCGGGATAAGATCTGGGAAAATATAAGCTTTTGGAGTAGTAACTAGTAAGTAAATCGAAGCCATACAAGTACAAAAATTTGTGCAGCCAAGCACATGATCCTCAGTATCACGATCATATCGAAATAATTTTCAAGAGTTCCTAAATCTAAACCACAAATAACATAACGGCTTCCTTCTGTCCTTGGGCCAGTTTACTTCAAGAATCTTCTAATAGACTTGTAGAGCCAAAAACTACTTTGGTTTTGTTTTTAAAGGATAATACTCTACCTCTTGCACTAAGTTACATTTCTTATAATAAAAAAGGTCATAGAACCTAACAAACTCCTCAAGTCCAAACAATCCCATTAAGATTCTAGATAAAAACACAGAAGAAAAGATTCTGACAGTGCTGAATTAGCAGAGTGTCAAAGAAAAAACATCAAACAGAAGAGTCAGCCATCCTAGAATCCTGAAATAAAACGTGCTTTTGAACCTCTTCAATCAACTTCCAGCAACTAAAAGGCCAAGGAGACAACACAAAATCAAGAATTTGGACATGGATGATTTGTAAACGTCTAAAAACAATCAAGAAAAGAAAAGGCAAAAGAGACATAAGAAAGATGCTAACCCACTCCGCCGGAAAATCCTGCTTTGCCTCCTGAACCTCCGGCTCCATATCCCTCTCGCCTGAACTTCTTGCCACTACTTCCACCAATTTCGTCCTCATCTTCATATCCCTCCTCGTAATACTCTCGTCCTCTCCCCTTCTTCATCATCGCCCCCGCAGCAGCCGCTCCTCCCGAGCCAGGTAAATGAAAATTATAGTGCGAGTGGGAAGGCACCACCGGCCCGGCGACGGGAGGACCCGGCGCCGCCGAGCCAGGATGACCCAAATAACTCCTGGGTCCAACCGGGCCACCCAAAATATTCCTCACCGGCAACAGGAAATAGAATTCCTTATCCCCAATCTGAAGGAGATCTTGAGAATCGAGCTTGACCGGCGCGTTTCCGGGTAGATGAAGAACCCCTTCAACGAGGCAGCCGTTTTTGCCGAGAACCTCTAGGGCAAATCGGCGGCGCGTGAAATCGTAGAAAATACGAGCGTGGTGGCGGGAAATGTTCATCCCGCCGCCGAGGCTGGAGAGGTCGACGTCGACGGTGGATTTCTTGGAATTGCGGCCAAGAATGATGGAATAAGTTTGCATATAGTATTCGAAATCCTCCCCTTGGAGCTTCGCGAACCCTGCTTCTACATCACTCCCCGTCGCACCCATTACACAGAAATTGGATCTCAAATCGAAAATTTACAACTTTTTGAAGAGCCGAAGAAATCGAATTAAAATCGACGAAGACTCTTCTCTGTGCCGCGATTTCCCTCCTGCGTCATTCCATCGAATTCCTCCGCCTTCTCTTCTATGGTTCTGCCATGATCGAATTATTTTCATTTCTCTTTTTCTTTTTCTCTTTTTTAGCTATATATTTATTTTAGTTTTAATTATAAACAAAGTTTAAAATATAAAATAATATACTTTTCCTAAAATTTTCTTATAATATTGAAATTCAAATGTATACACTCGTTACAAAATAAAAAATCTATAATTCATAAATTAATCAATTTATCTAAAAAATCTCTATAAATATATCATATATGCTAGGTTAGGTTTATTTTAAGTCCAAGTTTCATATCCCTTTCTTATTCTCTCTCAAATCTCAAAATTTTTATCCTTGATCTTGGTTTCACAATTAAGACCACAATTACTTTAAGTGTGATTATCAATTCTAAAGTAGAAATCAAAGCTTTTTATTTGTCCAAATCAATCTAGCCGCTTCAAAATTTAAAGTTTTTTAGTTCAAATTTTTTTACTTTTTTTAAAATATTTTTATTGTCCGATACCTTTATATTTGATATTTGTTTAGATTTGCTTGCTTAAAAAATCAATATGTCTATAAGAAAATTTGAATATGAACTTAAAAGATAGAAAACTGATTGAATCTCAAAAAGATTTATCGATAAATTTGTTATTGGATTTAAAAGTAATAAAAATGATGAAATAATAAAATAAATAATAGGGATAGACAAATCAAAATATGAAACAAAAATAGTAGATAATGATATGATTGACAATGAAGCATGTAATTAAATAAATTTCAACTTTATTATATCAGGGCTTCTTTATCAAAGTTTTGCCCAAGGTCCCATATCATATCGAGTCACCCTCCCTATAACAATTCTACTGGTTTTTTTTAACTCATCCCTTGCATTAAATTAGTGATTGTCATCCTTGAGGAAAAAAAGTAAAAATAAAAGTAGTGATTATCTACTAGACCGTGGTTATTAGATTTTGCCACATTTCCTTTTCATTTTAATAAGTAATTATGCAATTCACGATTCTTAAAATTTATTTTAAAACTATGTTACCTTTCAAATTTATTCAAAAACTTATTTGTGAAGCTGAAATTTCAAGGAGTAGAACTCAAAGAACAAGTCAAGTCGTGAAAAAACATAGAGATATAACAAGTTGGTCACGACTCTAATAGAAACAAACTGTAAGCTGATCTTCTTGTTCTATTTGCTTGCAGTGCTATACCTATTAAAGTTGGTGAATGCTTTTATAATCTTAGATTCGTTATGCTATTTGACTAAATTCGTTGGTCTCGTGTCTATCGAAAGTAGGTTACCTTCGTGAACCATATTGGTGGAGTGACTATATATCAATCTTTCTAACTTATAGGTTCCAAGTTCAACTGTATCAATTTTTAATGCATTATATTTTAAATAAATTTGGAAGTTATAATATTTTTTAAAAATAAAATTTAAAATTAGTTTTAAAAAAAATCTTCATTCTACCCATAGCCGTAAATTAGTACTATTAAAAAAAATCCTCATTCTACCTAAAATTTTAAATAAGTTTAAAATTATAATATTTTAAAAATAAAATTTAAAACTAGTAATATTAAAAAAAAAATATCTTCATTTTACCCGTAAATTAGTAATTTTTTAAAAAAAAATCTTCATTGTTCTGCCCGTAAATTCTATTCAAAATTTTCATCTTCCATCTTGGTCTCCCCATTATAGAATAGAAATCAAAAGTCTTTTATTTCTTCAAAATCTAATGACTTCAAAATTTCAGGTTTTTTTCATTCAAATTTTTTTTTTCTTTTTGTTAAATTTTTTTTCTTATTTTTTATTGTTAAATAACTTTATATATGTGATTGGTTTAGATTTGCTTGCTTAACAATAGAAAACTAATTGAAAGTATTATCGATAAATTTGTTATTGGCTTTAAAAATAATACTAAAATAATAGAAGAAATTAAATCAAAAGATGAAACAAAAATAGTAAATAATGATATGGTTAAAAATGAAGCATGTAATTAAATAAATTTTAAATTTACTATAGTAAGGTCTCATTGTCAAAATTTTGACTAAAGTCCCATATCATATCAAGCCACCCTTGCATGTAACAATCTTATTCTCTATTTCTTAACTCATCCCTTACATTAAATTAGCTACTGTAAAAAGAAAAAAGAAAAAAGAAAAAAGAAAAAAGCAGTGATTGTCTACTGGATAGTGGTTATTAGTTTTTGCCACATTCTTCTTCATTTATCTAAAAGTCATGTAAGTCATTGTGCAATTCATGATTCTTAAAATTTATTTAATCCACATTTCAAATTTATTCAAAAACACTAATTTGTGTAGCTGGAGGGAAGCAAAGCTCGAAGAACGAATCAAGCCATGTAAAAACGTAGGGCTATAGCAAATAAACATCAAGATTCTCTCTTGTTGACGAGTACAACAAACTCGCGACTCTAATAGAAACAAACGGTCAGCTCTTATTCGTTCTATTTGCTTTCAATGCTTCTTTTTAGTACTATATGTCCATCTTTCTAAGTTATAGGTCATAAATTTAATTGTAACATTTTCTTTAAATATTATTGTTTAAATAAGTTTGAAAGTTATAATATTTTAAAATTAGTAATATTAAAAAAGTAACCTCATTCTACCCGTAAAATTATATGGGTATATCATTGAATAAATTTTAATGTAAAATGAGAACTTTTATAGTTTGGGTAAAATACATTTTCGATCCTAAGAGTTTGAATGTAGGTTTCGATCTCTATTCTCTCCTCGTCGATTTTCTCTTCCTCTTCGTCTAGTTCTCAAATTTTAAAAACGAAAAACGGGATTGGCCAGGTCGAGAATGACAAACAAGAAAAAGCTCCAAAAAAGAGTCCACAATATAAGTCCGCATGATTTGAACCAATCACCAGTTTCCTCCTCAACCCATTAAATTATTGCCATAAATCAGAAACCCCATAGACAGACAAAAGAACAAGAAGATCTACCAGAACCAGGCCGAGAAGGATGAAGAGGGAAGAGAGAGAAAAAGGAAAGAAAAAAAATGACATATAATTAAAAATAATATGAAAGTAATATATATCAAATTCTTAAATGTCACGTAACTGTGAATGTTAAAGGACTTTTTTAGAATCATTTTTAAATGTTAGGGACCAAAGTATAACTTTTGTAAATTTAGGAACTAAATGGAAATCTATCGGGATCAAAAGTGTATTTTATCATTATAATTTTATCTTTCAAGTCACTGAGGTCAAATTTGTCATTTAACTAAAGATCAAGATCGAGATGGGTAATCGCAACTTGGTAATATGGGACTTAAGACCAAATTTTGCAGGAATAATTTAACAAATTTGATCCCTATAGTTTTAAAAGTTTCACTTTAGTCTTGTTTGTTTTTTTTAATAACTTTAAATTTTGATATGAAAACAATGGATATAATTTGTGAAATTTAACTAAATTATAAGGACAAAATTAAAATTATATCTTAGAATCAAATTTATAATTTAACCTATAATATATTATCTTAATTTTATATTTTTGTATTAAATTTTGATAATCTAATTTTATTAAAAAATTATAGATGATATTGTCTATTCTTTATTAGGAAGGTCAGGTTGTTTAATTTAATTTTTTTGTTTTTTGTTTTTCTTTTGAAATAATTGACTTCTAATCACAATTTCATTCCTAATGCTTCTCTCAAGTATTTGTTAATTTTAATAATATTTTATAAAAAATATATACCTTATTATTAACAATATTTCATAAATCGGAGAGAAGTTTAATAAGAAGATATTTATAGTGAATTTTAAGGAAAATTGAAATATTTTCATTAATAAAAATGAGACAAAAAAGACAAAACAAGAAAATAAAGCAACTTAAAATGTTTCTTCTTTTAAAAAAAATATATTAATAATGGAAAATTTTAGGATTATGAGAATATCAAAATGAAATCCTCATGCACATCATTCTTTTTAATATTATCCACAAACGTCTATGTAGAATTATATTAATGAAAGATAAATTTATATCATTAATAAAATAATTTAAATATTTAATTAATTATCTTATATTATAAAATTACATTTGCAATTCTAAACTAAAAATAGATAATATTATTAATATTTTTATATGAAATGAATGAAAGTATTAAAAAATTGGAGACATGCCTAAAAAATTTGTTCTTTAACATCTAGTATCTACCCCTTCAATCCATGTTTTGACACATTATTAAATAATATATTATTTTATTTAATAGAACTAGATTATGTTTAAAGTATGAAAGAATTTTCATAGTATTGTAGTATTTGAATTTGCCATTTCTCTAGGCCTTAAGTCACATGATGATTGAGATGAAAAAGTAAAAATAAAATATATTATTTTTAACTCATTATTGGAAAATATCAAATTTATTTAATTAATTATATCTTCGTGACGTTGTTGAAAGTCAAATTACTAAAAGAAAAAATAAAGATTAGACCATGTTGGACTTTTAAAAAATCAAACTAACATTTCAAAAATCAAACCAACAAAGATAATGGTGTAAGTTATTTGGTAGAGGATATTATAAAGAAGCATCATATAAGAAGCCATTTCCAAAGGTGAATAATCAAAGTGCGAAGAAATAAAGAGAAATTAAGGGGAAAATGAACAACAAAATTCCAGATCAAACCAACGAAAATACATTTAGAGTGAAGAAGTCACCGAAAAGCATGCAGAAGACGTTTGGAAAGTCACCAACAGCTCCAAGATCCGTTCACCAAAATCGAGAGGTTTGGTCTTACAATCTACGCAAAGAGTTAGAGCTGCTGAATGCGTATCTTCCAAAGTTTTCAATAGTCGCCATTGATACAGAGTTTCCAGATATTGGGTTGCTTAGATAAGATGGAGAATCAAAACTATTTTATAAGTTTAGTTGGAAAAGGTTTTTACACTCGCGAGCTCGATGGATGAACCAGCATTTCTTCGGTACACTCCGAAAGGTGTTTCAGAGGAAGAATTCTACCATTGTCTTCGATTCAATGTGAATCGATTGAACATACTCCAGCTCGGTCTCACACTCGTCGATCAAAATGGAAATGTAGCGATGACTTGAGAGTTTAATTTCAGAGATTTTGATCATATCAGCGACATGGAGGGCGTTTCATCATTGCATTCGTTTCTAAAGAACAAGAGATTCGATTTCTACAAATTGAAGAAAGATGGAATAGCTCCAGAGGATTTCACTGCCCTGTTTCTACCAATTTGTCGTAGTGGTAGAATCGATAGATGGATCACATTTCATGGCTTCTACGACATCGCTTATCTTCTGAAGCTGCTCAAAATCAAATCCATACCAATTTCCATGGCAATGTTTGCAGCCACCGCTCAGCATCTATTAGGTACTAATGAATCGCCAATCAATTTAAAAGCTTAATTTGATGTGTTATGGTAAATTTAATGTTTTATATTTACTTGATAGGTACTGTCACTGATTTGAAGCATATGGCTCGCTATTGCGATGGATTGCTCGACAGCGACCTAGGGCTAAAAAAGTTGGCAAAGCTACTCGACGTGAAACGAATAGGCATAGCACATTTTGCCGGTTCTGATAGTTTACTCACCGCTGCAGTATACACCTAGATGAAGCAAATGTTCAAGCTTCCGGTAGAGCAATGTGAAGGGTTTCTTTACAGCTTGCCTCACCGGATTCAAACTTTTAGACCAATTGTCAAGATCATCGATCCATCTGTCACAATTCCTCCTCCTTCACGTCTGCCACAATTGTCTTTTGGCAGCTTTCCACCGTTTTTCATTGATATTCACTCTAGATTAGATGGTCATTGAGTTATAGTTAGTTGAGCAGACGTTGAAATTGTTGTAATTGATTGGTACTAGTATATTAACCCATCCAATGCATATAATAAAAAATTGATTTTATTTATTATAAAAATATCTATTTAGCTAAATTAGTATGTGCTTTAGATTTATAGAAATTTTATAACTATCTTAAATATATTTTATTATTTATAATTAAAACGATTATAAAAATATAAGATTATAAGTAAATACTATTATTAATAAAAATAAGTTAAAAAAAGTTATACAAAACAATGAAAAAAACATTTTTATCTAATTTAGGTCCATTATTTTTTTATTATATATTTTCAACCTCAATCTTGATTGTAAATTAATTTATATACTTATAATTTATCAACCTTTTATCATTTTTCCATCATTAAAATCTTTACAATTATTTTCTTATTTATTATTAATATATATAAGTTTAAGTTCCTTAATTATATTCTTAATTTTCTTAGCATAAAGATTTTAAATTGGTGTGGAAATGATTAAAAACACAAATTATAGTTGGAGAAAATTAAAAATTATAAATATTTTTGACATTACATGTCGTATTCTATAACTAAATATAGTTATATATAAATATTTAATTGTACAATTAATTTTACATTCTAACTTTTCACATTACGTTTACTTAATCTCTTAGGTGCATATACATTGCATTGTCTTATTTGTAATGAAATTTAGGTTATATTTTATTATTTTTAATATATCAATTAAAAATATATAAGTTTTTATATTTTAATTTTAAAAAATATATTTTACCTAATTTAGGCTCTTTTTTGTTATATATTATGAGAAAAATTATTTTAATTTCATATTTATAATTATATTAATTATTTGCTTCTATAACTTCTGCTAACATGAAAAAAATTTTGTATTCTAAATTTTTAGATTGCTTACCAATTATTATTGATAATTGAATTAATTAATTAATTTACTATTTATAATTAATTAAAAACTTGGTTAAGTATTGACTTACATTATTTTTTTTTAAATAACACAAACTTGTAATTATGATCCATATGTTTACCAAACATTTGAAATAAAAAAAATACAATAATTATGAAAGAAAAAAAAACAATAGGAACAATTAGACTAATACCTTAGCATAACTCAATGGTAAGATGTCATGAGTTTTATCCCTCACAAATAATTTTATATTGTCAATAAATTTTTGTTATTATCTAAATACACGAATAGAATAAAGAAATTTCACTAGTTTGCATATGTTTTTTTAACAAATATAGCATTAGTTTTTTTCCCTTCTTTTTTATATTACATTTGAGTTTAAGTTAGATTTGTATTGTTTTTGTTTTTGTTTTTGTTTTTTTTTAATTATAAACTTTCTACTATATTAGAAAATACATATTTATTTTATGTGATTGATATAAATGCCTTAGAAAAATTTTACTCTATGTCACAACTTTTCATTTTTTATCAAATATGTCATAAATTTCACTTCTAAAAGTGTGTTTTATTTATCTATTTTTTTTTAAGAGAAAGGCAGATCAATCAGTCAACAAAAATTCATTTAAACATAATGGGAAAGGAACACTTAACAATGTGTATCAATTTGTAACCTAAATTTTCAATTTGATCAAATTGCACCTTAAACTTGAAATAGTATTGCAATCTTCACGTTAAAACTTTAAAAAAATGTTGCAAGTTTTATCTTGGAATAGATAATTTCATTTGAAATTTTGTTGCAAAAAATATACTCGTATATGTTCAAATGAGTTATAAACATATATTTGATATGAAATTGATAGTATGTAGACAAAAAGAACATTATAGCTAGTTTTTTTTGGTTGAAATTTGTAAATTTTTGCAAAGTTATTTAATAGAAATTTTTCTATATGTATATCATTTGTGTATCAATAACTTTAGATTTAATTTTCTTTACTTTATTTTTCTTTGTTTGCACATTTGTTTTCATATGAAAAAAATTTGTAAATATATTAGTATTATTTCAACACACAAGATATCATAGTTATATTAATAGATATCATAGTTATATTTGAGAGAAATTGGAGAGTTTCTTCGTTTGACTTCCTCCGTATTAATCGGCAAAAATTGGGCTGGAAGGATAAATCGTTTTTTTAGTATCTAGGCCTCCATTTAAAAAAAAAAATTGCTACATTTATAAAATCAAAATGTGGATGCAATTTTGACCTAATTCGTTATAAAATCACCATTTTGCAAGTTGAAGGCTCGAACATGGGATGTAGGCCCAAATTCAAACAGACCCATTGATTTCTCGAAAAACATATTCAATATATTTGTTGTACTATATACACCCTCTTTCAAATATTGAAAACATTTATTAATATTGATTTTTTATGAAGAAATTATCAATATTGATTTAAATCATAACAACATTAAATTAACAACTTACCTTAAAATTTTATAAAATCTTTATCAAAAAAAGGAAAAAAAACAACTAAATCGATAACATTACAATTCATATAAGAATTCAACCATGTATCCACAAATATAATTTTCTTTTTTTTTTTCAAAAATATTACAATTCATGTAAGAACTCGACCCAGAAACCTACTATGTTCAAGTTAGCATATTATGTAAGTATTTTATATAAAAACACTAATATTATACCTAACCATAGTTGGAAATCAACCAATGGCAGTAGATTACATATATATATATATATATGTATATAGGGAATTGCTAAGATTTAGCAATTTCTCTGAAATCAAAACAGCCTCAAACAATGTCAATATAACAGAACCATGGACCAGGCAAATTTAAAACGAATAAATTGAAGAAGGGCCACTCACCAACTTGTTTCCATTAGAACAAAGATTCCCCTGCAGAAACCCATTAATCTTTTTACTCGAAACCGCCCTCCAAATTTCCCTTGCTACCTATAAATTTGGAGATCTTCAGAAGCATTTTCATTCATACAGAAAACACAGAGAGAGAAAGAGAGAAGATGATGATGAGTAAGGCTCTAGTGCCCATGCTTGCAGTGTCTGCCATGGCAATGGTGATTCTGCAGAGTGTTGAAGGAGGGAGAGACCTGGCCCTGAAGGAAGCAAAAGTTCACAATCCCCAGATTTTCAATGAAAATTTGGGCTACAAATCCAGGGAGGAATATGACTGTGACAGATACAAATACAAAGATAGAGACTGCTATGAATATGGAGGCTGCGACAAGTCCCCTTACCCTGATGATGGTGGCGATGATCAACACGGGTATAACTGGGAATCTAAGCAACAGGCTGCGCCGGAGTCCAAAGAAGTCGCGGGTCCCGGAAAGTATGGAGTCCGCCACCATTTCCCCTGAAAATCAGTGCTCAAGCATCCCCATAAGCATAGTATAAAAGCTTATGGTTTCTATGAATAAAAAGTGTCTTATATTATATATAGGTCTTTCTCCTGGGTTTATTCTCAGCTAGATATCTAAGTAAGGCCAATCTAATGGAATATGGGATTCTTCCACTTAATATATGCTATTTTCCAGCAACTCCCCTCCCCAATTTCCCCACTAATTTCCCCATCTCTTTTCAATTATTTAGTTTGAATTTTCATTCTGAGCAGCAAGGGAGGCTTTTAATACCTACGAATCTCAAACAAGAACGAAAAAACCAAACAAGAAATGATGTGTTCACCCAACCTGTCTTTCAAGAAAAATCAATGCGCTTAACATTCAATTGATGCAAGTATTTAATATGGTCATCACATCAGACATAAAATGATTTATATTTATATAAATAAAAGATACATAAGACAACCTGAAGTCGACCAACAAAAGCAACTTCTCTGGATTCAATTAGGTAATCTCATTGCATTACTATTGGATTTCATTGTTCATTTGTTAACAATTACAACTCCAGAAAACCACCCAAGTAAACAACTAAAAAATATGGAAATCCAAATTTCCTGCTACTTTATCCCTAGTGCAACTCTGAGATCATCAAGACAGTGCCAGCCATCAGCAGAATGCATAGGAAATTTCCACCCAAAAATTAGCTTTTCTTACTTACAAGAAAACTTCAACTTTCCCTTCGAAGTCTTCAAAACAAAATCCTGTGATATGTAATTTACCATATTAGAAAGAGCACTTTAGCAAATAAGGTTCAGATGATTCCACTCAGCACAAAATGATAGAGGAAGATCAATATGGTTATACAGATGCTGCCTACTTCGTTTTCTTATGATCCACAACTTTTAATCAACCAAAGTCTACAATTTTCATCCATCACATTATCCCAAGGATGTGACTTATACACACCTAATATGAAAACCAATTTTCAGAATTACTCGTGACACTCAAACTTTCATAAATACAACAGTAATTTCAATTACACCAATACTGTTACAGTACGGCAATCATAACTGCTCCAGCCCCAAATCACGACTGAATACCAACCAAGGACGTACATAATACAAAGAAAAAATCTCACCTATAGCCATCGAGACAATGTTATTTTGTGAAAGAAATCTTAGACCTAGGCCAATAACGAAAAAGTGTTTTAAAAATGGGGCATATGCAAATTTTTTTGTACTATGAGAACAAAGGAATAAAGATCAAAAAATTAATCAACTTACATATAAGCCTCACTCCAAGCTTGTCCCAGGAAGGAACACTCTAATGAGTTCTTTGGCAGTTACTCTCTTCCTACAGGTAGGGCATTTACTCTGCACGGCTATTGCAGCTTTAATGCACGCCTTGCAGAAAATATGACCACACCTTGTTGATGTTTCCTCTACTAATGGGCCCATGCATATTGGGCAACTGAATTTGGGCTCCTTAGGTGGAACAGGCTTCTCTTTCTGCAACTAACATATAAATCAGATGTTGGCTAAAAAGTTAGCACTAGAGATACACTACCATGTCCTACGCCTTTTCTTTACAAAATCACATTTTCAACACTGACAGTTAATAAGATGCTACACCCATAAACAAGGTCATCACGATGGTAAAAAGGTTAAAGAGTTAAGTTGCAACCTAGTGACAATAAGATAGGTTATACAAAAATCCACGAGATCCTTGAAGAACAATCATTTTTTTGGGGTGAGAAACTAAGATTCATTGATGGTATGAATGAAATATACAAAAAGATACCCCTCATGAGCTGGATTACAAAAGGACCTTCCCATTTTCAAGTCGTCGTTGAGACACCCACTAAGAACAATCATAACCACAAAAGGTACCAAGCAACACCAAATTAGAATTATCAAAGTTAATTTTTTCTGGTATAATCTATTAATCACGATATGAACTTCCATTTAAAATGCTCAAACATCAAGTTGTAACAGGAAGCATGCACTCATAATCTCCCTCACTCTCCCACGCTCCACCCTCCCACTCCCTCTTTCTCTCATAGTCATGGTACAGTGCACTATCAGCATTCAGCAGCACCAGCCTCTCAAGTCTCAACTCCCACTCTCTTGTCTCTCAATCTCAGCTCTCGTAATACCCATGTTTCTCTCTCTCCACACCCATCAGTATTACCAACAGTTTTGCAGCCAGAGTTTGGTCTAATTTTATTTTTTTTGCAGCAATTAGATCTAAATCATCTATGAAATCTTGAATATCGTTGTTCCGATCTAGAGAAAGCATATTTTAGTTTAATTTTCTACTTTTTGCCAAGACCAGCCACAGAGAGGGTCTTTGTCATCAAGAGAGATACGTAATTTTCTCAGTTATGCCTGGTACAGAGTTTTGCCAAAAAATATGAGTATCATTTTTTTGTCTAGCTAAGTCTTTGTCTAATGTCGTAGTCGTCTCATGGCTAGTACCCATTAGCACACCCATGCTTCTAAGGTAGTATCATTTCTCTCAAAACATGTTTATTCAATAACTCCAATGGCAAGTTCGCCTAATCCATTTTTTCTCAAACATTTCTTGAATGCTTAATCATAAAATATTAATGATATATAGCATACACAAGAAATAGCCATCAGAACATGCCGGGAGAAAAATACAGGCATAGGTTTTGGGAGAACATGCCAAAATAGGATTTTATACTAAAAACTGCAATCTAAAAAATAATAATTTTAAATAAATAAATAAAACAATTATATGATCTATAACTAACGAAACAAGAAAAATCTTCAGCAAAAATAAGAGTAACAAAGATATAATTTGTCCCAGTACCAGAGAGCTGTTGCTGGCTTCCAAATTGATTAATAAATTAGAATTTACAGTTCGTTGATTTGACACTTCCCTCCTGCGCTTGCTCCGAATATTATTTGACACCCTGCTTCGCTCTTCTGCAACAATTCATGAGAGAATAAGAAATGCAAGCGTCACAAGTAGGATGGGAAATTTTTAATTAAATTTTAAAACAAAAACACAAAAAACTTGTATTGTTATGACTCCTCCACTGGACCGAAAAAAATTAAAGTACTAACAGCTCACCAACAAGTTAAATACGTTTCCGCCAAATTTTGTGATCCTCCGTGATACGAATACTTTCTTTTGTCAATAGGAGACTTATATTTATGGATTTCTCATTAAACTGGTTGAGCCACACTTGATGCTCGTAGTTCTTTAGGAGGCATCATTGTTATGTGGTCTGATCCTTCCTATGGGATTAAGGATATTTGTTTTCTTCTTATTGGATTTGATGGAAGAGCTACTAATGAATGAAGAACTGATTTTTACAGGAGCTCAAAGACTTGGGAGGCCTCTGTTCAGAGCAATGGACACTTGGAGGCAGTTATAACTTTGTCTCCACGTGGGCTTCTCAAAAACATTCAGCTAAGAATTTATACAGTACGAAAAGGTTTAACCTCAGTCATTGACAATGAGTACTAGATGTTCCTTCGAGCAATGGAAGGGACACACTCTCAAGCTTAAAGAGTAGGCTACTCTAATATCTCATCAAAAGATGCATGGCTTCTACGGAATGGTGACAAAAGGAGTCTCAAGGTCAGATATGTTACCTCCACCAATTGCTTCCCTGCTCTTGTTAAGAGCAAGCAATAAGTTCAACTCTGGCCTTCTTCATTTTGAGTATGAGAATATGTTACTGAATAAATCTGACATCCATACTTCAGTGGATGGTTGGCATAATAATCTTGTTCTTTATGGATGGGTCGGTCATGTCTTAATGATGAAGTTGAAAGCTTCAATATAGAAGCTATCTAAAACAATAACAATCTTTATAACTAAATGGCTATGAAGGTACCCATTGAAATTGAAGCCATTACATAAAGTGATAAAGTCAGCAGAAAAAGTATATGTAGGCTGAATTATGGTAGCTTGCTGATAGAAAAATTAGACGAGCAATTGTAGCCTGTGGTCTGAAATCTCCCAGCTAAAAACTATCATGATCATCAACTCCAACCTTTAGGTGCACATTGGTACACAGGTGTATGTTTGGAAGGATATATGGATCAAATATAAATCTCTCTTCTATTCTTTTCTCTCACTTGTATGTTCTAGCTAGGAGTACAAGGTATTCCATAAATCAGTGCTAGAACAGGTCTTACTTCATAGTAATGGATGAAAATTTTAGAAGAAATCAGAATAGAGGTCAGGTGGAAAAACAAATACACCTTTTGAGTATTCTCGTTTCACAAATTCTTATTTCTAAACATTTAATGCTTCAAGACATCAAACTCCTTGAATAATCTAAATTAAACTCATCGATATGTTAGAAAGTATGAGTCATCAAATATAAAAGTTGTTTTAATTGTTAATTCTTTGACCATCGAACCCAAAGGACTTTCCTAATTATTATACTAACGTTCATCATTCAATTATATCGAATTTCTAAGCTTCCTTTCATAATGAACAAGAGCTAACTGTTTACCTTTAAATTTCTAAACTAAATAGAGAATAAAATGTAAACAAGCAAAACTGTATTGTAAGGGAGAAAACATTAAAATGTATAGACCAACATGCTACCATTTTCTTCCCTGATAAATACGATTTTCTTGAAACTTCATTGGATAAGGCATTTTTTCTTTTGTAAATGTCATGCTTTTGATGAAATTTGTTTCCTATCCAAAAAAAAAATTCTTTACCAGTTCCCCAATAAATATAAGCAGGAAAAAGTAATGCAATGGTTACCAAACTCCACATAACTATAGTCCACCAGCTGAAATAAACATACCTGCATCCACATCAACTATATTCTTCCTAGCATTCCGTCTGGATTTATTTTTAGCCTGACAGATAATCAATAGACTTCATGAAATACATATCAAAATAATTAAAAACAGGATTGAACAATCATAAGTATTATACAATAAAGTGATGCCAGGGGAAGCATACTTCAGCAAATGCCCTGGCAGATGATTCAATAACATCATCATCAATGGCCTCAATGTCAATCATTGTAGGTTGTAAGGGCTGTTGTTGATTACTGTGTGCTTCCTGCAACCCCAATTGAGATGGCTCCCCTTGATCTCGGTTCTCACTTGGTGGCATGCTGTTTAGGTCTAAATCCAATGATTTCCTACGATGATACCCTCTAGCAGTAGTTCCCCTCATTGCTTGAGTACTCATCTATATTTCAGAGCTCCTCAACAGCCTGCAAGAAATGCACTCAATTTATTCAAAACCTTTTCACAATTAAGAGCCCAATTGATGTCAGATAAAGTGAACAAAGGAAAATTATAGAAAGAAACTGAATAACCACCATTCAAATACAAACTGAGAACCTTGGTTAAAAAACACTAAAAACCTTTGATCATCATTCACTAACGTGGACACTGACACCCAATCGAAACCTTAATATCCTTATTCATCACACTATATGCTCCAGCAACCATCCCATAAGCGTTAAGTTTAGTCATGCAATAAACATACGGAAAAACACATGACAACGATACGTACTTCGTTGATCAACAAACACGTCGTTCGCTAATTCACATTTAAAAAGAAAAAACCCCACATTACTTGCAAATCCAGTCCTTACGATCGAGCACCACCTTTCCCTCAAAGGTTAAAAACCGATCATCAAATCCTCCCCCAAACTACACAAACTCCATCGGATCCTTCTCCCCAACTACACAAACTAACTCAATCCCAAAAACAAACACATCGGTCAAAGCAGGGTCATGAAAGACCAATCAAGACACGCAGAGACCAAAACCAAGATTAATCAAGACACATTACGCGAAAATTCCCAAAACCCATGAATCTTGAGTTGTACCTGAAACGAGCGGTGGATGAAAAAGAGTACCAAGAGTATGAAAATATGTGGGAAATTTTTGGCGATGGATTAGATGGAAATTGAGAGGGGAAAATTGGAATTGAGGTGTTGGTGATTTAGGGTGTTGTTCTAGGGCTTCACAGATGGAAGAGAAGAATAGGGCAAAACCGCCATTATAAAGGGAAATTGGGACGAAAAGCGCGACACGGCAGAGGAAGGAACTTTCAGCCTCTTGCGACCGAGAGAGAGAGCACAGAGAGAGATTGAACCGCGCCTCAAAAACGCCACGTCTTATCCTTTACACCAGTAATTAACTGACACGTGTTAATTCCTTGTTATCTCGCACGTGCTTACGTCACTCATTGAATTTACAATCGTATCCTCCACATTGGAATAAAAAATGGTTATGTTACCGTTTTCTTTCCTATAATTTGTATGGGTGACTTTGGTATATTTTTTAAAGTAAACATTTTTATTATTTTTTTTTATATCTTAGAATTCCATAACCATTTTTTTTTTCTATTTTCTATTTAAAAAAAAACAAATATTTTATAACTAATTTTGTTTTTCATTTTTAAAAAATGGAAAAACAAGCATATGTTTATAGTTTAATAACTACTTTTTAATTTTCTGTTTCTAAAAAGTTAGAAAATTGAAACTATATGCTAGAGATAGAAAAATTTATGTAAAATATTAGAGATGGCAACAGTGTGAGTGGATGTCCTSTTCCATTAAATTTTAATTTTCATCTCTAACCCATTTGTCCGATTTTGGGAATCGAACTCCAGGAATCCTCATTTGGGGTGATGATTTCACGATAAAAATTACTGGTTTAATGATTAATTTTTATTGTTTTTAAAATTTAAAAAAGAAAAAGTAATAAAGATATATATTTTATATTATTTTACTAAAAAAAATTTTGTTTACTCGTATAAATAATTAAATTAATATTTATTCATAATGTAGTAAAACAATTAATAGGATATATATTAATTATTTAAAAAATAAAATGGAAGACGGGACATAGTGGAAAATTCATTCTTTGTTCTTAAAGTGGGGACTCGATCTTAGGAAAAGTTTTGTCGTCTCTAATATAAAGTCATGAAAATCAAAGTTTTGAGAAAAAAATTAAAAGAAAATTTGAAGAGAGAGTAAATTTTTAGAGAGTTAGAAAAAAGTTAGAAAAGTAAATTAGTGAAAGAAAAATTAAAGTAAAAAATAAGAGAGAGTAAATATGTGAGAACAAAAAACATGTTAAAGAAAGAAAAAAATAGAAAGAGAGAAAATTTTGGACAAAAAAATTTAAAATATATTTGTTATAGAAAATAGATAAATAAAATAGAATTAAAAACGTTTAAACAGATAAAAATCGAAGATATATAATTTTTTTATGAAAGAAATGAAGTAGACACGGGAAGAAAAATTATAAAAGGTAAAATTTGAGAATGAGAAATGTTAAAAAAATATTAAATTTTTAGAGAGAAAAAAAAGAAAGTGATATACTAGACGTGTAGATCTTTAAAAAAGTAATTTTAATAATTTAAAATTATCTAGAAAAAACTATACTATGCATATTATAAATTAGTAATTATTCAGTTTATATAAAAAAGTTATAAACATAAAACATCTCATAATAACATGAATATTTCAGCATATCTAATATATTACAGTAAAAGTAAAACTTTAAAATGATAGAACTGAACTAGAAAGGAAACTACATGTGTCATACTAATTTAGTTGTACTGTAATATAATAAATGAGATTTTTGAAGAGATTGAGTTTTTAATAAGTTTGATTTTGTGTAGTTTATATTGGTTATTATGTAGATTATGAATTAGTTGGTTGAGTATATTTTCTTGTTGTAAAAATATTATTTTTTAGTTAGTGTTGTTATGTATCGATATATATTTGTATATCAGGTCGGGCCTTTATAAAAATACAGACTTTCTAATATTTCATATATTGTTATACGGTATCGGAGCTCATTTTGACAAATGACTTTTTATTCTTCTGCAAACACGACTTCTTTGTCTGTTTATGTCCTTATGTCTTCACTGTCCAATTTTTATCCTCTCAAACATTCGCAATATCGTCTCAATTCGACTAGATTTTTCAAATTTCACTATCTGGAAACATTAGGTCTCTTCGATTCTCCGTGTGCACTCTCGGCTACATCGATGGCTCTATTCCCTATCCCAGTTGTCTTTTTCAATCGACGGACACATCTAATCATTCTAGAGTTTCCAGTAGTTGTCATTGATACAAAGTTTCCAAGTATTGGGCTCCTTAGATTAAATGGATAATTGAAACTATTTTTTAAGTTCAGCTGAAAAACGTTTTTATGCTCGCGAGCTCAATCGATGAACCAGGATTTCTCTGGTACATACCAAAAGAAGAATTCTATGATTGTCTCTGATTCAATGTGAACCAATTGAACATACTCCAACTCGGTCTCACACTCGCCCAAAAGGGAAATGTAACAGAGTTTAATTTCAGAGATTTTGATCACATTATCAACATGGAAGGCGTTTTTTCGTTGGATTCGTTTATAAAAAACAAGGGATTCGATTTCTACAAATTGAAGAAAGACGGAATAGGTTTTCACTACCTTGTTTAGATCAATTTGTCGTAGTAACAGAATCGAAAGGTGTTCCAGAGGAAGAATTCTACGATTGTCTCTGATTCAATGTGGATCGATTGAACATACTCCAACTCGGTCTCACTCGTCCAAAAGGGAAATGTAATAGAGTTTAATTTTAGAGATTTTGATCACGTTATCGATATAGAAGGCGTTTCTTTGCTGGATTCGTTTATGAAGAACAAGGGATTCCATTTCTACAAATTGAAGAAATACGAAATAGCTTCAGAGGATTTCACTTCCTTGTTTCAACCAAAGAAGAATTCTACGATTGTCTCTGATTCAATATGAACCGATTAAACATACTTCAACTCGGTCTCACACTCGCCCAAAAGGGAAATGTAACAGAGTTTAATTTCAGAGATTTTGATCACATTATCGACATAGAAGGCGTTTCTTTGCTAGATTCATTTATGAAAAACAAGAGATTCTATTTCTATAAATGGAAGAAATATGGAATAGCTTTAGAGGATTTCACTGCCCTGTTTCTACCGATTTGTCATAGTGGTAAAATCGAAAGGTGTTTTGGAGGAAGAATTCTACGATTGTCTCCGATTCAATGTGAACCGATTGAACATACTCAAACTCGGTCTCACACTTACCCAAAAGGGAAATGTAGCGGAGTTTAATTTGAGGGATTTTGATCACATTATCACTAAGGAAGGCGTTTCTTCGTTAGATTCGTTTCTAAAGAACAAGAGATTCGATTTCTACGAATTGAAGAAAGATAAAATAGTTTCAGAGGATTCTACTGCCCTGTTTCTACCGACTTGTCGTAGTGGTGGAATCGAGAGATGGATCACATTTCATGGTTTCTACGACATCGCTTTTCTTCGTACTCAATATCAAATCCATACCAATTTCCATGGCAATGTTTGCCGCTACCGCTCAACATCTATTACGTACTAATCAATCATCAATCAATTTAAAAGCTTAATTTGATGTGTTACGGTAAATTTAATGTTTTATACTTACTTCATAGGTACTGTTAGCGATTTGAAGTATATGACTCGCTATTGCGATGGATAGCTCGACGAAAAATTGGCTGAGCTGCTCGACGTGAAACGAATAGGCATAGCACATTTTGCCGGTTCCGATAGTTTACTTACTATGCACCAAGATGAAGCAAATTTTCAAGCTCCGAGCAATGTGAAGGGTTTCTCTATGGCTTGCCTCACTGAATTCAAGCTTTTCGGTCAATCATGAAGATCATTGATGTGTTCGCCACAACTCCTTTTCCTCCACATCTGCCACCAAAGTGCTCGATGTTGTCTTTTGGCTTTTTTCGTTGATATTCAGTCTACTAGGTTAGGGTCATTCAGTTGTTGAGTTTCTACTTTTAATTGTTCTTTATTTACATTGCATGTTATTTACCGCCGTTGAAATTCGCTAACTTCAAGGAAGGGGAACTACGCCATTACTAAAAGGTTATACTAGAAAACAGAAAGGATAATGGATAAAACTAAACAGGGTCAGACAACATCGAAAGTAGAAAAGATGAATAGGATTATTCTACCTTCAAGATTACTGTAGATGTCAAAATCTCATAATATTTTACTCTAACGATTTTATAAATATAAAAAACATCGATAAAATGTCAACCACTTGTTCGTGGATTAAATCTGAATTTGATCGTAAGGGTGTGAAACCAGATTCTGATCTAGTTGAGTTCTGGATTTTTAGTTGAAGAAAGTAATAAGGAGGTGAGTAAGAAGAAAGAAAACGAATTCAGAAGAATTTAAGGACTCCGTCATCCATCTTTTGAATAAAAAAAAAAAGAATCAGAGTTGTCTTCTATGGATTTGAGGGATTTACAATTAAGTATTGAATACATGTCTATGAATTTTGATCAACAATCAATGTTTAAGAAATCATCTAAAATAATTAATATTTTAATAAAGAGCAGACTGTGCCTCACTCTAGTTTAAAACTCCTGACACACAAAAAAGTTAAAATGATGAAACCATTGTAATTTATTAGTACGACGGAACATGATTAAGCTGCTAAGGCCAGGCCGACATAGTCGGGATGTTTGGGTGCAACTACTTATCATTTGTAACCAATAATTTTATTTTGTCAATAAAGTAATATTATTTTCTTTACAAAGAGGCTATTTATTTGGTTGAATTCGAGTACTCATTTCATGGTCCTTTGAATTCTATGTTTGAATCGATAATATAACATGAATATGGTCAGATATTTTAAGATGCAAGATATCTTAGATTTCTCTCAAGTTATTTTAATTCTTATAGGAACGATCGATTTTCAACATTCCATCCCGAGCATGTGTAAAATAATTTTTTTACATCTAAAACTAATTATTATTGGATAAATGAATACATCAGTTAGAATGAGTTCTCATGTTTGGATAATGGCAACATGAAGATATTCGACCTTTTTAGAATGAAAAGTTATATCAAAAGTGTCATATTTTAGACGACCTATACTTCGATTTCCATAGAAAGGCTTTTAACATTTTCTTCTCCTAACAATTATTCTTTTAGTACACTAAATTGGAGATAGGAGGGTTCAAACCTCTAAACTTGGGAGGAATAGTTATTAATTATCGCTAAATCGTGCTCATGTTCGCTGAGATGAAATGTATATTTGTTTATTTTTTATTCTTTTACAAACATAGCATAAGTTTTTTTTTCCTTTTTAGATTTAGATTTATATTGTGGTTTTTTTTTGTAAAATTATAAAATTTCTTTATAAAATACATATTTTTTTAGGCAAATAAAATACATATTTATGTTATGTTATTTGTGTAAATGCCTTAGAGAAATTTTACTCTACAACACAAATTAAATAGGTATATTTAAAATGTCACAACTTTTATTTTTTTTCAAATATGGCATAAGTTTCACTTTTTTTAGTATGTTATTTCATGAACTAAAAAAATAATATATATTACATTTGAGTTTGAATTTGATATTTTGATTGTGCTATTTTTGTAAAATTTAGAACTTTCTTCCAAAAATACATACGAATATGTAAATTCCCATCGACTAGTGGCGTTGATTTTGTTTTGTTTTTTTAGAAAGGCGGATCCAAAATCTTATGTCACAAATTCGTATAAACATAATGGGAAAGGAACACGGAACTTGTGAATGTGGATCAATTTTAGTCTAAACTTTCAATTTTATCAATTGTGCCTTAAACTTGAAATAGTGTTTCAATCTTCACGTTAAACTTTAAAAAATGTTGCAAGCTTTATCTTGGGATATATTTTCATTTGAAAACTGTTGAAAAAAATATTCTCATATGTTTTCAAATGAATTATAGAACATATATTTGAGTTCGAATGGATATTATTTAGACATAAAAAAACCCATTATAGCTGGTTTTTGTTTTGGTTGAAATTTCTAAAATTTCGCAAAATTATTTAAGAATTACAATACTTATCTAAGCTTTAAGTTCAATTTAATGAAATTAAAATTTTATGATAAAATTTGATACAACTTACCGTAAAAAAAATTTCCTCCCAAACATCATTTTAAATGCATTTATTATAAATATTCAAATTAAGTAAATATTTGAAACTAGACTATAATACATCAATGTCTGATGGTATTGGATTTTTAGTATAAATGCTAAAAAAAACCTGTAAAACAAATATTAAAAATTAGATTAAAATACTATTTCGGCAGTGGAGGAGAGGAGAGTGCTGGGCTGGAGGATGGGGAGATCGATCAGGCTGGGCATTTCATGTATTGCTATAGTTGAGAGGATAGAAATATTGAATTTGTATAATATAATGTATATTGTATACTTGTGAGTTGCACGAGATAAAAAGTCACAGAAACATAATTAATGTAGCTTATCAATCGAATTCAAACCTCACGATGATCACCTACCTTGAAATAAATGTAATAGGACCAAGTTGCACGAAAGATTAGTCGAGACATCCATTAAGAACTCAACCAGTGTTCATCCCTCTACTCCATCATTTCGTATCAATGGAACAACGCAAGAAATGTAAAAACTAATATTCGTATTGAAAGTAATCTAGATGCACTGCTAAAACAATTTATTGTAATGTCTCATGCAAGTGGTAGCTACATTAACAAATACACCATAAATATCAATGTGACCAAACACTCAATGAATTCATCTTTGCTGACAAATTTATTTGGCCACAGGCAGGGACTCTCATCAGATGGCACACAAGGACATGTACTGCAGTCAGAGCCTTCAAATAATATATATTCATATCTCCATGTACTTTAAAAACTTGAAAAAGCAGAGAACATCATCATTTTCTTGGCCATGGGAAGCAACAGCATTTCTGATAGATCAGGAAGACAACAAAATGTAAGACATTGCATATTGTAATCCAACTCATGTGGCTGGCTGAGATATGGAATTGAGCTCAGCTCTTCATTACCTTTTGGTTGTGTTCATGATCTTGGTTCTGTGTGCTGTTAACGTTCAACCGCGGCAGTGTCGGTGCTCTAGCTGCCTCCTGTCTCCCCTCCCGCACCCTGTTGAAAATAGCTGTGTAGTTGTCCGGTGCTGTCGCGTCCCTATCGTTCCATTCACCAAATTTTGGAACTGCAGCTTCGTCATTCTTTTGTTTGCAACATTTCAAGTTCCACGTCAATTAGGCATGAAGAAAGTTATGGATTTACAAGGATCATATTCATTTGGACTCAAACAGACGTTTGATGGTAAAAACCTATGGTTTTACATTCAAAGTAGATAATATGATACAAGAGCTTGTCGTTACCTACAATTGACTTGCCAACACACGAAAAATCTAAACCCTTAAATATGATATTTGGAAGAACCACTGGTATGCATACTTACCAACTGATCCCAAAAGAAAAGACAGCAACATCAGCCAATTTCAGCAAAAACAAGTGTGTTTCCATTAGTCATAACATGCATATTGTTTAATTAATCCTAATAGTCTTTCCTCTGCCTTCAAGAATTTACCTTCTAGTAACTTGAACCAAAAAGTTAAAACAGCTATCATAAAAAGTCCAAGCATAAGTCAACAGGATTTGAAAGAAGTGAAGGAGCAAATGTGAAAAGAAAAGAAAAAAACAATAATAAAAGATGATCAGTGTTTTCCTCAGTTGTTTTGCACATAATAGTCCATATTTCACATGGACAATATAACTTCTTAAATATCATTAAGAAGATGGAGATCAGAACTCAAACAGAAGAAAGAAAAGAGGGAGATTGTAGCTTTTTTTACAGAGCTCGTCAGTGATTTGACAATCATCATATATACAGAAACAAGACCTTTTCAATAGAGTTCAAAATATATGAATATCAATTATAAAGCTGACCTGGATAAGAACAAATGAATGGATGATTGTTTAAGAGGAAACTCAATTGTCTTTTACTCATAAGGTACTTTAAAAAAGCAACTAAAATTCCTCATGTATATTCTTAATAAGCTCAACTTGTTCATCTTCTAAACAAGGATATTGTTTTATATTTATGGTATGGATGTATGCATCTATTTTAATAGTGATAAGAAAGATGGTCAAAAGGAGTAATATTTAAATCCTAAATGTGAATCAACTGCAGGTGATTGAACATTGCTACGAGAAATTGGCACACAGTGACTTCCCACCACCAGTTGGGTCAAAATCCAACATATGAACAGAAGAAAAATGCATTAAAAATGAAAAAACTAGCGATAATTTGAACCGTGCGATGACTTTGAAAGCGAAAACCATTTTTAAATCTCTTAGACTAAATTACAGCTGGAAAGCTTCCATCGATCGTTCACCGGAGCCGCTTCTTCTTCGGAAATAGAATTTTGATTTAGATCTTTCACATCGGTCTAGGGCAAATGAAATGAACAAACACAAGCCGAATAGTGGTAGTCGGAGAGAAAATTTCGAACTCCCATTCTCTATTTTCCAGCTAACAGAGAATTTTCCAAGCAACCAAACAGAAGATTAAACAAAAAAAAAAAAAAAATGCACACTCGAACGAACGAAAGAAGAGGAGGAATGGAAGCTTACAGCCATGGTTGTTTCTGCAGCAAACTTGGAGGCGCCGCGGGGGGAACTGCTCCGAAATGGCGAGGATCTATCCGACTTCGACCGGACTCGAGTTCCGGCGAGAAATCACGGCGAGAAGGTCACCGGAAGCGGAGAAAGAAGAGGAGCATGTCGCTCTAGAGAGAGAGAGAGAGAGAGAGAGAGAGAGAGAGAGGAGAGAGATTGATGAAGCATCTTCCATTGTTAATAAATAAACAGGAAAAAGAAAGAAGAGAAAGACCAGCGGAGCAGTAACTGCGGAAGTCTTCGTCTCTTCTGCCTCTCAAATTTGCTACTGTTACAGTGGCTGCTCATATATTTCATATTATTTATGAGTACAAGTTTTTAAATTGAAAAAATAATATAAATATTTGTAGATAACTTATATAAATTTCTTTAGCTTAAATATTATTTCTGATCGTTTTGGTATTTGTAATTTTAAACGTAGGATTTGGTATATGTGATTTTAAAGAGGGATCAATTTAGTATTTATTTACAAAATTTTAACATATATTTTATACAAAACTCTTTTAATACAAATATATTTCCACATTTCAATCAATTTAGCAAGAGAAGTGTTTTGTTTTGCTAAATAATTATGATCGGAATAAATTAGATAAAAATGAAAAATAATTAATCAAAATGATAAATTTTGAAAGGTACGGAACTAAAATGAAATATGAACTAAATGAATCAAGAAAATAAAAAAATATATAAAGACCAAAATGAACCAAAACCGAAAAGTACATAAATCAAATTTATATTCAAACATGTATTTTTATCCTAAATTATAATTATAATTTAATATTTTTAAAATATAAAATAGAAGTAGACGATGAAAGTGTTATTTATGGTTTAGCTTTCAAATTATGGCTCAGAATTTTACAGAATAAATAGAAAAACAAAGAAATGTACGATGAAAGTGTTATTCATCAACTCAATTTAAAAAACATAAAAATAAAATAAAATAGTTATTGAACCCGCTTTTAATAATTATTTAAACTAGGAAAAATATAAAGTAAAATGATGGAAATGTTTGGCAAAATGTTAAAAAAAAAAATTACTTTCTAAATCTATATATCTATATATAGTACGTGTGATAAAGTTAACTTAAGTATATCTCAGCCATCAATACATATATACTTCATTTAACAAGTTAATTTAATTTTGTGTCTCGTAGATTTATTCTATTAGACAATTATTATATTTTTATGGTGATCGAGAGTCATAGTTTTACTTCCCTATACTCAAGGCATTCCATACTCGCTCCTATTAGACAATTATTAAACTTTAGTTACTTATTAGATACAGTGTTTGAGAAGGAAATCATATAATCAACATCAATCAAAATAATTAGTATATTATTCATTAAGATAGGTTTGAATTCCCACACAATTTTGGAAGTGAGTTAACTAAAGTTGTTATTCTTTTTATTATTGTTTTTGTGATATCAACTAAAGTTGTTATTTAGAAGGGAAAAAAATGCTATAGGTAATTAGGTATAAAATATAATATGAAAGGGTAGTTATTTTTTCTTTTTCTTTTTAAAATTTTAGTAAATAGTTGAATGTTTGCGATGGGGTGGCGAGTGACGGACTAGATAACGGACGTGATGGGTTGTTGTAAGAAATGGATTAGGAACTGGCTAGAGGAGTTAACGCCGTTAGCGTTAGAGGCGGCGCGTAGTAGGAAAATAAGAAAAACAAAAACAGAAGTAAGAAAACCTTAGAAAAGTAGGTGCCTAGTGGTGGGGTGGGGCCATGAGCTTTTTTTTTCTTTCTTTAAAAAAAAAATTAAATTTAAGAGTTTTTGAAGAGCAGTTGAATTAAATTGATGAATGTATGTCAACTAGGTTTGATTTATGAAATACTATTCTGACTGAACCGGTTAAAACACATATTTTCGACTATAAAATTACAAGTTCAAATTCTTATTTTCATACGTTGTAAAAAAAATAAGTATTTTTATAAAATTCAATATCGTATATTATAGCCAGTTCAATTCAATTTTAGACATTTAATTGAGTTCAACTTAAAAGTTAAAAACGAGGATGATCATGGAAGATTGAACCTCTAATTTATAAGGAATGACCAATGTATCTTAACCGTTGAACTAAGTTAACATTTTTTCTATAACATTACATTAAAAACTTTAATAAATAAATTGACATTTTTTTCTATAACATTACAATAAAAATATGGGAGATGCGACTTAAACTTACCATGTACAAGCACATCTATTAAATAGTTGACCGTTCTAACCACCAATCGACCATTTTTGTTCTTTTAGCACTACAATTGACTTGTTTCTACCCTATACCCTTCCCCTTCCCATCAATTTCCTTAAATGGATAGTGTTACCCGATGTGTCCTTGACGATAAAATTAAAAAAAATATTAAATTACAAATTTAGTTATTAAACTTTAATAAGTGTTTGGTATGTTTATAAACTTTCAATCAATAATTTGACCCAATGCAACTTGGAAGAAAAAAAATAGTTAGTTTCTAAATGTTTAAAATTGTTCCAGAACTTTTAATATTATCTATTGGACACAACGTTTTTCTAAATAACACGAGATTCAAACTTACTATTTTTAATGAACGAGTGAGCAATTAACATTGGATTATACCTATGAAGCTTCCACAAATAAATTGCATGGTCACTTCAAGCAATCATGGGAAAATTCCCAACAAAATGTAAGAATATCTGATGGAGTTTTCAGTGCATAAAAATTGAAGAACCTGAAAGTTCCTGGTCACAGACAACTACTTCAATGAACTTGTCATTATTATGGCAATGAAATGGCCTCGTTTCACGCCTCTTCAATGCCCTCTTCTTTAAACTAATGCTTATTTGATCGATTTGTGTTTCCTTTTCTCTTCTTCTGCCCAATCCCGATTGACATTTCTGCTGTTTGCTTCTTTTTCACTTTTTTCATCTGGGCAAAAAAGCTAATGCCCACTTATTTCTTTGAACAAAACTCCAAAAGTTAACTCATGGGCTTCCTTCAGGAGGGGCTTTCCTCTTCTCATTTGGGCTAAATTTGCAGATCTGTGGCCTTTCTTTCATTCCTCGTTTACTGGGAGTAGTAAGCTTGCTTACAACTTCATTCATTTCTCTCTTGTTCTTCCTCCTCCCTCTGCCTGAAGGGAAGACGAAGCTCGTTCAGGTAGCATTAGATGGGAAAAATCGCTAATGGGTTTCGAAGGAAACTTCTCTTTCTCTAGAAGATTGCCACTCTGTGTTCATCTAAATGGGAAAATGAAACTGGGTTTTGAATTTGATTTCATTTTCTCTCCATAAGATTGAACACCCTTTGAGGGATTTAGGGTTTTTGAAGTTTTTTTTAACAGTAAGATAGAAAGTTTGGTGGATCTTTGATTTGCCAGAGGCAAAGATGATTCAGTTGTTGTTCTTGGTTATTTTTGCTGAGGGAGTCGTGGTGTTCCTCTTGCTGGTCAAGATTGGGCTCCTGAGAGAGTTTGTCATAAAGAATCTGGATCAGCTGAAGATGGGCAAAGGCCCAGCAACTGTAAAAACAATTGCTGCTACCATGTCTGTCATTCTCTTGTCCAGTCTTATGAACATTGTTAAGATCCAGAACAAAGGTGCAAAGCTTGGGACAATGTCGCCCATGGATCAGGTTCTGTGGAGGACGCAATTGCTTGAGGCTTCACTCATTGGTATGTTCAACCCACTTCATTGGCTGTTAAGATTTGTTTGCTTTGCTTGTTATTTTGTTCTGTAGTCTATGGATTCTTGTTCTAAGTCGGTTTTCCCTTTTCCTGGCCTGCAATATCCTACTGGTTTGAAGATAAATGGTTGGTCTCTCTCTGTAATGTGAAAAGAAAGTGTTTATAATGTTTTATGTAGCTCATTCTAATGTTCATGACCAGAATTGAGAGCTCTGAATCGAAAACGAATGATATTAACTGTTAATCATATGTTCATTCTTTGAGAAGAGGGCTAGAGATGACAAAGCTTGAGTTTCAACCTAACAGCTGAGTGGATTTAACTAGTTGTATAACTAGTAACGTTTGCATTACATATCTTCTGATAAGTATTCAAGAGTCTAACTTCAGTTTTTCTTTCATAATTCTTCCATGTGATGATATCATCCTAGGATGAAGTGCTGACTTATTATTATTATTGTTATTTATAAGAAACAGATATCTATTAAAAGGAGGAGAAACAGAGAAAGAACGACCTAAGAACAAGGGTGGAGAAAACCGACCCACCCTGAAAATTGTAAAATATAGCCTTCCARTTACGAAGGATCATAGACTGTAGTTACAAAATAATTTTCTATAACTATAACACCAATATTGTCGCTGATACGAAAGACGCACCACCAAGTGGACATAGACATCATTCTTGAATGTTGAGGCTTGATGTGACTGTGAGATAGAATGTCTATAAACCATGTCAAGAAAGTGGTCGTATTTTTTGAAACCCGAAATAAACTTTTCATTGACGTGTGAAAAGTTACAAACAAATGTCAAGGACAATCCAAGTGTCGAAAACCAATTAGAAGCAAGGTTCTTTGCTAGTTTGGACACCTCCCACCAATCATTTGCCTTTCCATGAAAAACTCTACTATACTATGAGATCTCATTTAGTCATGTACAAGAAATTTCTTTAAGCTCTTATGTCAAAGTAATTCTATCCAATCCATTCCAATTTTTATGAAGTCAAATTATGTGCTTTTTCCTCCCTGAAGAGTTACAAATGAATATTTCCCCCCACTTGGGAATGCTACAACATAACAGAGCTGAAGAAGTAATATCTCAAACTCCCTTGCACCATTCATCTAAGCCTCAGTGAACTTACCATTAGTTGCTGGTTTTCTACCCATGTTGCACATGAACACAAACTCTCATGGAATCGTAAAGGAGATTCTCAATCTATTGACCTGTTAAACAAAACCTGCTAGTCTTTATGCATTTGTTAGTCTCAACTCTCAACTAGCAACCAGGGGCCTCGAGTTCTCGACAACTGGTGATAATCCACTAATGGCCATGAAGAATGGATTTTTTTGGTATCTTGATGGCTATCATAAAGTGGGTCTTTTGATCCAGATATTCATTAAGAATCATTCCTGGGAATAATATCATCCCCTTGAGTTTTTTCTTCCAAAACAATATTTTCTTTATCAACTATTGTTATAACTTGCTACCTTAATGCGCTCATTAGATATTATTTCTCAAGTTTATTTGTTTGTTTATCTTTTTTACAAGGATAAAGAACAGAATCTAGAAGACAAAAAGGACTACAAATTCTTTCAACGTATATTTTCAAAAAAGTTTATTCTTAATCTATGACAGAGAAGTAAGAATTACTTATAATAAAGCAGAGATCAGCTTTTAGTGGTAAATTGAAAATGAATGAAAAGATATGGTCGACTGTCTCTTTACATCTCAATTAAGGCAAATTTGTGGAGGAGAAAGGGTCACCTGTGAGTGACCACAGAAATAACTTAACTTTCTTTGTGGCTTTTCTTTCCAAATTGAAATTTCGAGGTGTTTGTTTGATTTAGAGAGGGACATTTTAAGTTGGGATATGACAGATTTACAAGATAGAAGACCTAAAGTATTCTTTGTCCAAACTAGACCATTGATAGACAATCTAACCTGCCCACTCATCCACTTCCCTGTCAAACGGAGTCGTCCCAATCTCGAGCCTAGGATCCCTGGCTTATTTGGTATCATTACAATACTCTTTAACTATCTTCTCTTTTGAGATGTTGCTAGCACCTTGCAGCTTGAGCCAAATCCCTTCTTCAAAGTGGAGGATTTTAGAGGTTGGTTTTTAAGGCTTTTTTGTAATTACTAGTTAGATTTTGCCCTAAATTTGAGGCGGTGCTGAAAAGATAAAAAATTCAAAAGGACTTGAATCAAGAACTGAACTTGTGAAAAGACTTGATATCTGAGGGAGTGAAATTACTTGAATTCATATTCCTCCATCATAGCTTCCTTTCATCTTCTGTTAACTTTAATTTTGTGTTGGTTCTAAGTTTCTAACTTTGAAATCCATTTAGCTTTATGGAATTACTCAGCATGATCTTGTCTGCTAATTGATAATTGATAGTTCACTTCACATTATGTTACAGGTTTTACATTATTCCTGGGTTTCATAATCGATCGCATGCACGATTATTTTCAAAAGCTTATTGGATTAAGAGAGAGCATCGAAACTTCAAAAGAGGAAGTAGAAAAACTGCAAAAAGAGAAGATAAAGCTATCAGAAAAGGAAGAGAAATCTTCCAAGCAAATAAAGGAGCTGCGAGAAGAATTGTCAACTTTATCAGAAAACTTGAAGAAACTGAAGCAGGAATGTGAAGAAAAAGATAAAAGGATTGAAACTGCTGATGCACATGTTAGTTCCCTCCAAAAACAAGCTGCCGATCTACTTCTCGAATACGATCGTCTTTTAGAAGACAACCAAAATCTTCAAAATCAAACATTAGGAGGATATAGAAAGTGAGAAATAATTTTATTTGCAGGATATTTTGTCACTTGAATGGGATAGAAAAGGGGCTGTTGGCTCAAAGATGATGCTTGTTTCATAGGTTGGAGAGAGAGAAATGGAGACTGTGGGATTCCATTGATTAATGTTGTTCAAAGGTTTTGTGATTCTCATGATTCTGGAAACCTCAATTTGCCATTTTTTCAGTGTGTTTTTAAATGAAAATGCCAACTTCTGATCCAGTTTACTTCTCTCAGTAACGAAAATTAGATTGTTGAAGCACTTTGGTATTATGATCAACCATGTAAATGGTTTTTACCTAGTTCCATTACAGTGGTTTTTCAAACACTTTTTTCTTAAATCGAAAAGCTATAGAGAAAGCAAGTTTAATAATCAAACAAAATTACTTAAAAATAATAATATTAATTAATTAATTAAACAAAGTATGGTACATCATAACAATAATTTCATTTCATATTCATCAAATACAATAAAGAATATAAGAAGAATGTTGTGAGAGAAGCGAGAAGGTGCATCAGAATATCCCAACTAGGTTGGCACATTCTTATCAACCTCGTCAATCTATCTGATCTCATATTCTTCGTACAAAATAGCTACTAAAAATCAACTAAATCATCGAAGCTGTCAATATTTAAATGAGCTTTCCATTTCTCGAGAACGGTTTCTTTATCAGCAATTTTCTCAGACGTGTTATTGGCTCCTTGGTTGGTGGTTGTATCAGACACATAAAACACATCACTAGCACCCTCATTGGTGGTCATCTCAAGTAAGCAAGACATGTCGCTAGTACCTCCGTTGGTAGTCATATTAGGCAAACAAGACACGTTACTAGTACCCTCGTTGGTGGTATTTGTAGGCATGTAAGGCACGTCACTAGTATCATGAGTAATGGGCATAGCAGGCAAGTCAAACACATCACTCATGTCCTCATAGGTGCCCGTCTCATGCAAGAAAAATGCATCACTAACATCCTTATCGGTGGTCATCTCAAGTAAGTAGGACATGTCGTTGCTAGTACCTTCGTTGGTAATCATATCAAGCAAGCAAGGCACGCTACTAATATCATGAGTAGTGGGCACAGCAGGCAAGTCAAACACATCACTCATGTCCTTATAGGTGCCCGTCTCATGCAAGAAAAATGCATCACTAACATCCTTATCAGTGGTCATCTCAAGTAAGTAGGACATGTCGTTGCTAGTACCTTCGTTGGTAGTCATATCAAGCAAACAAGGCACGCTACTAGTATCATGAATAGTGGGCATGGCAGGCAAGTCAAACACATCACTCATGCCTTCATGGGTGGTTGTCTCAGGCACCCAAAGGACATCACTAGTATCTTGGTCGGTGGTTGTAATCTTAGGAATTGAAGGCACATCGCTTGTACCTTGATTGGTGGTCATCTCAGGAATCCAAGGCACATCCTTAGTACCTTGATTGGCAGTTATATTTCGCCTGCAAGGCAACTTGCATTTCGTCTTGAGTGCCGTGACTGTTTGTTCAACAGGTTGCAACGTCTCATAATGACATCTTTTCTTTCCTTTCTTGTTAAGTCTTTCGTTCTTTCTAATCCGGCATAAAACATAATTAGGATCTGCACCTTCAAGTATGCAATCCTCAGACAAGCTAAATTCGTGCATGATCCATTCAGCATGATGTTCTGGCAGTCGATCGTTCTCGTACCTGAAATTAATCAAATATATAATTTATTTTGAATTCATAAAATTTCACTAAATAACAATGATCAAAATCCATTATTTAACTTTCAAATTTACGGTATTTTAAAAATTCATCAAAAAAATGCAACAATAAATCGAATATAATGAATAAAATTATGTATCCACACACAAATATAATAAGTTTAGTGAAGAAAAAGAGTTAAAACAGAGGCAATATATATTTAATCATTTTAGTTTTTTTTTTCAGATTTTATTTTCTCTTCCCTTAGATTTGATGCCCTCGGTTTATTCTTCGACGCATGTCGCGGCCATGAAACACAATTATTCATAGAAATAAAATATTATATTTAATAATATTTGGAATCATTCTCAAAATTAAACTTAGGACCCCTTTTCGAAATTAAAGTGTCCCTTGTCAATATATTTGACTTAATTACATTAATGTTTTTTATAGAAAGAAAAATTGGCCTTTGGTCCCATATTATCTTGAATTGCCATTAAAATTTATAACTTAGATAAAATAAAAAAAAATTTAAGAATAATAATGTAGGTTGTAAGAAGGTCATATACCTGAAGCGCTTGCAATAACCAAAATCTCTTTGGTATTTAGTTGAAAAAATAGGGTCGGGCGAATTCTCGCCGCTCCAACTGCCACCGGCCAAGCCAATCTTTCGAGTGATATGAGCTGACAATTGTCCAGAATTGTTTGTCGACCTCTTCAGCTTAGTGAAGAAATAAAGATCTTCGTCGTCGACACCGCCAAAAGATTCCCAAATTTCCCAAGGTTCCTTGTGGCCGTAGAGATCATAATCGAATACAGTATCTTGAACATATTCGTACCCGTGGATCTTATTAAAGAGATAATCCTCTAGCAGATTTTGATTCGAAGGCTTGAAATTGTAGCCTACTATCAAAGAATGAAGATTACCAGACATTTTTAGAGAATCAAGAGCAGCAGCGATAGCCATAGCCATTGCCATTGTTGAAGAAAAAATCGGATGATATTTGGGTATTTCTTTGGAAAGGGTTTCGAAAGTTCTTGAAGAAAGATTTTGGAAGCTTAATTCATGTGCTCAAAACCTAACATCAAGCTTAAGATATTTATAGGTTTCTATTAGGGTGGGAGAGATTAATGGATAATTAGTTATTCTTTTTCTCTTTTATATGAATAATCTTTTTCTTTCTAATTTGAATTTCTATTTTGAAATTTATATTAGTTTATTTTATATTTTGATATTAATTTATTGAGGATAACTCAAACTCTACCGCTAAAATGATGGAATACAAATGAAAATTTTCAATTATTCTACATTTAATTGGTGGATTCTTACTTTTCAAAATAAAAAATAAAAAATAAAAAATAATTGGTGGATTCTTCGCAAATTTAGGCATCCCTTTAAAACTTTTACTCCCTTATCTATTACCTATATCCATAATATTTTCTTTATTAATTCTTTTACAATTTTACGATTTCTTTCTGTTTATACAACCAAAAACTTTCTTATAATAAAATTATAAAAATATTCTTTTAGTACGTGTGACTTTTTTTTTCGTTTATAAAATCATAAATTTCTATACAGTTTCAATTAGTAATTATTTATTATTTAATTTGTTAAATTAGAATATGGGTAAGGATAAGATGCATATACCATAAAAATAAATTAATCTATATTTTATATTAATAATTTCTTTCAGATAAACATTTGTCCTCATTTTAAAAAGGGTAATTGTGGTGGGTAACAAAAATAGTTTATGTATTTCAAAAAATATCACAACTTTTCAAACTTTCAAATATAGCAAAACATTTTGAATTTTTATTTTTGGGTTTTATTATTTCGGTTTTACTCTTATGATATCTGATATACCGTATATTTATATATGATATATATTTAATGTACTATATCTATATCTGATATACATCAAATCTATATCTGATATACATCTGATGTATCTATGATATACTTCCGATATACATCATATGTAACTATGATATACATTATCATATGTACCCATGATATACATTATCAGATGCATGCATTATACCTCTAATATATATAATTGGTGTACCTCTAATTTATGATATACTAAATATATTTGCAAGGTATATCAAATATTTAAATTTCATTAATATATCAGCCGTTATAAATTCTAGTTTACCATTGCAATTTGTTGATGAATATACGAATATTTATTAAAAATGTTGATTACTACATCACTATCATTTATTCTATATTAACTAATTAGATATTAAATATAAGAGATATCAATCGTTTAAATTTATAAAGTATATCGAATTTTTATCTCTCTTTTTTTTTTTTGAACGTGCATGATTTATACAATAATTTTATATTTCAATTTTTTTGTACCATTGTTTTCATATGAAAAAATAGTGGATATAATAGTATTATATCAACACACATGTATCATAGTTATATTAGTAGATATCATGGTTATATCATAGGTATATCAGTGGTAATTATAAGCATATTAAGTATAAATCAAATATATATCATAGCTATATCAGTGGTATTTCATTTGTATATCAATGGTAAATTAGAGACATATCAAGTATATATCACATATATATATAAATGTTGTATCAACGTGGTAAATCAATGGTTATCATACGTATATCAATGGTAAGCCATGTTAGAAGTTCACTGGATATCATAGTTATATTAGAAGTAAATCAATTGTATATCATTATTATATCATTGATATATCGGAGGAATATATCAGTAGTCAGATATATTGCATATATATTACAGATGTATATTAAATATATTGCAGGTAAAATTGTAATTTTTAAATTGGACCTCTATTTTTTGTTGAAAAAAACTAAATGCAGTTCTATTTTACTTATTTTACTAAATATTTTTGCTATATTTGTAACTGTCTATTTAAAAACTTATGTCATGTACCGTGAAAGTACGGAATTGGAGTTGGGGTTAATGTGAGGAGAGTTTGAAATGATAAGTTTTTTTCTGTCTTTTATAGTACTAAAAAAGTTATTTTATTAGAATTATATATATTTTTTCAAATTTGAAACTTGAATTTTTATTTTGAAATTTGAATGCATTTGATTTGATACATATTAATATTAGTGTATATCTAACTTGAACATCGTTTAGTTGGTTAAGACTAAATTCAAAATGTCGATGTCGATAGAAATATCAAGAACTTGATTTTATGGAAGTAGGCATAGAAATTAAAAAAAACATAAAAATTATATATTTAATTAAAATTATTTGAATTAGTATATAATATTTGAAGTATGACTTAATGTTATATTTAACTATTTTAAAACATTATATTTAAAAATATAGGTATTATTATATGGAAATGTTGCGACATCGAAAGGAATTTCAAAAAAAAAAAAATCATGGAAAATATTGAAATGGGTGAGAATTATTAAAATTAGAAAATGAAAGTTTAGTGGTGGCTTAATTGGGTTGTTTGTAATTGATCATTTATAATTACCATATTTAAAAATATATGAAATGTGTCGAAGTTGACATACACTAATTATTTTTTTATGAAGTCAATAAACGAAAATTTGAATAATATAATTTATTATTTTGTTTTTAAAAAAATCTTATTTTTAATATTCATATATCTTTGCAAATATATACTAACTATCGCTGAGCTATATTTGCTTTGGCGAGAAATTATTGTTATTGATCAGAGTTTGGTTTGCGTTTTGCTTGCAAAAACTGTTCGTATCACCAGAGATTTCTTCGCATTTGAAAGYTAGGCTGATTTTCCCCCAAGTTTAACCTCCAGTTTCTCAAATCCTGTGATGAAGCCATGATTGTACAAGGAAACCAAAATTGTATCTTTTAGGTACGTGGGGAGAAGGCCGAAAGTTGCAAAAGTTTCATCTTTTCGACCACCAATATTTGGTTATCTATATATATATATTTTGCGTATATGTTGCATAAACTTTCTAATATATATAATATTAGATTGGTATATGTTTATCCTACTCTATATAATTGATTATGCTATAAATTACATGAGGGTATACGTTTTATTGTTTTTATTTCATCTCATAAAGGAAAAGAGAGGTATTGACATGGGATTTCCTTCCAACATTGTATCTAAAAATTTTTAGTCCTATGTTAAAAGTGTTTAAAAAAAAAAAAATCTAAGAATATAAAAATATAATGCAACTTTTATTTTAGAAAAATTTAATTAAAGGTTTTAATGTTTTATTTAAATAGCTCGGGCATTCCATTCCAACATGCTATAATTATTATCTATCTTACCATTCCAATCAACAAAGTTAATACTAAAGCTAACACTGATAAACATGAGCGTAGTTTAACGGTTAACCTCATCGCCACATTTGTTGTAAAAAAAAAAAAAAAAAGCAAAGTTAATACCATATCAAAAGAAATTAATACAATCAATTTGAACATATTTCAATCAGTTAATGCATATATATCATCAACCAAAAAGTCAAATATTCGAATCCTCGTATCTTAGGTTGTTGAACTAAAAAAAATGATAATAAAAGGTTTAATCTTCCATTATTAAAAATTATAAATAACCTTWACCTTTCTAATATATCAAAATCCAAATCTTCACCTTCACATTGTAATATTATATCACTAAAAACAACTAAGTTACTCATTACATTTTTGCCATTCTCAATAATCACTCCTTGTGACTCTAAATTTCAAAATTTTCAGTATTTTGACAAAACCCTAGTTGAAATATCAAGAAAAAGAAAAGAAAAATCATATCATGGCCATGTGGGGCAATAYATTATATATTAACAACATCCCCTTCTGCCCAACTCTTTTGATTCACAGTCTTGGCTCTGAACTTAGAACATTGAGAAACGAAAAAAGAACCCTAAAATGGTTGAAAAAAGGAATTAATGTTTTATTATCCATTTGGGGGTTTAAAATAATGCTTTCAAGAGAAGAATATGAATATGAAAATGGGCTATGGGCCATGGGGTGATGAATTGTCAATGTAATCTCATTATAACATGTAAATAGATAGAGCAGCACTACAGCATCTAAACCCCTTCTCAAAGACAGCACAAAACTTCTAAAAATTGCTTTTGAAAAAATGCTAGGGCGTTTCCCCTTGTGGCTGGAGATTGAGAATCTTTACAAGACAAACTTACAGGCATGTATCCTCTATGAGTAMAGTARTAAAGCACCCGCACTCCCAAAAACCGTCTAAACATAGCGAAAAATATGCGTACGGGTTCAAGAAAGATCAGGATTTTGTGGTAATTTTGAACTAAAAAACAAATACAACTGAGCTGAGTATCATGAGTGAAGTAACTTCTCTTGCATACATATCCTTAGAAGTTGTTCTTAAGCTGGCAACTGGAGTTTTTGGTTGTTCTTCCAACTGCAGAGATCAAATGTTCAGAATATAAATGTCATAACATGATAAAGAAAAGAAATCCTCACTTAGATCATATATAAGAAATCAAGGGGTGTTTAGAGCAGAAGATCTATATTACCTCTGAAAATAATAATAGAAGAAGTCAGCGTAAAGTAACGTTTGCACGATCCCTGAAATCCAAGCTGCAGTTTCACAGAGTGTGTTTTAGTTAGGGCAGTTAGCCAATGACTCTGATAACATGTAACAATACATCTTCCTCTAGGTGACTGTATGCGATACCCTCTTTGACTAAAGTTGAACAAAACAAGCTTTTATACTATATCCACTAACTAAAGGCATGGCCTACACAAATTTTTTAAGAAATAAACCGACACGGTAGAAGAATGTACGAGAATAAAAACCCCAATATTAGTCATTAATTCCAACTATGATACTCTTTGAACATGTAGCGCCACATCAAGCAAATTCTGTTCCAGCATAATGGGAAATCCAAGAAGTCGAGGAAACATGATTATTCAACTGCTTAATAGCTAAGTTGACAAATACAACAAAGGGAGGGAGGTGCTTTCTTACCCTATAATCAATCATAATTAGGAGTTCAAGATGGTTACAAAGTTACAAAGTTCCAAAGGAAATAGCATTCCAATTATGTTCAATTGAGTGCTAATTATAGTCACACTGGTCCCAGCATGGATTTCAGGTTGACATGCATCTGCATTTTTACTAATAATTAATGCAGAAAAAAGACCYGTCTCTTGGAAGATGTTTTGAAGTTCTAATAGGGAAACAAAACATCAAACAATTGGGTGTGAAAACAATCACACCAGCAGAGAGCGAGTGTGTATCATACTTCTCCAATGCCATCCTCAAGTTTCAAAAGAATACCATCCCAATAAATTGAACAAAATACTACATCCACGCTTACATTAGTATTAGCTTAGGATGCACCTGTATTTTCTTTAAAGTGTAAAGAAACATAATTGCTATCCGCTGGTCAAATCTTGTGCTATGAAGAAAAAATACCAAACAACTAGCCATTAAAGGCAGGGGAATGTCTTACTWATCCAGTGGACAAAGTGAGGCTCTGTGAAGTATCGATAGACCCAGTTGACAATGTACAAAGCTCGGTACGCACTGCATCGAGAAAAGTTATGATTCAGTACATATTTTTGTTCAATAAGGTTCCCGAGTTTGAAATAACTCAGTCAAACAAGTGGATGTTAAATGACCTAATAGGTACTTATCTGTTTGGCTACAATATAACTCAAATTGAACATACCTATCACACATGTAATGAAATCTGGGTTCTTGTTCAAATCAGAATTCAATCAACACCTTTATAAACTACCAACTTAGACAGTATACAACTTAATTTTAAGTTCAACAATTGCAGATGTGGAGAGTCGGACCTTTGAGATGGTAATAAGTATCTCATCCATTGAACTATACTTGGATTTGCTAGACAATCAACTTAATTTTAAGCAAATTTTAGTTATGTAGTATAGAAACAGGATTGTAGCACCCTTCATAAAAGAAATGTCTTGTCCTAACACTATTCTTGGCAGGGCCAATCTAATACATTTTATGAGAAAATTAGATCCATCTAGGCGCTGCTTCTACTTTATTTGTGAATCACATTTCATTGGTATAAATCTAATTACAAGTACATAAATAAGAAACATAGTTGGTTAGACTCTTCCCCCTAAAATGTTCCAGGCTCACATGAAATTGCAGCTTCTTTAGACATGCTCTGGCACCTTTCACTACTATTTTAGCATGAATAGGAATGCCAGGGAAGTCACTAACTACCAAGGGGAAATCTTTAGAGAAAAGAGTTTTACACTAATGTGGAAACCACATATAATGAACAATTAGATTTAGGATCCCAATATATTTGAAAGTAATACAGTAAGTGAGATTCTTATTTAGCCCTATGGTCATTATCCAAAAGTGCATCACGATGTATTTGAGTTGTGGCCTCTAAAAGTACAAAGCATTCCGTAAGAACAAAAGACAGAAATATCTAATAACTTTCTATCTTCCAAATGATATAACTTCATCGGGCGCACTATCTATTCAACACCACCCCCCAACAGAAGAAAAAAAAGTCTGTTAAAACTTCTTCTTCTAGATTTCCTCCAACTTTATGGGCTTGAATTCATAATATCCCTGTTAGACTTATATGAGATGCCTACATTTAGACACAATGTAATTACACATAAAAATGAAGCAAACAAATTCTCAATTATCTAATATTTACGGTTGGTATGATTCTAAACAAAAAGTACATAAATAAGAAAAGAGGAAGATAGCAATATATGAAAAGATGGAGACCTAGCAGTAGATTTGAGTATTATCACGTCAACAGAACTGGTTAAATGCTATATTGGTAACCGAATCATACCCAAGAAGAAAYACGTATTGCCCAGTCAAATTGTCAATATTCTTTGTTCGTTGTAGAAGTACAAGCTGAGGGAGTATAGCAACAGCTTCCAAGTACAAAGAAAATGTCCACATGACCTGTTCCAGTTATTGAGTCAATATAGGAAATATATGTGCAACGATTCTGTAATCAAAAGCTTAAAAATAGAGATGCACATGTTGACTACGACTTGCCTTTTTTTTCTTTTCTTTGGATAGTTTCAATGTAAATTCTTATAACTAAGGAAAATTCACAAGAATAGCTAACCTCCTTGAAAGTAAATTTTTCATTGATAAGTAGGGCCAAGACAAAACAAGGTATGATGAGGAAAAGATGGCGGAAAGTATCTTGGTTCTTGTCATATGAACGACGGACAATCTTGTGGCGTCTAATGTACCAAATAATTGAATATGAACTCCCCAAGAATATCAACTTCATGACCGTATTATATAGAGATATGAAGTCGGTAAAGATATCCAAATAGCGGGTGGTAAAAACAATTGCATATAGCTCTTGAGTCTTCAAAGAAACACCTGCATCAAGTGAAACACATTAAATACAGAGAAAAAAAATTGCAGCCAGAGGCCGAACAATGAAATCCGAGTATGTAGAACTACATGATTAAGAACATATCTCAAAACCCTAAAAGAACAAAGGCCCTATAATACATTGAGATTTCAAAATCCKTATCAAATCTGACAAAATGCTAACATAGATATGCAGTGCTTGTTTGCACATTGTTTGATTAGCCTAAGCCTTCATTGCATTTACCTACAGTATACGATTAATATGTGGGGAGTATTCTTACAAAAGGAAAAAAGTTAAATTTGCAATTAGGAAAGTTTCAATTCAATTGGGGATATGCCCGTACGATTTGTTACAGTCTTCTAGCTCCAAAACCCAAAAATGTATGAAATCAAAACTGAACAAACGATTTCAGAACCTACAAATCCGAAATATCCAAATCGACAAGCTCCGATGGGAACCCATACAATGATGCAAAAACGAAAGAGAAAGAAGAATATCGGTGTTAAGACTAAGGATTCCAACAGATTAGCCCACAAAATCCCAACACAAATGGGGCGGGAAATAAACGGCGTACCAGCACAGGATTTGATGGTATGGATCTTGAGGAGCAAGACGAGAACGCTGGCCAGGTGGGTCATATCGCCGGCTAATCTAAAGATATTCATCTTCTCAAATTAGATCTCGTCTTGAAAATCCAAATTTGGGGGCCGATCTCTTGAGCTGCGCTCTGATGAACTCCTCCTGGGCTCGGATTGACGATGCTGGCAACTTCAGAAATCGGAAATTTTGCCGCAGAGAAGCTTCCCGATTGCCGTTTTCGGTTGTTCCCCTTTCCCCCCCGACGCAACAAGTTATGTTCTTGGGAATCTTCTTCGCAAAATTAACGYTCCCATGTGCGAAATGGCGTACTCATACTTTTGAAAAATAGCATAAATAAGTTCTGTTTGCATTGCAAGGCTCTTTGAAAAATGTTTCTGAAAATAGTGTTGTTTTCTATAACTTTTGCCACAAATCACAAGATTAATTTGTAAAAGTTTGTTTTTTAAAAAATAAAATTCATATTGGGTTTTTTTTTTCACCTATGATGCTTAGGTTGGTTTATCAATTATATATATATATTCAACATACTTTCATCTCCATCGTTGTTATGCTCTAATATCAAGTTGAAAATTAGTTCGTGGAGGAAGCACCTTTCGTAGCTAATATCAAGTTGAAAATTAGTGAGTGGAGGAAGTCCTTTTCGTAGCTAAAGAACATGTATACCCCGAGACACAAACAATGTGGTTCATTGTTTGGCAAAAGAAAGTGATGGAGTATCATCTTTCGGAAGAATGGAGTATYCGGACTCCTAATTGGTTTGTAACTCTACTTCAAATTGAACTTATTGTGTTAGTTTAATTCGCTTTCTTTATTTTTCAGAAAAAGAAAAAAAAAATATATATATATATATATATATAGGAAATTGCAGTGAGTAYCAAATTTTTCTTTTTTTTGGTATTTCAAAATATGTCACTTTTTTTTTAATTTTCACTTATATTGGTAGTATATCAGATACTCGTATCAGTAGTATATCAGACACTCATATCAGTAGTATATCRCATACATATATCAATATTCAAATATATTACAGACATATTATAGATATATTACAAATGTATATCATTTGGGTAAAGTTGTCATTTTAAAATTGGATTTCCGTTTTTTAGTRCTATATTTGAAAAACTAAAAGTAGTTGCTATTTTATTAATTTTACTAAATGTTTTTACTATATTTACAACTGTCAAAAATATATATACCAAGTGAAAATTTTAATGTGTGATCTCTTCAAAATATAGATACTCTGACACCAGGTTTGACAATTTACCACATATATATATATTTAATTATTCATATATCATTGATGTAAAACAAATATTATTCAACTAGTACCTTTATATGTATAAATTTCAAATAAAAAATACTTTGAGTAAAAGAAGAATGAAAAAAAAAAAGTAAGAGGGGATCATTCAGAACCCGCTAGGTCCATAATCGGTGGAAGTTCCTCACGCCAACCCCAAGCATGGGACACTTTTATGTTTACTTCTTATAATTAAGTATATAATCTAAGAAGTTATGATAATTATAAAAAAATATTATTAAAATTTATATCTAACTTTTAGTACGACAAGAGTGAGATTCCAACCTTCAATCATTRGAGAAGTTATTGAGTAAAACTATATTCTGATTCACATAATGTTATTAAAATTGTATTGMACATGGTTTAATAGTTAATAAAATCTTTGCTAAAAAAAATTATTATTAAACTCTTTGTACTAAAAAAAATTATTAAACGCTATATCCATAAACAAAATAACCAAATATTAATAATATATTATTAATTATTCCTTTTTAGTTATTTGTTGTTTTAGAAGTTACTATTAGAAACACTCGAACATGGGAGGCAATGAAAAAATGGTATTTATATGAATTGACAAATTCGTTAGAATTCGGAAGATAATACTATTTTATAATTGAAAAATCTCAAAAATTATATCGCAAAGTGTGTGTATTATATATAAACAGACAACAAATAAACTTAAATTCGAGTCGACTGTATTAAATGGTATAAAATGATCTTTCATACAGAAAAAAGAAAAGAGGTTGTTATACTTCCCAACGACACCTATAACCTTCTATTAATATTCGACCTAAGTAAAGGTCAGGAACTGAAAGAATGAACATTTRTCAAACTACTCTTAAAGTTCCAACCCAACGTTATCACATAGTGTGAACTGGGGCTCACTGATCTTCAATGACTAAAACATGCATTTTAAAGTGAGTAAGGGACAGGTCGAAAGAACTGCCCATTATGCATAGCTAAGCTTTTTGGTTCGCTCTCGAAATAGAGAGGTAGACTTCGTACGCATACACGCAAATTTGATTGTCCGTCTCTAGACAAATAGCTTCAACTGTTACCAACTCGAGCGTTAGATTGTTTTCTTCTCTTTTTGGAGATTCCTATTGCATTCGTCCAATTTCTCATCGAATCTACGAGTAATCAGAATCCAACACAAACATATCATTTTTGTATTGGTAAATATCTTGTTTCAAAATATATTAGATACATACAATTTTTTTTTAACTTTTCACGTGACATATATATTTTTATTTAGTTTAATAATATGTAGGCGTAGAAATTTCAATATGGTCGACCATAAATATTTAGCGATATATATTCAAGTGGGCTCCACACGAGATATTATATTGAGCAGAAGGGACCATTTTGTATTTGCTTGCCTTTTCAATTTGGTTCGCTACTAGAAAAACAATTATTTTGCAGGAATGCAACGAAACAAACATCATATTTCATTGTCCTGTCAAAGTGGAGGGTAAAACACAATTCACAGAACTGTTAAAATTGTCTCTTTCGCATTTATTAAAAATGTAAAAAACAAAGAAAAAGAGGTAAAGAAGGTTATGTTCATTTGAATTTTCTGTTAATTTAAATGATTTTAGGTTATTCTAAATTTAATATCATTTTACATAACAACGTTAAAGGCTCGTTTGAAAATGATTTTACAAATGAGTGATTTTGTGAAAGTAATTTTTATATAATTATTTTAATGTTTGGTTATAACCTTTTCTAATAATTTTTATATAATTAAAAATGATTTTGAAGGATTAATATTTAAAGTTTAAAGAGAGAATTTGACAAACAAAATTTTTAGAGGAAGAGATTAGAGAAAATAAACAAAAAAGGTAAATAAAGTCAGAGAGTTACCAAAATTTTAGATAAAAGATTATCAAAATTTAAGGTGAAAATAAAGTTTTAAAAAAAAAGTGAAAATAAGTTGAATAGAAAGATAATTTTGAAAACTAAAATAATAACTATTTTAAGAACTCATTTTCTTTTATTTTTTAGTCAAAAAATCACTTGGAGAATCAATCTTTTGACCAAGAATCACTTAAAGTGATTTTGAATTTATTCAAAATTACTTATAAACCATTGTCAAACATTCTATTTTAAAATAGAAGTGATTTTAGCAGAGGAGAGAGTGATTCTAACAATATCAAAATCACTTATAAATGCGCCTTAAAAATTAATTTAAAGTTATTTTAAACTAGCCTAAAATCAATTTTTTATTTTCCAAATAATAATAGATTATTTTTAATTTTTTAATCAATTAAAAGATTTAGATCTGAATTTTAAATCCCACCACTAAAAAGAATATACATATAACATACATATACATATATATAGATACATGCATATACATATTCTTTAATATATATATATTAAAGAACATATACATATACATACATCATAAATATTTTAGAGAATTAGAGAGTTGTGTTTGATAACTTTTGTTTGTACGTTTATTATTTTAAAACCCTAAAAGTTATTTATTGTTTCTTTTACTCAAGGTCCATAAATAAAATAGTAAAAATTATGACTTAAGGTTAGTTTATTTTTTAGTTCAACAAATTTGAAGTGAAGATTAAACCTTGAATTTTAAAGAAGGTAATAAGTAATATCCATTTTTTTAGTACAATAAGTGGGAGTATGAGATTCGAACTCACGATCTCTTAATTGAGAATAAGTGCAATTACTGTTAAATTAAACTTATATCGGCGAGTAATATCCATTTAACTATGTTGAAATTAACAAGAAAAAAAAAACTTATTGTCAAGTAGGCGATCAATAACCACTGAAAAAACAAAATTAACCATGTTGTTTTGATAATTGCTTTTAGTTTTATATTTTTAAGGGAAAAAAAGTTGGGTCAATTATTAAGAGGTTTTAGGGAGGTCTGTCTTTTTCAAACCCCTTCAAATTCATATTTTGAAGAAAGAGGAAATTATACTAAACAAAATAAAATAAATTATATATTTATAAAAATATCATTATTTTGTTGTTTTTTTGCAAAAATATCTGAAAAGTAATTTTTGGTTGAGTAAATATAATTTGCAATTTATGTAATTTCATCTATTTGAAAGGTATGTAGTTATATACCTAACAACTATAACTTATGACTAATCTCAGCGTAATTTAATGGATAAGGATAAAGTATCTATTACATCGTAAAGGTCCATTGTTCGATCTTCCATTGCAATTGTCGAACTAAAAAATAATCAAAAACAAAAGAGACAAAACTATGTGAATTTTTATTATAGAACCTAATTTTTATGAGTTTTTTTTATTTCATTTATAAATTTGGGTTTAGATCCATAATCTAACAAATATTATTTAGATTATAAAAACTAATTTGGTTAAGTTTTAAAATCATTATAAAATAAACGAAAATATAAATAAGACCCATTGTCAAACGACACGTAAGGAGGCATTAAAAAAATAAATCAGAAATTAAATTAAGAATCGGGGGAATAATCATCGAGATGCAACCATACCTTAACTACGGTGGAATTTGAAGCATTTATATATATTTTCTATTTTCCAAATAAAATATAATTAATTGAACCTTATTTTTCGGAAAAATTTAGCCAAATAATTTAATGCCCCAACGGCTCAATTGAATGTGCGCGTGAGGCGAGTGAATTCTCACCCCATTCTGCTGGACACGTGTGCACTGTCCACTAAATTTATTTGCATCTTTTACTTCAATTTTCTATGTGCTCATTAAAATATAGTTGTTTAAATATCTTTCAAGTTTTATTTTTATTGTTGAAATATTATTTTCGTCTCTATTTATTTTTTATTTTTATTTATTTTTGGAGTTTGAACCTTCGATCTCAAAAAATTGGGTAAGTATCAATAATTATCATTGAGCTACGTTTATATTTGCCTTTCATCACTACTGGATGTCACTCAATCTAAGATTGTTCAAAGTCAAGCATGCTTAACTTTAGAGTACTTATAATTGAGTTATCGAAAAGGAATACACACTTTTTCGATATAGGTAGTGATCGATTGAGTTACTGAAAATGAAGGTGCACATTATCAGTATAGATAGTGACTATCAATTATTTTAAGCATTTCATGAACTATTCTTCCATGATCTCATAATACATCTCATTTGAATGTGGTATCGATTCATTCATATACCCTTCCTCCCTACTTGAGCGTCACATTCACTGAGCGTTCTCACTACTCTTTTTTCCTTTGCCAGCTCATGTTAAACATTTTTCAGCTTGTCTTTCCAAATTGGAGTGTTGATATCCAACATATTTGTTGAGAATGCAACTTTTGTGCTAACTTGCTTGTTGTGTTTCTTTCCTTGTTGATTACAACATGTGAGGTAGGGGATCGAATTCACAATTATCGATTTGAGATATATGCTAATTACCGTTGAATTATGCTCGCTTTGATACTCTTGTCAATTTCCTTTTGAAAAAAAATAGCTAAATGCATATTCTAAAACACAATAACTATAATATAAAAAAGTTAAAATTATTAACTAAAATAGGATCCAAATATATTCTAAAATAGGATTCAAATATATTTTTAGTTATGATTTAATCTTATAATTATAAGTATTTTTATGCTGTCAAAGACAACTCACGGATAACATCTCTAGCATTGAGTATAATTCAGTTAGCTAAGACATCTATTTCCGATCAAAAGATCGTGAGTTCGAACCCTTACATGTACATATTGTTCTAAGGAAACATTGTATTGTAAAAAACCCAAATTAATATCATGCTCAATTTTTTTTTTCTACGTTCAAAATTTTTTTCCCTTTATCGGGGGGACAATGTCAATTCAACAAAAACAAGGATGAAATCAATGTGACTTATGGTTGTGGTTGTTGCAATTTTGTCCGACTCCTTCGGAAAAATATCATCTATGTTTCACAATTTTAAATATATCGTAATCAGTTAAGTTATGCTCAGGTTGACAGTATTTTTTTTAACGTGTGTCATTCAATCAAACAATTTGAACATCGAATAACTTTAATATGATTCATTTCTAGAATACAAATAATTTTTTTTTTCAAATTACGTTATATCATTCAATTATATTAATTATGTGAAAAATCATTATCTCATTCACTACTTTTTAGCCTCTTATATTTTACTATCGATTTGTACTTAGTGATAAAATATGAAAATACTATACGAGAAAAAAGAAATAAAAATTGATATATTATCAATCTAAATTTAGCTCAATAATTAAATAATTAACCTGTCTCTGATTAATGTTATGAGTTCAAATTCTTCATTCTACGAGTTACGTTCATATCTAATATCAAATATATTGATATTCATCCCCTAAATCAAACTACCCTGCAGATTTTTCAATTCTTCCCTTTTTCTCATAGTTTGACTTTCCAATTTTAGTTGAATTAATTTTAAACTATTATTGGAGATATGCTTTTTTTTAACTAATTATTAATATTACTTCCATTTAAGTGAAACTAAAAAATTAAGTAGTCCTAGGTAATTTTTGTCATTATCAGTGGTTAAATGCACCAAAGTTTCAAAAATAAAATGCCTATTTTGATAATGGTTTTTTATTTTTAAAAAGTAAGTTTGTTTGCAAAATTTCAAATAAAAAGTGGATAATTGAAAAGTATGTTTTCAATTTTTAATTAAGAATCTTTTAAATAAATTAAATAGGATATCTCTGTTAATAAATTAATTAGGAGATTTAAACCTACCATCCGGTATCCACAAAGCAAACTAATATCTCACCTTTTTTAATNTTATATAATATGAGGCGTGGATTCCAACTTTTCCACTAATTTTCACATTCTAAAACCTATGTTTGAAATTTGAATATGATTTACAAATATTTTTATAAATTACAATATAAGATAAATAAAATTCAAAAGATACAAAATTAAAATTAAAATCAATGAGAAAAACCACAATAACTTAAAATCGACTTAGAGAATTTTTACATGGATGGTAAAAAGACAGTAAAATATTTTGGTTAAATTATAGTTTAGTCTCTAAATTTGAGATTACATTTTTGATGCAAATGTTGCTCTAGTCTTCACGTCCCACGTCCTCCTAAATCCTAATCACTAAACCTAAATTTTGAAGTAACTTTGAGGAAATTGGTTGCCAAGCTTGGTAAGATTAAGATCGTTTACCTCTCTTGTTTATAAGGGAGACGCTAAATATGACTCCATAATTACAATTACCATATCATGTACCATCCCACCCAATAATGATGGTATTTTGACTCTTTAGCGTGACATCCACATTTTTCGAGTGGTAAAATGACTCATTCTCTGGTGATCGAGCTAAGCTCTTAGGGTGTCAGCTCGTGCTACCCTCCACCTTAGTTACTCAAAACAACAGTCCCTCTGTAAATGTGGCATTTGCCTACAACTATTATTTATTTGTATCTATCATGTAACCATTATAGATTCTACCTACAATAATATTTAGTAAATCTTTAAATTTTAAAAGTACGGTTTAATATGTTAATAAATTTTGAACTGTCATTAAAACTTTAAAAGTATCTAATAAGAAACTATATTTTTTAAAGTTTAAATATTTTTAGAAAAATTGGAGTAGGTATTGAGTTTGAATACTAAATTTGTAATTGAACCCAAAAGAATTTCAACCTATATCTTTAATAAAAAAAATCGTGGAAGGTTAAAAGGAAAAAAAAATGTGGAACCCATATAGTAAAAGCGTGCTGTCGCTGTCACGTGGCTCTGTGTCTCTCTTTGATAATCTCTGTATGTCTCTTTGGAAAGAGGAAAAAAAATCGAAACTAAAAAAGAAAAGAAAAAATATAGAGAGAGGGGAAAAAAATAAGCGATGGTGTGCGAGTTACTCGGTTAGTGGGCACTTTTCTCCTTCTTCTCCGCCCCATAGCCCCCATTATCTAGTAGCAGTAGTACAACATCCTGCGACCGAAGTGGGTCTGATTCCTTTTCTCCGATCGCAGTTCAGTCCAGAGCAATTCGTGAGTGCCGCTCTTGTTTCACTGTTTCTTCAACCATGGATGATGCCGGCAAAAACAAGTAAAATCATTGCCCTCCCGCTCTTCCTGTTTGTTTTTGTGCAATTGCTTTCGTTTCTGGGTTTGTCTTCTGGGATTTGCCGGAATGGGTCTTCTGGGGAAGATCTTGCCCTTACCCATTCTCTTTGAAGCACTATTTGAGGGAAGCTGCTTTGGGTTTTTATTTTTTATTTTTTATTTTTCTCTATGGAATGGGGTTGTTTCTTTGATTTACCTAGATTTTTCTTGCTCTGTAATCGGTGGTCTGTGGTTGAAATGAGGGCGAATATGAGGCTGTTGGATCTAATTGAAGTATTGGGTCATTGCTTAACTCTTTATTTTTTGGCTTTTTGTTTGCGTTTGACTACGTGTTTGGTCACCAATGTACTGTATCGTCGAGAGCTAATGACCAATTATAGTAGTTGTTCTCGCAGTTTTGTCCTCTCCGGGATCACAATTGTTTAATCAGTTCTTTTTCAGATTAATGACTGTTCTGTTAGTGTTAATTTGTTGAGAAAATCCTCCCCTTCCCCTCGAATAAGTGTGGTTTAATTTTTTGATAAGAGGCGCTGCATGTATGATCATACGTTTTTGTTACTTTAATGTGTAAATTTATCAGTGATACTTGGGATTGGGATGGAGATGGATATTGCATTCAGAAGGATAACGATTTAGGTGAGTATTTTTCTGGTTTAATTTGTTTGTCATGCATTATCTAATCATAGAGGTGCTGAACTTGCTGGTTCACATCGTCATGAGCAGAGATACCAGAAAGCATTTGGGATGGGGTGTCTGAAAATGACGATCTTTCGTATGTGCTTGATGAAACAACTCCGGTCAAAGCTTGTGGGGACTTGGCATACCATGTTGCGTATAGTGGTAATGTCTTAATGCCCTCCTATAGCCCCTCAATACTCCAGGCACAGGCAAATCATATTTTCTGATGCTTACACTTGAATTTTAATTTAAAGAGTGGTTGGTTCTTTGTCATTTATAATGTGGAGGAATGGGGTTTCAGATGGCAGGAACAAGAAATCAGAAGAATCTAGGGAGACTCATTCACAAGCTAAAAGACGGCGGATGTTACAGTTTAATGCACAAGATATGGGAACTTCCCTCTGCAGTGAAGATTTGTCTTCTAGATTTCTAAAATCACTTGTAAGTGATATGAACTTCCCGTTTCTTTTAAGTCAAATTAAGCGTGTTGCACGACTGAAGAATTCAGAAAGATTTGTGTCGAACATGTCAATTTTACAATTTGTCATGTGCTTTTACTTATTATGTATTTGCCTTTTATCACTTCATTCTTGATCTTTTTAGTGACATGAACTTTATGTTGCTGGCGAGGAGGTAATTGTCAATTGAGACAAGGTTTAATGAGGAATGTCATTGTAGGAGTCCAGTTTGTCCTTTTAATTCTCTCAAAGAATGTAAACATCTAGAGTTGGCTTCTCATTTGTCTTTTCTTTAGAGACACCTTATTTGCTATCTCATTGTCACCTGCAAGTTCAGTTTTCTTTTGGCGTTTACAGCAGATCTTCCCCTTAGATACAAAAACTTAAGTTCTATGCTTGTGATGTTAGACAAAAACTTAAGTTCTATGCTTGTGATGTTAGACTTGTTAATAAATACAAACATACTACAGAACATGTATAAAATTTGTAGTGTCCCTTTGCTCTATTTACAGAACAAGGATGTTTCCAGTCCAGCTGCTCTCCCCGAGGTTCCATACGGGATTCCCGAGTGTTCTGGACTCTCAGGTCTGTCTCAAACGAAATACTGCTTAATATAAAAAAAAGTGTATCGTTGTACTTGTTTGCATCTTGGATTTGTCTAATTATTATTTACTTGTCTTAGATAATGTCCCCATTTCCTGTCATGAGAATTTGGATCACTCGCCTGAAGGTTGGATTTCTGAATGCTTCAATGATGCTGATATGCATTGCAGCCCTGAGGATTTGTATGTGCTTTGTGTGCATTCAGATTTTTTTTTTCCAACTGAGAAACTGAGCTTTCATTAAAAAATGAATTTCAATTATATAACTACCCTGTGATGTGGAACTCAGGAACTTTGCTGGGACTTCGGACATTCAAATCGACGTATCAGGTGAGGGGAAATGTTATTACTGTTTGTGTTCATATTTTATTTCTCCTCATGTAAACTGTTTCTTTCTAGAATATCACTCTTATCATTGATGAGTAACATTAGTTAATTCCGACTGTAGAGTTTTGTGATGTTATGCCCGAGCTCAAGTCTAATGCCGTTCAACATCATCCTACTCGAGCTCCTCGAAACATAATATTTAAAGGTTCTATTCTGCTCTTGACCTTTTAAGTACAGTATCTTTAGTTTCCAAAAGAATATGAGATCTCTTGTATTGTATTTTGAAGGTTTGTTTACCGTGATGATATGCCGTGTTCCGTTTCCTCTTGTCTCCAGGGAAGCTTGAGCTTGCAAGCCCTGGATTTTTCTTTTTCCATTTCTAATGATCTGATTAACTTCTCATCATCTCGTGAACGATTTGCCTGTATGTGCAGGTCGGAAATCGTATATTAGAACTCCCACTAAATTGGCTTCTTCAGTTGCCTACCCATTTGCCTTCATCAAACCCTGTGGATTCCACGGAGACGTTACCTTGAAGGACATAAACCAGCGGATCCGTACGCCTCCACCATCAAAACTGAAGCATCATCCCGAAGACCCGTCCCAATCTTACCCAACTTCAGCCTTCTCTGGAAAGCCCGTCGTGGGTAAAACCAAGATCCATACCGAAGGGGGAAAGGGTAGCATCACAATCATGAGGACCAGAGGTTGAACTCGCAATGGATAACGATTCTCGCTATCCAAACTTCCGGTTTTGCTGCCTATCGGTCCCTCATCGGGGGGGTTTGTAAAATGTCAGGGGCATCTAGTAAGTAGTATAGAAGGTGATTAATTTCCATTTTTGGTGGGGATAGATAGATAGAGAGAGGAAGATGGTAGGAGTATTAGAGTTGGCCTTGGAATCCCTAATCATATATATAACTTGATGAATATGTTTATGCTTCCAAGTGAACTCTAGTAGGTTCGAGTTCGATACCGATACGATTTATATGTCAATTTTTAGACTTGAAAACGCTTCTTATCATTATGTTTATTATGAAAATCATTCCATTTGTTTTGGATTGTGAAGTGAAACTCTTGTGTAATGCTTTGTTTGTTTGGTTTAGCATGGAAAAATGAGAGCATCAGGTTGTAGGATCTTGTCTCTCACAGGCTTTGGTTAAAGAGAAAAGAGGTGAAAAGAAAAGATGTGCCTCAGTGATTTTACATTTTACTCCACTGGACACTGCTTTTTATGCTTCATAAATCATAAAATTTGGATGCAAACTCTCACACTCACTCACACTAGATGAAGATTCCATCTTTTACAGTCTTTTAAGAAAATTTGACTTCTATTTCATAATCATTTTGTTTTTTGTTTTTATTTTTTTAAAATTATGCTTATTTGTTAAAAAAAATTAGGATAAATTTTAAGTCCATGCAAAACAAAGCCATGTACTAGTGAAAGTATGTTTACAAGTTTAATTCTAAACAACAGAAAGTAAAAAATAAAACAATTATCAAATACAGTCTTAGCTTACTTTAACTTACTCGTGCTTTCTTGACCGACAATATTGAGAGTAGTACTTGTATTAGTGTAACATAAAGACATATTTTCTTCATATTGTACCACATAATATTCCATCTTATAAGTCAATCTGAACTTAGGTTAAGACATCGTGCTCTTTCTTTACATTAACTAATCTTTATCATTCCAACTTTGTCCGGTGAAATCCGCCCGGACGGGGAAACAATATATGTACTTAAAACTTAAAAAGAAGATTTAAAAATGGTTTGAATAATAAAAGAAAGTGCAAAAAAGGGAATCAAAAAGCATCAAGAATTTCCAAGATGAAATCGTTGCAAGTGGGACAGTTCCCGCGGCTGACCATTAGCTCCTTGGAACAGAGTCTGCAAAATGTATGGCCGCAGGCCCCCATAGCCGCGCTCTTGTGCTTCACCATGCAAACGGAGCAGCTGAATTCTTCTCCTCTTTCGTCGTCTTCGTCTTCGTAATCCTCATCTTCCTCATCCTCATCGTCGAAGAAATCGTCTAAGCCGCCCATTCCGTAGCTCGCCCCTTCGAACCCCATTTCCCTGTCCGTCTCCTGCAGCAAGTCCATCAACGACATCCTCATCGGCTGCGCCGCCGGTGACGACGCCTCCGACCCTGTCGTTGATTCTTCGCTTCCGTTCTCGTTTCCGTTTCCGTTTCCGTTTTCGTTTTCCTCACCCTCGTTTTCCTCTTCTTCTTCTGCGGCTTCCGCGGCCGCCGCCGCCGCCGCCGCCGCCGCCGCCGCAGCTGCTGCAGCGGAGGCTGCATCGGCTGCTTCTTGTGCTACTACGGCTTCTCTCGCGGACAGCATTCTCTGATCCGAGAAGGCGGAGTTCATCTGGCGAACTCGGTTGTCGCGTTCTGGTTCAGTCGGATCCGTGTAGATCTCCATCGAATTCGGGATCCGGACTGAGTTGTGGCGGGACATTTGCGGTCTCATGATTCGAATCGGCGCCGCGTCTGGTGCCTGCGAGTAATCGGACGATTCATCAGGCTGGAACGCGGATGAATCGCTAAAGCTGTTCAGTGCGGAACTCTGTCGAGATGTTTGGTTCCGGCGAGAGAATTTGGACGATTCTTCGCCCGAGTTTCTGGACAGTGGCGTACTGAACCGAACTTGATTGCGCTTACCGATTAGGGATCGCTTATTGTGAACCGGAATATCGGAGGTCGGAATCGGGACAGTCGAGACCCAAGCAGAGCCGGCGCGCTTCAGCCGGAGCTTATCCCTAAACGACTTCCAAGTCCTTTTGTCCTTACCGAAAAGCCCCTTTCCGATGGTCGGCTCATCGTCCCGGATTATGTCCAGTAGGGTTCGATTACGGATTTCGGCCGCCGCCGGTTGCCCTAATCTGTTGTTCGCCAAAACGTCGTCCAGAGTATAGCCCGCCAGGCTACGTCCGTCCTCAACCATCGACATCTGGTCAGATTCGTCTGAAATCGCAGCGGAACAGTGGAAGAAAAAGAGAAGTAAAAATGTGCAGGTTAGAGAAAATCAACGAATCTATTTTCTCGATACAAATTACAGAATCACAAGAATTCATGCATTGATGATCATCATGGTTTTCTTTATTCTCTGATATTGATGAAGCATTGTGAAATTCGAAGGAAAAATTGAACCCACCCACCTCAGGATTGTTAATAAGAGATCTGACGTAAATTGACAGGGGATGGCTTCTGCAAAGAACTTGGGAGGAAGAAGAAGAAGCTAAGATGATGATATTCAGGTATTTCAATTCAATTCCCCATAATTTTTCGATCAATTATTCTTTCTTGTTTTGTGCTGAGCAAATTTAAAAACTGGAGTTAAATTAGAAAGGGAATGAAGAATGTGGAAGGGAAGCAATTCGTTAGGAGAGGCTGTCCCAATTTTCGGGAAGTTGTAAGGTCGTGGAAAATTGTATAAACAAAGATAGAAAGAAGAGAGAAATGGCTGAAAATGGATAAAAAAATATATATTAGAAAGCTTATGTTACAATTTTTATTCTTAAACAGGCAACGCAATGAGAAATTATCAAAGCTTCTTTGATAAACTTTTAGTTTTTGCTGCTTAGTTTTTGATATAACCTAGGAATTGTAACGGGTCCCAATAGTCTTGCCATATGGAAATTGCTAAATATTTGCACAAAGAATAAGTTTTTACAAATATGAAAATTTTCTACGGTTTCTAATTAAGATTCAAGTCAATTAAAAATACATACGAGATGGAGGATTCGAACTCATGATCTCTTAGTCAGAGATACGTGTCAATTACTACTGAGCTAAGCTTATTTATTTTTTTAGATTGTTGAGCTAAGCTTGGCACATTAACAAAATTTTCATTTCATATTTGGAACTAATTAAAAATGCATCAACTAATTTTGGGGTGGAATAGTGTAATTAGCTTGATGCAGTGGAACATGTTTAAAATATCACAGGTGGAACTATTGATTAATATTGAGTTTTCCTTTTCATAGATTCTTCTACCGTGTGGGCTTATTTGTTGTAAAATTTGCTTATGCCATGCCTTTAGTCAGTAGAGATAGTATAAATAACTTGTTTTTGCTGATCACTTTAGTAAAAAAGGGTAGCACGTGGAGGAAGATGTGTTGTTAATATCGTCTAACTTTCCTAACCAAACATGTTTCGATTAAACTTAGGTGTCTACCCCTACTTACCACTATTAAAAAAACGTTAAATAGAAAAGATGAATGCTAAGAGGAGATCTAGATCTTCTATCTGCTTCAAAAACTGCTTTGATTTCTATATGTGATATAAGTGATCTTTCTCGAACCTCGACGCCAGCCACAATGGGAGGCCCTAGCAGTTTTTCGAGAGCAGGTCTCAGAAGTTTTGTGCTGTCTTTGAGAAGGGGCTTAGATGTTGTAAGTGCTCTATCTATTTACATGTTATAATGAGATTCCAATGACAATTCATCACCCCATGGCCCATAGCCCATAGCCCATAGCCCATTTTCATATTCATATTCTTCTCTTGAAAGCATTATTTTAAACCCCCAAATGGGTAATAAAACATTAATTACTTTTTTTCAACCATTTTAGGGTTTTGGGAGTGGAAAGGATAAATTATGATTCTTTTGTCGTTCCTCAATGTGAAAACAACTTTCTCAAGCAGGGGCATTGTGCATAAATGGCTATTCCTAGGCGTGAAAGGACCCGAACCGGATTGAACTGATATTTAATTCGGTTAGGTTCGGGTCTAACCAACCGAGGGTTTTAAAACACTTATCCCACCTACCCTATTTCTTCATCTTTTCCTTTATTCCCGCCTCCAACTTCACTTCTCCCTCGAAGCTCGAAGCCTCTCCCTGTCCCACTCCCTCTCTCCCTTGAATCCTCTTCCTCCCCCTCTTTGAAGCTCCTCCATGCCCCATTCCCTCCCTCTTCCCCAATCCCTCTCTCCCTTGAATCCTCTCCTTCCCCCTCCCTGAAGCTCCTCCATGCCCCACTCCCTCCCCCTGACGGGCAACAAAAATCAGAGGCGACAGCGACAAAAATTCACGACGGTGGCAAAACCTCCCTTTTCTTTTTTCTCTTGTTTTGATTTTTTTTTTATATTATCTTTTTTCGATTTCGAAGGTGGGTTTTGATGGAGGTCTTTATTTATTTATTTTGAAGGTGAGTTTTTGTTTATTTTTGTTATATTTTGAAGGTGGGTTTGATTTTGAAGTTGAGTTTTTGTTATATATTGAAGGTGATTTTGATTTTGAAGTTATGTTTGATTTTGAAGATGAGTTTTGATGTATTTTGTAGAAGGTAGGTTTTGAAGTTAGGTTTTGGTTAGGATGGAAGGTGGATTTTGATTTTCAAGGTTTGAAGATGGAAGGTTTTATTTGAATGGTTTTTTTTTAGTCATTCCATCGCTCGTAAGGAGAAACTCAGAGTGTGAAGAAGAAGACGAACAAAAAAACCGAAATCGGGTTGACCCGATTCAACTAAAAACCGAACATTTTCGAGTCGGATCGATTTTGTACGAAAATCGGTACAAAACCGATCCAAGCGACCAACTTACACCCCTAGTTCTAAGTTCAGAGCCAAGACTGGGAAACTAACAGAATGCTGATGTCTTAATGGTGAGTTTGATATTTTATATCATTTTTAATTATATGGAATTTTTTAATATTTTCCTCCTATTTTTTTTCTCTCTTTTTTTCCGCTCTCACCCCTCCCATTCTTCTCCTCGTTCGTTTTCTCTCCCCCAATCTCACCTTCCCTCTACAAAATATCTTTCCATGAAAACCAACTTCGGAGGTGTGTACTGCTTGAAAACCAACTTCCTTTCTTTCTTCYGAGCGCTCAATAATCCAACTATACTTGAAAACTTCTCTTTCATTCAACTTGCTCACCAATTTTTTATGGCTCTGGAAGGGATGAGTTATCTTGGAAAGGATTTTAGGGTAGATGACGACAAATTAGCAGGGGAATCATTTTGGGGAAAAATACACTTTTGGTCTCAGTTGGTTCCTAAAGTTTCAAAATGGATATTTTTGGTACATGAAGTTTGGGGTTAGTGCCTATTTCGTCCCTAAAGTTTAAAAATGAACATTTTTAGTCCTTTTGAGGAACGGTTTTAAATGGTCCTTTAACTATACTTTTTAAACGGTCCTTCAGCTATACTTTGACCATTAGTTGACTAATGTTTAAATGACTCAGCAGTTATGTTTTACTTATTTGAAAAAATATATTAATTTAATATTTTTTTGATGATTGGACTTTTTTTTTTAATCATATCTCCATCCTTTCACCCTACAACCTCTTCTTCCCCCTCCTCCGATGGAGCCCACCATGACAGCTGCGCGCCATCTTTGTCCTCGCCCGCCACTAGCGTCGCCACCGGCCTCCAACGACCGTCGCCGGCTACGAAGAGAGAACAATGACGAGAGGTGGAGCTTTCCCTGGTTCCAGATCTCGGAGAGGGAGAGCTCCCCTTGTTCCAAAGTTGGTCCTACACATGAACAGGCTACAACAAGAAAATCCATTGAAGAAATTTTCAGTTCTTTTTTCAAAATCTAAGTTGCGATTGAGAACAAGTCTTTTCATGTAAGTTGAATTATCTTCTGGCTAAGGAATTGAGAAGGAAAATGGGAAATCTGAGCTTCAGAACCTGTAAGAAAGGGGTGTAAAAGTGAGCTCTGTTTCAATTTATAATATGTTAAACTAAAATGAGTTTTTTTTTTTCCAGTTTTTTGAGAAAATGCGGTGGAAAGGATTATTGTTTCCTTTCATTTATGTCTGATCAAAAGGTCATGAGATCGAATCCCCAACTCACATGTTGTATTGGAGGCAAGAAAAATGAATTGGGGTTTAGTATAAATGTAATTACTTATTTGTCGGTTGAAGTTGGAAATTTTAAGTTTCTTCCAACACACCCCAAAAGCAAAAAAGAAAACCCTCAACTACTGCTGTTGTTATTCTAATTTTCCATCCACCGTTTTAAACCATTTTCATTGAATTCTCCATAAACAATTTGAAAATGGAAATGGTGTGAGGAAGGGATAGAGAAGAAGGGGGAGGGGAAGTGAAATCCTCCGTAGGAGTATGGAATATAATTATTAGGATTAATTATTGGGAGGAGCGTGGGGAACGAGAAGTTGCAGGGTGAAAGGATGGAGATATGATTAAAAAGAAAAAAAAAAGGTAAAATTGTGATGAATAGGCAATTTTAAGAAGGAAGTATTGATTTCTAGTCACTCTTTAAAAAACTAGGTTTTTTAGGCATTTTTTCCTTCCAAATTACTTTCCTACCCTTCCGTTCTCTCTTCCTTTCCCTCCTCTCTCTTGCTTTTCACTTTTCTCTCTCCTTCATTACCAGAAATTTTTTTTCTCTTTCTACCCAGGCCCCTTCTCTCTCTCTCCTCTTTCTCTTTCTTCTTCTTCTACCCACGCCCCCTTTCTCTTTATCCTTCCATATTCTCCACCCCCTCTACCCATCGTGATCCATGTCCTTCATCTACGTCTTCATACACGCTCCACCAAGATCGACTGCTACAGAAGCTTGTCACCATCAGTACCATTGTCGGATTCCAGTGCGAACAAGCCGACCGAGAGCGAGAGAGTGAGATCGAGAGCGAGAGAGCGGGAGATCGAGAGCGAGAGAGAGCGAGAGCGAGAAGTTTTTCTTTGTCTTGTTTTAATTTTGAGGTCCAATAATGGAGTCACAAAGAGGAAGTTGAAGAAATTAAAAAAAATCAAGAGGGAGGAGGGGAGAGGAAGAATAGCAGAAAATTAGGGTAAAAAATAAATGGAGGAGAGAAGAGAAATAAGGATAAAAAATCATAAAAGAGAGGGAGGGGAGAAGATGAAAAAGGGGAAGAGAAAAGAAATTTTTTGGAAAGGAGGTAGATTGAGGAGAGAGAAGGAGTAAGAGAGAGGAGGGGAAGGAGGAGAGAGGGAGATAAATGAGAGAGAGGAGCAAGGGAGAGGAGGGAGGTAGAAAAGTAATTTGGTATTGAAGAATATCTAGAAAATCCATGTTTTCTAAAGGGTGATTAGAAATCAATACCCCATTTTTAAAATGCCTACCCATCCAATTTTTCCAAAAATAGTCATCAATAAAATACAATCAACAATTTAAGTCATTTAAACATTAGTCAACTAATTGTCAAAGTATAGCTGAGGGACAATTTAAAACCATTCCTCAAATTTAAGAGGTTAAAAATGTTCATTTTTAAATTTCAAGAACTAAATAGATCTGAATCCAAATTTCAAGGATAAAAAGTGTTCATTTTGAAACTTCAGGAATTAAATAAATATTTACTTCAAACCTAAAGGACCAAAAATGTATTTTTCTCATCATTTTGTTATTTTCTAATTAAGTTATTATGTGCAAGTGAATCAATACAAATTGAAACCAATCTAAAATTTACAAATACAAGTCTAGAGAGAGGAAAAGATAGGGGGGAGGGAAAACAATCGGGGAAGAGAGAGAAAGAGGAAAAGAAGAGAGATAATATAAGGCAAGTTTAACTTCGGCGATCTTTTAGAACTATTTTCTAAAACCAAACTCTCGCTTTTTAAAATTTAGGGACAACCTATCCAAATTCAATGACCAAAAATGTATTTTATCCAAACAATAATGTAATTTAGTCAAATATATTTAATTAGAGGGTCCTAAGTTTAATTTCGAAAAATAAATCCAATCATGGTCAAATGTTATTAAATATAAGATTTTTTTTTTTGTGGATGAGTCGAAGAATGGACCAAGGGGATCCGAGGGAAAGAGAAAATAAAATCTGAAAAAAAAAAACTAAAATTATTAAATATATAATGCCACTGTTTTAACTCTTTCTTTACCCCTAAAAAAAACTAAATTCTTTTTCTTTACTAAACTTATTATATTTTGGTGAGGGTAGATAATTTTATTCATTATATTCTGATTTTGTGTTAGCATTTATTGGATGATTGTTCAAAATATTGTAGGATTTGAAAGTTAAATGGATTTTGACCGTTGTTATTTAGTGAAATTTTATGAATTCAAAATAAGTGATATATTTAATTAATTTAAAGTACGAGAACGATCGATTGTTAGAACACCATGCTGAATAGATCATGCACGAATATAGCTCATATTAGGATTGCATACTCGAAGGTGCAGGTCCTAATTATATTTTGTTCTGGATTAGAAAAAATGAAAGACATAACAAATAATGAAAGAAAAGATGTAATTTGAGACATTGCAATATGTTGAACAAATCGTCACGGCATTGCCATGCAGGGAAGATAACCACAAACCAAGGTACTAGCGATGTGCCTTGGATTTCTGAGATTACCACCAACTAAAATACTGGCGATATGTCTTGGATTCCTGAGATGATTACCAACCAAGGTACTAACGACGTGCCTTGGATTCCTGAGATGAGCACCAACCAATATACTAGTGATATGTCTTGGATTCATGAGATGACCTCCAACTAAGGTACTAGCAATGTGCCTTCGATTCTTGAAATAACAGCCACCAACCAAGATACTAGTGATGTCCTTTGGGTGCCTGAGACGGCCACTCATGAGGGCATGAGTGGTGTGTTTTTCTTGCCTAAGATGGCCACGTATGAGGACATGAGTGATGTGTTTGACTTGCCTGCTATGCCAATTGCTCATGATACTAGTGATATGCCTTACATGCCTACGGATACCACCAACAACGGTACTAGTAGCTTGTCTTACTTGCCTGAGATAACTACCAATGAGGGTACTAGCGACATGTCTTACTTACTTGATATGACCTCCAATGAGGGTGTTGGTGATGTGTCTGCTATAACCACCAACCAAGGAGCTAATAACATGTGTGAGAAAATTGCTGATAAAGAAACTATTCTCGAGAAATGGAAAACTCATTTAAATATCGATAGCTTAGATGATTTAGTTGATTTTTAGTAGCTATTTTGTAGATATAGATTGATGAAGGTGTTAAGGATTTGCCAACTTAGTTGGGATATTCGATTGCACCTACTTGCTCCTATAACCAATTTTCTACTTTTATTTTCTACATATCTAGTCATGTTATTTACGGTAGTCGATGAATATTAAATGAAATTATTCTTATGATAGTGTCATATTTTGTTGAAATCGTGAAACCCTTTTTTTTATATAGTTTTTAAATTTGAAAAGAAAAACTTGAAAATCCACACTTTTACAGCATTTTCGCAACAAAGATAGGTCGGTCGGAATAGATCTTAATTTCAGTGAACAAAATATAGACAGATAATATTATACTTTAAAGCATTTTAAATCCAATAAAATATAGTTGTTTAAATATATTCATACATTCTATAGACGTCTAAAATTCTTGAAAACAAACAGGCCATGGGGTTATTTTTGAAATCTCAAGAACTAAAGTAAAAAGAAAAAAAAAAAGCAATCGCCCAAAATACTTTTTTTCAATCGTGAAGCATATTTGTAAACTTAGAAAGGCAAGATAGAAAGAGGGGTTGGTGTGAGAATGGCATTGCATCAGCCTCACCCACCCAACGCTGAATAGGAAAACAAACAAAAAATCGAACAATGTTAGATTTCATCGTCTCACCAACCCCACTTCCCACTGCCCTTCAAAACCCAAAACCGGAGCGGCCCATTTGTTGCAAAACCAGAAAGAATTGCCTTCCAGCTTCAGAGCTTTTGAACGCAGATCACAAGCAGTGGCAATGGGCGGTGGCGGGGGCACGGTATACACTTTGGCTGAGGTTGCCTCCCACGACAGTCGCAACGACTGCTGGCTGATCATTGAGAACAAGGTATTTGATAATTTGCCTCTGAGACTAAATGTGGGTCGAAATTCTTTACATGGGTTTTCTTTTCTGTTTGATGGGTTTCTGGTTTTTGGTCTTGTTTGGATGCTCTTATTATATTATGGAAACGGTTGTGTTTCAGTGGGTGTATGTGATTTGACTGATTGAGTTTCATGGATGGGATGATTGTTCTGTGTTCTGTTTGAACCTGAATTGAGCTTATGGTTTCTGGTCTCTGGTCTTGTTTGGATGCTCCTGGCTTTTATGTTGTGGAAATAGGAGATTAATGAGGAAATCCAAGAGTAAATAGGTCAATATGATAAACTTAAAGTTTTTAATTTCGAAGGTGGGTCATTTTTCTATTCCACTCTCAGCCTTGAAGATGTGTCGTCCTAATGATATCTACTGCAAATTGAATCTCTGCTTTCTCTATCTTCCTGCCTTGAACTCTTCTTTTAATAGATCTTGTAATTCATTCTTACTATTCGAGGGAGTAATTTGATTTGTTGTTTGTTTTACAAAGCTTCATTGTTATCTGCTCGTTTGATGTTGGCTTTATTGATGTATCTTTGACGTGAATAAAATTCGGATGAAATATTAGTTCATACTTCATACTGTATGTAATATGCATACTCAAAAATTCAAGTGTTCACTTTGATTGATCAGGAGTTTGAGAATTCCATTTCAGTTCTCTCTTTTACTTTTGCTGCATATTTTTTGTGGGATAATGATGGAGCACTATGAATGATATTTTAGCTCCACAAAAGACGTCCTTTATGTTCCTGATTCAGTTTTGCTAGTATCATTTGCTTTTTGTCAATCCAACAGGTCTATGATGTAACAAAATTCCTAGAAGACCATCCTGGTGGTGATGAAGTCTTGTTGTCAGCCATCGGTAGGGAAACGATGATCATTTCTCAAAGAAATTTGCTTTTAATTAGATCTGTTAAATGAATGGATCATAATGTTTGAGATACTGATGGACAATGGCAGTTCTTCACATGATATATTATCTCTACAGGTAAGGATGCAACAAATGATTTTGACGATGTTGGGCACAGTAGCGCTGCTAGAGCAATGATGGATGAGTTTTACGTAGGTGATATCGATAGCTCGACTATTCCCGCAAAAAGAAAGTACACTCCTCCAAAGCAGCCCCTATACAACCAAGACAAGACACCAGAATTCATTATCAAGGTCCTCCAGTTTCTAGCTCCCATGGTAATCTTGGGTTTGGCTTTTGGCGTCCACCTTTATACCAAAACGACTTAAACATTGAAACTGTATCTCCTTTTTCGAAACATTGGTACAATACGTTCCAACGAGCGTACTTTGTTTGAAACTTGTAATATGATGACATTGAAGAATGTTTCAACTTCCTCTGTTACCATCTTCTGCTCGTCTTTCTGTGTCAAAGACTGGAACTTATTTTATTTTGTTTACTGTTTGCTTCCGAAGGTTTCTTGAGAGAGATACCATTTCTCATATTGTTCTTATCTGTTACATTTTCATTAATGCTCTGACAAGAAAAGGAAATGAAATCATATTTAGTTTGTAAGATTATGTTGTTTTTGTTTTGTCTTTCTTTTATTTTATGGATCATTGAGATGATTTAATCAAAAAGAGAAATCTATTGATAGGCTCCTCTTCTAGTTACGAAACTGTCGAACATTCATACCAATAAGAAGCAGTTTAAAGAATGGCATTCTGAATATTCAAGGAAAAACTGATCTGTAGAATTCAATACTACTGAGATTTACTTGCCAAAATCATCATCAATATAGAAGAGTTCTTCGAAATGCTATTCATTTACAAATTACAAGTAGACTCGACCATTCTTTAAAGAGAGGAGAAAGGGAAAAGAATTTGCATTTGCTTGACAAAGAAAAGATAACTCTGCAGTGCACTGTGTGATGTAAACTCTAACTATTCTGCACTTGTACATGTTCTTTCAATCACTTTAGAATCCGTCCTCTGTGAATGTTTTGATGGAGAACTCGAACCCCTCGAAGAGCTATGCCCAAAGAAGCTCATTTTACTAAATTTCCTTGAGAAAGAACTCATAAGTTTACGAGAACTCGACTTCTGCATGTCCCTCCTCATACAAACATGTTCTTTTTCAAGATCATTCAACCTCATCCGTAGTCGGGCCAGTTCAAGTTTAAGTTCACGGTTCTCTCGTCTCAGCGATGCATAATTGTCTCGTGGAGACATTGCTGCACTCAACGCACCACTGCTGATCCGCCATGATTGGTGTGAGGGTTTGTAGTCCTCGTCACCGCAAGAATTCGACAATGCATTGCGGAGCCTTAGTTGCTCGAAATATAGGACTTGAACCATGCATTGGAGGGGAAGCCGTTCGTTTTGAGCAGCATGAGCACCAGCCTCTTGTGAGAGCTTTTGGAAATCAAGTAGTTTGCAGAGCTTCTTTTTGTCTAAATCTGATAGCCCCTGATGAGCCTGTGATGAAGCAACAATAAACCATTCAGTTAAAATTACAACATCAAAAGACACTTACGTGGATAACTGAAACAATGAAGAAATGAAGAATGATCAGTTTAAGAGGTTCAGCTATGATCTCCTACGTCGATTGTGAAGGATCACTGGATATCTATAGTACCAAGAAGAAGGAACGGCGATGGTCACTTCAATGGAAATGGAGAGAATAACTAACTACAGAATTATAGAACTACTTCTTTGAACCAAATAAACATGGCAAAACTTTCACAAATAAACATGGCATCAACTGAGGGGGAAACTATTTGCCTTCAAGTTGATCTTCTGAGAGTAACCTTTTATTTTATATTGTTATCACTCACTTCAAATTTGGTTTTAAGAAAAGAAAATGATAGTGACAAAGGTGGGCATACATACTTTAAGATAGATGTCGATGGCTCGATATAGTCCATCATGGATGGTGCGTGCATGTGAAGGTACAGAATCTGCAATGACGACGAACTTTGAAAGCTTGAGGTTTGCATCAGGGGCAATTTCAGCAAGGTAGTTATCCACTAATTTGGAAACTTTAAACAATGCACTTTGAGATGGCGAATGAGGACTATCTGATTCGAAAACAGAGGCGTCTTCCATATCTTCCTCGCTATCATCTTGTTGAGAGAAGTTAACCAAAATCCTGTGAACTGTGTCAACGTCAAACAAAGTATCAGCTGAATGCTTGAAGGATGGAATCAGAAGGTCATCAAGAGTAGCAATATCCAACTGGGATCCTATCCTTCTCTCAAGGTCAAGTCTGCAAGCAACAGTGCAATCAAGCATCACAGCACTTCTCAGAAGCCCGAAAAGAAAATTGATCGGAACAGCCAATTTTTCAACTGGAAAAAGGCTCACTATTGTCTCAACAATAAGTTTTTCCTGCCCATTCGAACCCGAAACAAAATCAGATTTTGTCTGGCCAGATGGGTTCCATAAGCTGGATTTCTTTGTTAGCTCCCTCTCAGCATAATTCACCAAGGATGCACCGATGCTCTCGGGACGAACCCCTCGACACTTCATGGCTGTAATGACTCTTTCATACAAGTCAACACGAAGAACAGAGATATCTTCAATCCACCAGTCACTATCACACTTGGCCTGTTTACTCATGTGAAGTCTCCCTGAACTACTATACTCCAAGCGCGAGAAGCTTGAAGCAATTTGCTCTGAACAAGCCTTTGATGCTATTGCATCGATGCAACGGCTAACTACTTTCAGCTCATCGGCAAGAGGGAGTAAATTCTCACATTGCTGCAACACTTCAACACACATTTCAAGATTCTTGGAGACGATGCTCTCGAGATATTCTTCGGCTCGCGAGCCAAGATTATCCTTTGAGAACTCCTCGGTCATTTCAAGATAATCTGATACACAACATAGCTGCGCAACATTTCCTGGAGTTATTTCGAAGTTTATCCCATAACAAAATTTGGCAGCCAGCTCAAAAGATTCAGGACCTCCCGGAAGATTGAGAAGCTCCACCCTAGAGATGTCAGAATCTCTATATTCTGCAACTAACCTTCGAATCCGCCCACTTCGAGAGACAAGAGGGAACTGCATTTAGCAGTTGGGTTAAACCAGGCATTCAATAGCAACTATAAGTTTGAGCTAGCAGAAGCAGAACATATGTTCAGGAAATAGTCTAAAACTGTAATGGATTTATCTCTGTACACACGAATGCTTTATCTCTACAAATTTAATCTGCACTGAATTTTGCAGGATGAAAATGCATTGTGTAGGTATTATTCAGGAAAATAAAAATGTTAACTAAATAATTCAAGTTGTTACTTTATGCAGGGAGAATGTCACTCCAGTCACTTCTATCGTAATATCGCTTGGAACGTCTCGAAAAATCCTGCATGATTGCATGATTCAATAGTCAATTATTCAGAAGAAATGTTTGTATTCGCTGAGAGAATGATACGAATGGTAATCATAATAAATTTGCACCCAGGTGGACCAATTATTACTAAGTGAAACTAAAATTGGCCTATAAGACTACACGAAACATTCTAAATCAATGCTTCAGACATATCAAGAATTTCACATCAAGGTGTTAAGTTTAGACTGCAACTTGAAAAAATGTATCAAGAAGAAGACCATTATATATATATATATAGAGAGAGAGAGAGAGAGAGAGATCTAACTCTTTCATTCGACATAAATGGATTTGGTGTAATACTTCAAAATATAATGAGCTCGACTATGCCATTTTTAGAATTCACGTAGATCCCATTAATATGCAGCTCACCACAGAGGAAAGAAAAGTAGAGAACATAGAATAGCCAAAATAAATTCAGAATTTTAATATAGCAAACATGAAACCAAAGACCAACTCTCGAGTTGACAATCAAAACAGCATATAGATCATATAGAGACACTTGGAAGCCAGAGCCAAACCAGACACCGATTGATATAACATAGACAAATTCCAAACAGGAAAGTACTTGCTTGCATAAAAAACTCCAACTTGGGTGAAAATACACTCGACAACATTGACTCATCAGAACATTCTAAACTTTAGGGAAAATTAGAATAAACAATTTGGAGCAAACAAAAACACCCATAACAAATTAGCAGTGCTGGAATGTCAGAAAGTACAAAAGAACAGTAACCATATGGCAGCATTACACCATAGCTTGTGAGATAAAACCAGCGACCCAAGTTAACAAGTACACACAACTGCACAAAGGCTAAACTAAACAGCTGCATACACAATGACAAAATAAAGATATGTTCAGAAATTTGCATGTACTCTAGAGCTGACTAATGACCACACAGGCAAAACGATCAAAGAAAACAAACAAACAAACCATTCGTTGCAGTGGTGGCGCACAGACTTGGCCAGAGATAACTGTTGCTGGAGCTGCTGCATGTCGCTTCGGTCCATTCAGAGGAAGGGAACCGAGGGAGAGCAAAGTGGAAGGTCAGTAGGGAGAAAAAAACGATGGTGGGGTTGAGGAAGCAAATGGTGGAAAGAGACAGAGACAGAGGCCCAGATGGGGAAAGCTGATGTAGGTGAAGTTCTTTGGCCATTTTTGTCAAACAGGTGGTGTGCAGGGCAAAAATCACAAGATTGCAATTCTCCAAAGGCAATGGGGCCTTATTGGTGGTGGGTCATGCTTTTGATTAACACGCCACAAATTGTTTGCAACCCCATCAAACATCATCACCTCACTAGATTCACTAATTTTGTGCCTTCTTTTGGAGGTTTCTTCTTTTCTTTTTCCTGGGTGATGATTTCTGCTCTGTTTGAGCAGGCAAACGAGCGCGATAAAGGGGGAAAAAGGATTCAATCTTTGAACGGAAAAGTCAAAGTCGAATTCGAAACTGTTCAATCAAAGAAAGAAAGAAAAGAAGAAAGCGGGAAAAAGGTCGTTGTTTCGTTTGACAAATTATGATCAAGTTTTTTCAACTCTACTCCTTCAGCCTTTAACTGTAAAAGTTGAAAATTTTCTCTTTTCTTTTTGTCCATCAAGAATTCAAAATATCACTAATGCCCTCACACTTTTACTTTTTACCACACACCACCCAAAACCGGGCCAAATTTTAAAAACCCATTTTTTGGGAAATTTAAAAAAATAATAATAATAATAATTTCTACCGATTTTGGAAAGGGAAATTCCACCAAGGTCTCGACCCAGGAGCGCTTTGATTTGATAGTTAAAACTATTATTTTATATATATTTTTAGAACAAATTAAAATTAAAATTAAAATTATTATGATTATGGTTTTGCTTGTTAATTATATATTATAATTATTGATTAATTGGTAACATCGATTTGACAGTTGACAATTAGCACTAATTAATGAAATTTAAGATCAGTTTAAATTTTCTTGAAAAAGGAAAAAATAGATTATTATTTAGTTTCTTTTATAAGTTAGATATAGATTCAATCATTACTAAACAGAAAGTTTGTTTCTTTTGATAAGTTAATTTTTATCCTTAAATAGTTAGACGTATTTTTCTCGTTTTCACTTTTTTTTATTCGTGGTATAATATTTTAAAATAAATAATAATTAAAGTATGTAATTAGGAAATAAAACCAACTCATTTCCAACCTAAACATTATAAAATTGTATCGGGTGTGATATATAAACCAATCGAAAATAGTTTTAAAGAGGAAATAACAAAACCAAGGAATACATAAATAGAAATAGAACTTTTAGGTTTAATTTTTTAAAACGGTAAACAATAATAAAAGAAAATAGCTATCAAATGGGACTTTAGTTAATTTTTCCGACAATCCTTAAAACATGGACGATGAAGGAATATATATATTCAACAATTAATTGGAGGTCTAATCTTCGATTTTGCGTCAAGAAAGTTCAAAAAATGATTTTAAATTCTATGATTTGAAATCCAAGTAATGATTTAAAATTCTTTTATCTTGTTTTGGAACAAAAATAATTTGAAATGGTGATTAAATTTCTTTATTTGGATGTGGGGAAAAAAGAAAATAAAAAAGATTTAGGCTTTTGATCTTAATTTATTTACTTAAAATTAAAATACCACAGAATTAAACAATTAATTTGCCTTAAGATTTTAAATCATTCTCTTTTATGTAATAACAAATAATAGAATTCACTTAAAAATTCATTAAGATTTCAAATCAGTCAAAATTCGGACCAATCAGATCATAAACTATTTCGAGCCAAAAGAAATGGGAGTGGGGGACAAAATAACAAAACTTATATAAGATGCCAAGATGAAAAAGTAGCAAAAAAGATTAAAAAAAAAAGTAGAGATTATTTTCCTTTGGGCACTTAGCCAAATAATAATAATCATATCTTCGACATAAAGCAAACAAACAAAAGGGTCAAAAAGGAGGGGATGAAAATTTGGAGAATTGTTTGAGAATATTTTAAGGTACATAATAAGCTCATCCATGGGATAATAATGTAATACTTTATTCCATTTACTAACTTCAATATTAGTTTTGTACTCAAAGGAAAAAAGAAACATCAATATTAGTTAAGTTATTAATGTTTTTTAAGATAATAAACGTAAGAGTCGAGGTAAAACCGCCAAACCGAACATAGCTCAAGTGGTTAACAGCATCTAATGAAAATAATAAGTATCTTATTCACTGAATTATACTTAAATTCTATTAAATATTATTCCACTGGAAAAATATTTTAAGAGAGTTTTTTCTTTTCAATTGTGATGAGTGTTCTTCTTGCTCACGATGGAAACCAAATCGAAAGATATGTGTGGTTCAATTTATTTTTCTCATAATTTTTGTAGAAAATATGGATAAAAAGGGAAATTAGGGATAGAAATGAAAACGACAATATAATTATTAAAAAGCATATAGTATATGATTGCCCACACCACCCCCTAAGTGGGGTCACTTTAGGGATCATTATTTTTTGGACCCATACCCTTATAATTGCATTTTGTGACCCATAATTTGATATGATATCTCTTCCACCACCATATATTATATCTCTTTCCCCCGCATGAAAACAAAAAAAACTTTGTGATCAAGACAAAGTCTTTTTAATACATATTTGACATGGCATGGTATATATATATATATATATATATATATATATACACACATAAAATTAAGTGTATGAACATGGATTTTTCAAGGAAAAAAAAAAGTGTATGAACATCAATGCATGGGAAAAAAAATTTTGATTTCTTTAGTTTAACGATACATGGGGATGAAAATTCGAATATTATGATTTTAATATCAATAATATAAGTGTTAACTTATTTATTTTTCTTTTTTTGAGTTTAATAACATGTGAGGATGTGAATTTAAACCTCCAACTTTTTGATCGATGATATATGTTTTAATCAGTTGAGTCATGCTCAAATTATGGAAGGAATTTGAATCCTTGCCGCTTCAAAACACTAATAAAATATTATGTGAATTTTATGGGCATGTGTTGTCTTGATTGTATTATTTTTTTAATTTTTATTTTCAAATTTTAAAACTAAGATGTGTTGTGTCACAAGTCAAAGTTTGCTGTCCTTATTTTTGTCTCTTGTGCTATGATTTTGAAAATATGGATATTCTAATTCAATGCATGCATCTAAAAAGGGTTTTGTTTCTAAGTTTATTTTATGAAATAATTAATAAGATGGAGGATCTCAAATTTGGTACTTTTCAAAATATTTGATTGAAAGTGAAACATTTGGCTACCTATTAAATCTTCACCCAATATTATACCTTTAATTGTTCATGTATGTAAGCTTAAACAATTTAAATAAATTAAATTAAATTAAAAAAAAAAGTTCTCTTTATTTGTCCCCTTTTATTGCCATCTGTATCATGAACTTAAAAGGTAAGTTGTTTAAGACTTGTTTTGGTATAAAATGTTGTTGATTATCTTGTTATTTCTTTTTTTTCCTTTTAGAAATAAAAACAAAATTGCATTATTTGATAATCACATTGAGTTTTTTAATTTTTTGAAATTAGAGATGAAAATTTCTTGGGGAGTACATACTTGTTTTTATGAAAATTTAAAAGACGTGTAAAAATATACAAATTTTAGTACTATATTTTGAAACTTCTCTGAGAAGATCGTTATGTCTCTGTCCTATTGAGATAGGAATTGGAAGTGAGATGAAAGAGGTACGATCCATGAATATTTGATACGTAAATTCCATAAAAAAAAGTGTATTTAATTTCTAATTAATTTTTTCTACTTCGTCTACCACTGCTTGTGCGGGTGCTTCATTCTAAGGCATAACTCTCCCCCACCAATGCATTTTTACAGCCTACAGCTTCGACAAATCGCTTAGTCTCGTTCATCTTCGACACAAGAGCGCTCGGTCGATCAGCTATTATGTACTCTTCCAAGGATAGATGTTTATAAGCAAACCTCCTGGCTATCTCTACACTTCTACTTCATTTATCATTGAGCAGTCATTTCGGGATCTTAGCTGGTGATCTAGTGCGGCACAAAGCTGCTGACGCTGAGTCAGCTCCTATGCTGCTAGCTATGCACTGTTCACGCAAGTGGAAACTTATCCAACAATTTACTTGAAATGCATTTTGATAACATCCTTTTTCAATCGGGTATGACTTTGACTATTCCTCAAGTTCGCTAATTAGTAAATCATAGTTCACCAATAAGATTCATGCACATTCAAAAAAAAAACAAAACAAAAAAACAAAAAAAGGAAAGAAAATAAGTTGGAAATTTTAAAGTTCATGTATGATGGAAATAGAGTTGTGATTTGATACATGGAGAGAACACATTGCATCATGAACAAGAGATAAGCTTGCAACTTGGACACCAATAATTCCACAAATATATATATATATATAACATTAGTTTTAATTTTTTTTTTTTTAAAAAAAAAAGGGAATGCATTTTTAGAGAAGAAATTGTGAAAGAGAAAGTGAGTCAGCATCATTTGGTCTATTGCATGCGAAACTCATAAGTCATAATCCAAATATTTGATGAGACACATTAAAAGCATCCAACGTTTACTCAATCCTTTTCATGAGAGTTTTTTTTTTCTCTTTTTAATCAATCAAAATAACATTAGAGTTTTTAATTTTGGACCGGATCTCCTTCTACTCACACACTCTAATAAGTTTTAAGAGTAAATATGAAGTCAAAACGAACATAACTCAACGGTAATTGACATATATCTCCGACCATGAGGTTGTGAGTTCGATTCCTCACTTCCACATGTTGTATTAAAAAAATAATAATAAATATAAATATTGGATCGCCAAATGTAAAATGACTACATTTTTCAAAGAAAAAAAAATCTAATTCAATTTTTCTTTTACCTGAGATCAATTGTTTGACCTTTTTCTAAATAAAGTTATGATTTTTAATTTAATTTTGTTAGTTTTCATTTCTTCTGAAGCATTATTGAAAATTTGATCAAAATTTAAAAACAAGGTTTTTTTTCTCAAATTAAAAACACTTGAAATTTTAACATCTATTTTAAAAAAAAAAAAGAAGTAAAAGATTTAAAGCTTATTTTCGTTTGTAGCATTGAAACTTAACTAAGATTTTCCAAAGGCTCCATGTGGAATGTCCCTAATAGAACTCAGGAAGCCCAGGGGGCCTGAGTGAGTATTGAACTGAAAACTTGCAGCTGAGTGACAGATGAAGAAAATATACATACATATATATCATCTATCCGACCATAACTTCTGTATCGAACCGAGAATAGCTCGTATTTTACTAGAATATCAAACAGAGACTCGTAATCAAAACAACTTATTACTAGAATATACTCATAATCAAAACAACTCATATTTCCTTCGAGTCGAAATGCATGTAGCAACTTGAGGCTGGATCCCGTTCGATAACGTCTCTCTTCAGCATTCCAAGACTAAAAACGAAGTTGTTATTAGACGAGCTTATTATGTTTAATCTTAGCAGATTAGCAGTTATTATTTCAATAATATTCCCTGTGCATGCAAAATTTTAACTACTTGCATCCCTGAACCACATTGGAGGGAGAAGGATGGCCTTTAATACCTTCTAATCCTGTGATGCTGACGAACTTGTATTACTATTACCATATCTGTTCATCACTCTCCTAGCTGCAAGTGTAGCAGCTTCTCTTGCACGGAACTTCCCGCTCACCACGATTGATGCAAATTCACGGCTGATAGTGTCTCGTATCACGGCTCGAGCATCCCTGAGCAGGGTTTCATCAACTGTCTTCCCAGCCAACTTCTGCTGCCCAGCCTCTGCATCAGGCTCTACAGCCAGAGATGTCGAATTCAGCCCAACACCATCGCCGCCTAATTCTCCAACATTAGAATCCAAGAATGGTATAGAAGCTGAACTTGAAGTAGGTTGTCTACTGCTAACCTCTGGAATTTTAGGAACTGCACCAGATTTCAAAGTTGTTTCGAGGTTCTGAATCATTGGCACTGTCAATGCAATGTTTGGTACCATGAATAAAAAATAGATGTACTAACCGAAAACGAAATAGAATATATGATTGTAATCTTTATCCCGGCTTACACATGAGTCTGCCAATGGGACTGTTGGAAACTTCATTGGGAAGCTGCAGAATATAATCTGGGATGGTTGAGCCAACTAAAAACTGAGCAACCTCATTACTAAAGTTGTTGCAATTGTGACCCAGCAAACTGTAAGTTTCAGCTGTATAACGAGGGCTGATTTCGATCAAATACGCTTCGAAGACATCTTCCGGAACATGTGTGAAACCCAACTCCATGACACAGATTGGCGTTCCAAATGGTGTATTTCCCGAAAGAGTTTGTTGTATTCCAGCACCATAGTAGTATTCGTTGCCATACACTACAATGCCAGTGTGCCTGAAATATATTGGGTATTTTGAGTAGAGTATATAAGCAAACGTAAACTAAAGTGGACAATATTTTACCAAAATATAATAGAGTTTTTTAATGGACGGTATGCTTTATATATATAGTTCGAGGAGAGGCTCAATGATCCTTTTGTTTAAAAGAGATGACTATGCAACCAAAAAATGATTAGCGTGGATAATCCCATAATGATTTTGTGGTTAAGCTCCATTATAGAAGAGGAATTAACATAAATAAGAGCTGACTCTTGATGTGGCAAAGAATTGCCAAAAAGACGACTATTTAAGGGGAGGTCTTTGAGGGGAGAATTATCAAGAGAGTGAATATAGCATAGACGTTTTTGATATAACTCAAAAGCAAATTCATATGTGCTAGAAGAGTCTTAAATCGTCAATCAACCCAAAAGCTTAAGTTTAAAATTTAAGCTAAATACAAACAGAACTCATTGTCCTAACACCGTCATTGTCCTAACACCGATTCAAGGCACAGAAGATAAGACTATACGATCAGATAATAACAGTAGCACAGTTTTTACCCCTAAACTAATCAAACTTCAAATTATATATGTAAAGTTTGTAAACAAGGCTAATGATCATCTAAACAGAATATGATACTATCATTATCTCTAAAAAGCTCAACCCTTACCATATGCCTTCCATGGGTTTCCCTAACAATGTCGCGGAGAACTGTCGAGCCAATCCGCGGCTGAGGTCATACAGATTCAACACAACCCTGTGAGACTCCTGCTTGTGTTGTGAAGTTGCATTGTAACCACACACAAAATAGATATCACTCATCCAAATTAAAGTGTGGAATGGCTGTTGAGTTATAGGCGACATGGAAAAAAATAATGTTTCAAAGTGAAACTAAAAGCATATCATACCTCATCCATTTTGCCCAACTAGAATCAAGAAGTTTTCAAGAGCCAAGGAGTCTATTCAAAAAGGCCCAAGTATAGAATCAGAATGAAACCCAAATTCGTTCATTGCGTAAAATAATCAAACACTTCATCTGCAACCCCTAGATAATCATCAAGCAGATCAGCCAGCAGGAAGAAAATGGCAAAAATCTCATACTCAGTTGCCATTGTTCAAAAACAGTTCACGGAAGGTGAAAACACACTTTCAAAAACCCAAATGCCAAATTCGGGTGTGCTTCAGTGAACTGAGAGCTTATATCGCAGTTAAAACTAAACATGAAACTATGAAAAGATAGAGAAATTGTAGAAATGGAATCCCAGAAGTAAAAAAACGAATAGATTTCAACAGATTGTGAAGAATAATGTTACCTATTGGGAGGGACAGAACAAAGTTGCGGGCAGGCTCGAACGATTCTTCCCTTGACGGTGGAAACTGGAAGGGATGAATAGACCGACATGGATTGTGATACGTGTTATGTTCTGAAGCAATTTCTGAATGGAAATCTGCTGCTCCTATTGCCCGCTGGATACGTTCCACTGAATACAGCAAATATGGGTTCGAATTTCGAACAGGTTCGTTATTTAGTCAATCAAATTTTCGTATGTCCATAAATTCGACCTGAATTAAATATATTTTTATAAATATTGTAAAATAATCAATAAAATACGAAAAGTATCAATAAAATATTATTAATATAAATATAAATAAATATTAATATTAATCATTATTATTTAAATATTTTTTATGAATATTTTATTTTTATAATCTTTCGATAAATATTATCGATATTATCAATATTTTTATAAAATTGAGATATTGACATTTCTATCTAACCTTTAAAACCTTACGTAACATTAATAATAAGAATTTCATTCTATTTAAACGTGATAAAATATTTGTATTTTTTTATGGTTTTTTTAGAAATATTGGTCAATATCGACATTTTAGTAATATTTCTATCTACATCTCCGACTTAAACATCTTTATCCGCTAACAATCCATTCGAGTTTTGTTGCTTAAGTTTTAATTTTGATCATTTTATTCAATTGCTTTAACATTATCAATTTTCTTTATAGGACACATTTTTCTTGCTCTCCTCCCAATTGTATTATAAATTTTCGTGGTATACTTTCATGTATTTATGAGTTGAACATCGATACAAGGTGTGAACTGATATTTTTATAGTATCGAAAAAAAATGCACAAATATAAAAAAAAATATACGAATAAGGACATATAATATTGACATTGAAAATTTTTATCTAATTTATAAATGGCAAAATACTTATTTGTCAATTTAAACTTTTTTTTTTCATTTTTTCAACTTTTATAATTTTTCTATAAATACCTATCGAGATCGATATATTGATATTTCCATGGCATTAAAGACGTCCCGACTTTAAACCTTTATCTATTTGCTTTTTATTAGCTTAAGTTTCAATTTCAATCCTTTCCTTCAATTGCTTAACATTGACTTTTAAACAAATTGTGTTACGTGGGACTAAATTAAAACCAAGAGACTAAAATAGCAGTGAACCATAAATACAATGTTGCTTTATTTTTAGCTTTGAATTTAAGTGTCAAATGTAAGATCCATATAAATATATTTTATTAGAAAAAATAATTATAACCTATAAGTTTATGAAAAGTATTTAAACAAATAGATAGTCCTTTAATATTTTTTTTAGGTTCAAATACTACTTTGATCAGCTTTCATTCATTTTAGTCACTGCAATTTCAAAATGTCTATGTTGATCCCTGTAATTTAAACGTTGGTTCACTTTAGTTTGAATATTTTCTAAATATTTGTTTTGATTCCTGTATTTTTAAAATTGATCATTTTGGTCCCTTAATTTTATTTTTAATCTCATTTTTTCTATCACAATTTCAACAGTACACTACAATAAATATATCTTTTGAAATGTAACCATGTTTAAAGTTATTTCTACTCTTGGTTGGAGATATGTGTCAATTACCGTTGAGATATGCTGACTTTTTTTGTTAAAAGTTAAAACATTTTGTTTTTCTATAAATCAAATATTTGAATCCTCATCCTGATTTGCAATACTATATTAAACAAAATTTTATGTTTTAAAAGATATAATTTAATGAAATTAAAATTTTGAAAATTTTAAGGTTAAACATACAAGATAGTTCCCATTATTTTAGTCCACTCTCACTTTTGTTATCCATCCTTTCAAATTCTCACTTTGATATTTCCACAGACAATTTGTTAAAATCGGTGACAAAAATTTGATAAAAATTAAATTATTACTTTATTAACATATTTAAATACATAAATAGAATCTAACCTGCACATAAGCAAAATTCAACTCTCAATTTAATAAAACTCATTTTTCTGGTAGAATGCCCACGTATCTAAATATGTAAATACATCAATAATTTAACGACACATTAGTTTTATGTTAACAATTCTTTTTTATATAAAAATCTGGTTAGCTTTATGAAATTCAATCATATCATACGTTTTAAGAAATTGATCTTCAACACTCTTCACTCATCTCATCTCTAATATTGTCACATCGACCCAACAAACTTAAGAAATTTTAATATATTGAAAATAAAATTAAAAATTTTTAAGAATTAAAGACCGAAGTGAGAAAGACCTCAAAAGATTAAAGCTGAACATGTTAATATTCCCATGTGTCTATAAATTCGACATCGACACAAACAGTAAATCGATATTTTCATAGTATTAGAAAAATCAACTAAATATAAAATATTTCACTAATATAGACATAATACTAATACTAATATTTTTAATTTCTTTACAAAATAGAGAAAGACTTATTCGTTGATTTAAATATTTTTTTACGATATTTTAAATTTTTATATGGACATTTAAAAAACATTGCTTATGAGGTATAGTCACCATTGACACATCGTTATGAGGTATAGTCACCATTGACACATCGATATTTATATCGACATGTTCAAATTTTCATGAGCTCGACTTCAACCTTAGGAGTAAATCGACATTTCCATTATAATACCAAAAAAACAAAATGACACTAATATATACATAATATTAATATTTATTTGTTATTTTAAATATTTTTTACAATTTTTTTTTTATTTCTCTATAGAAATATATATGAAATTGAGACCTGACACATTTAGATTTAAAACTTTGTGTATAGTCAGATAAGTAAATTGAATTTTTTTTTTCAAAAAATATATATATACATGACCGTTCCCCCAATTCCGAACCCTAACTTTTCCCCATTGCTTCTCCCGCGCTCTCTCTCTCTACATTTCTACCAACTTCTCTCTCTCTCTCTCTTCTTCCATTTGCAGGTTCGCGCCCTCTCTCTTCTCTCTGAATCCTCTGTTTTTCTGTTCATTCTGAACGGAAGAGAACCCAAAAACCCTATTCATCCTCACAGAGATGGGAAAGTACATGAAGAAATCGAAGCTTACAGGTGACATTGCAGTCATGGAAGTGTCGCCACAGTCCTCTCCTGGAGTCCGTACAAGAGCTGCTAAAACCCTTGCCCTACAGCGCCTCAACAAACCCTCCTCTCAATCCGCCGCTTCTTTGAGCCTTAAAGCGGCGTCCTCTTCTTCCTATTTGCAGCTGCGCAGCCGCCGCCTTGAAAAGCCGCCGATACTCAGGCACCTCCACTCCGGCGAGTGCTTCAGCTTGACTAATTCTCGGTTGGTGCAGGATTCCGCAAACTCGGCGTCGTTGGGCGTTGGGGAGGAATCGGAGAAGAGGATTTTTGGTGTGGAAACAGAGAATGGAAGTGTTGCGGATGTCAAGAACCTTCTGGAATTTGGAGTAGGAAATGGGTATGGTTTCTTTCGAGAACGTTTCTGAAATTGTTATTATTTTTAATTTAATTTTAGCATGAGATGCCTCAAAATGGTTATGTTTTCTTCTTTTTTGATTGGTTGCCATTGTACTACCTACAAATGTCGATGGCGATGTCGATTTTGGTTGCTGCAGATGTCGATCTTTCGTTCACTAGTTAACAATGTCTGTTTAGTTCATGGGACTTCACTGATTTTACCCTTTTTTTTAATTATTTTTATTTTTATGTCTTCGGAAGTTCATTTGCTCGTATGGTTATTGTATTAGTTCCTGAAAAAATGGATGGTTCTCTCTGTGACCATGTGTTATCGTTTGACTATTTCTATGCTCGTGCTACTTCTTTTCCTTTTATGTGGCTTCACTTTCCATTGCATATCTTGTCATTCAATTATTTCTATATGTGGCTGTTGTGTATCTTTCATGAAAGGCTAGTTATGCTTGTAAGATGTGACTTTAAGAGTGCTTCTTTGGTATATGCAGTAGATATGTATTTGTTTTATGTCTGGCCCAACTTTCTTCCCTTGAGCTTTGAAACGTTGCAGGTTTTTTTTCTCTCCAATATATGACAAGTTCTCTTAATTCTGCTTGGCTACCAAGAATTTGTTATGAACAACTTTTTTAACCTTCTTGCTGACTTAATAGTTTAATTTTCTGGTTGCTACCTCAACTTCTGGCCTAAAACTCAAAGAGACCCAATGAAGTTCTACTTGCATTAATGTCATGCGGCTATTTTTTTTGCAATAAATTTTAAGAATTAAATAAAGTTGGTAGTTGCCTATGGGAATACTGACTGCAATAGTTTTTGCCTTTTCTGCAATTTCCATCATATGTCGTCTTTTTTGGGGCTGGGAATATTTTGATTTTTGAAACGTGATGACAAGAAGTTATAATTTATAAATCTATTTAATGCCATATTTTATACTAGCAGCCAAATTAGAGATTGTCCCATTAGACCTGGTATATTCCATCTATGAGATTCGATGCCATGCAGTGTGTTTTGCAAGTTGGTTTTGCTTTAGATTTAGTATATACTATCTGAAACAAAGAAAATTGAGTTCACCTAATGTACTCATTTAGGAACAGCCTCATTGGCAATTTATTCGTGTTAATTAATCAGAAAATGATTTTTTGAACAACTTGGTACCTCGGGTATTTTAGTTCTCTTGTACAGGTACAAAATGTTCACTTGATTAAATGATTTGAGTGTTGGTGTGTAGGAAAACTGCAGAAAAAATACCCAGCAGCTTTGTTAGGGAATTGAGCACCATCGAAACAAGTCTTTCAACGAGGAAGGCGGAGATGGATTCACGTACAATGGACTCAAGAGTGGAGATGGAGTTGCTTAGAAATATAAATATCCCTACCTCCAAGGATATAGAGGAGTTCTTTGCACACGAAGAGCTATGGCATCAAAGAACATTTATTCAGAAGTAGGTGACTTGACGTAATTATGTCATGTGTACTTAGATTAGAAAATAATTATCAAGTTTATGGTTATTTATTTTCGCTAGAGCTAACTATATCAACTATAGCAGTGGGTGAGCTAAAGGTAAACTGAACATGTTGATTGTCATTTTTTGTGTAGGACATGCCTTTCCATCATACCAATCACCTCACCTTACGTTACCTGTGTGCTCGTTCTTGCAGGTATAACTTCGACTTTGCGAATGATACGCCTCTTCAAGGACGATATGAATGGCTGCAAGTGGGTCCTTAAATAGCTAAGATCTCGAATGCCTCTGTATCAAGCTCATTTGGGGATTATAGGATGGGTTGAAGACGGGCAATGAGCTGATTTGGGACATCTCATACTAACCAGCTATTAATCCATCTTGTGTAGTTAGAGCAACATTTGGAAAATTGGTAGTCTTCACTAACGCACTGCATGTATCACTGTAATGTGTAATATTTTCCCTCAACTGTTGCTGTTGTCTATAGTGTTGTCTGGCGAGTTTGTCTTGGAAATTAGTAATAAAAATGAAGTTACTTCAAAGCCTATGAAACCAAGACAGGATTTTTCTGGGTTTCAAATTCTTGATTATATATAATGGTTCTGCACTTAAATCTAATTCATTTCATTTGTAAGTACTGGTCAGGAGTTTGCTGTGGAATCAGTTGGCTAAAATTTAGCTATTCTTCAGAAGAATGGAGACGAGGGTCATCAAATTTGTCGGCATGCACTCACTTCGATGCAATACTTACCTTTCACGTGGGTCACTATACGGCTCTGCATTTTACTGTTAGTACAATTCTGTTCATTGCAGACATGAAAGAATTGTCATTTTCCTTTGCATTTTAATTGCTCCCAGTCCCCGAATAACAGATGAACAGATTGTGAATAAGCATTAATGAAACATTGGAATCATGCAAACTTAATCATATTCTTGGGGAAGTATAAATTTGCAGCTGTGTAATTTCTATTATAACTTTCGTCAAGAAATGTGCAGTCCAGTACAATGTCTCAGCATTTTAGAGTTGATGGCACTTGAACGTCAACACATCCTATGCCAATAATTTGCATTTAGCTCTCGTTTAACTTCCGTAGGTGGGACCTTGAGCAAGAGTCCAATTTTTCTAGAGTGATATTTTCTGGTCTGATTCAAAAGCATCAATCTATATACAATATTTTCATCAGCTTGCAAATCTGTTCATGGTGCGTGGGCGAAAATTCAATTTCCAGAACTGTCAAACTAGTTGAAACTGAGATGCCAAAATGCATGCTTTGGTTTCTATGGAGTTGAGGGACCTACAGAAGTTAAATGTGATGCGGCATTCGTCTCTGCCATTTCAACTTCATATGTAGTGCTGTTGGAAGATTCCTCATTACCTACAGCCATCCTCCTGAGTTTATCAAGTTGAATTGCACGCAGTTCATATCTGCCAATGTCAAACAAGAGGTTAAATTATGTGTTTAGTGCAAAGAATGGCAGAGAATCAATGGTAATTCTGCACAGTATCTTGTGACGTTCCAGAGGAAGAAGAAACTATGGGCATGTACGACCAGAGAAACTAGTCTATTTACACGGCGTTAGCCTATAAATACGCACACCACAAGCATCAAACATAAAGGAAATAGAATCAAAGTTTTCTGCATAATCTGTTAAGAAATTGCTGAGCTAAATTACCTGACAAAAGTTTATTGTGGTTTCAACTAGATATCATGACAGTAAGCTTAATAAATTGCCTAACATGTAAACTTCAAAGTACATATATAATTAGTCCTACAAAGCATGCATAATAATCCATGAGGCACATTCAATTACAATGCCAAGAGATGTCTGTAGTATTAGAAATAATTGGCCCCATATTTGAAAGTTTTAGAATCAGCATCAGAACAGAGAATTATAATAATGCTTTCATATGCAATATAGGCCTTTCCTTAAGATGAAATTAGCATGCTCTCTTCAATACATGCTGATAGGATTAAAGGTAAAGAGAGAGTACATATTGCTCAAGGAAAAAGTAACCAAATATAAAAGAAAATGGACATTTGAGAGGTTTGTGGCTCTCATACAAGTTCCACAGATATTTTACTTGCTTCCTATTCTACGTCATATCCTTTATGCATGCCCCCAAGCTCATTCTTTCCCTAACAGAATCAACAGTGGTGTTCTCCCGGGCCATGGCCGTTCAAGTTGGTAAGGGCTGTGGCAAGGGGCATAGCCTGGGTACTAATTCCATTCGTAGACTTTGAAGTTTGCTACAAAGTCCATTTTTTCGTTTAGTTTCACTTGACTGATGTCTTCTATGCACCTCATTAAATTCTCTCATCTTCACACCTCTAACCCAATCTATTGATGCCTTCCTTCACGCCATTAGCTTTACATCAGAGTGTGTGCACTTATTCCTTCTGGTACAAAATGCAAATCTGATATATATATACTTCACCACTGCAACGATATTCTTCTCCAACGTTGACATCCTCTCGACCTATTCCTTAGTTGCTCCCTTGACATCCTCTTAACCTACTCCTTAGTTTCTCCCAGTCTAGGTTCCATACTACCGCGTTCGATCTGGTGTCCATTTTTATACCTTCAGGCATGATCCAAGGCAAAGATTTGACACTAGTTCGATAGGATCAAGTAGAATGGCACAGAGAAAAGGAACCATACAAAAGAAAACATATATTTGAGAGGCTTGTGGCTGACTTCCTACTCTAACGTCATATTTTTTATGCATGCTCGCCCTAGCTCCCATTACCTCATTCCACTAAAGGAATTACAAGACATGATCCACTTTCTCCCCTTATGGACACCCACCATTAAGTCCAATCCAACAATAACTCTGCTTGCTTTGCTAGGTCCACATTTCTCCCATACATGATATATGATGGACTAGGGGAGGGTATGTATGACTTAGGTGATACACAAACAACTTCAGAATATAGCTCTGGACCAAGTTAAAGGAACTGCAAATAAGACAAGTATTTGCACGTTTGAATGAACCCTATGGACAAAAATGAACACATTAACAAAATAACTAAGGGTTCGTTTGGTTGGAAATTCGGATTTTGTTTTTTGTTTTCAGATTCACTGATGATTCAGCAAATAGGCGTTTGGCAAAATTTTTTAGATTCGTTTTTTAAAACTGTTTTCGGATTCTGTGATCCAAACAGTAGAAATTCTGAAAACGGCTTTTTTATATTTTTAGTGTTCTCAGATTCAGAATTTTAAATTTTTAAGATGCAGAATTATATTAAAAAGATAAAAACTTTGATAAAATATATTATTTCATATTATAAACTCATTTTATGCTTGTTAAAATTGAAACATGTAAAATGTAATGTATTCTAAATTATATAACATCGTAAAATAATAATTATACAAAATTCATAAAAAAAAAGTTAATAAATTATTTAATATAAGTTTAGATTAAACTAAAATTTAGTTTGTAACTACTTCTAGTTTACAAATATATGCATTGAACAATTTTTAAAATTAAGATTCAATTACCAAATCTGCTACCAAACACATATATAAAAACACTGAAAACAAATAATATAACTCTGGTTTTCATTGAATCCCTTGTTTTCAAATTTAATTACAAACCAAACGCAGCCTAAGCATCCTTAAAGTTACGAACTCTTCTTTCTAAGATGATTGTCCTTTTTTAATATCAAAAGGGGGTATGACTTCTGGTGATGCACCAACAACTCAAAAAATATTAAACTGAACCAGCTGGGAGAAACTCTCTCTCATAAAATAACTATACTGGCATATGACATATGGGTATATTTTTCTTTTCTAACAGAAGAGAGCAAAATGGCTGCAAGATGTAGGTAAACCAAAAACCAAGTTGAAAAAGTTTATATTTTCATACAAGAGAGACAGTCACTAAGCCTATACAGATAAGATTCTATAAGAAAATTCAGAAGATGAATGAAGCTCTGTGACCTTCGACACTAAATGAGAACAAAAAGTTTATCAAAACAGTAGCACTTACTCAACCACAAGGCTTTTGACAAGCGTAAAATATATTATCCAGAATTGGCGTTCCTTCAAGTGTCCAGGGCAGAGTTTATATCTGAGTTGGGAAATTTCCTTCAAAGTGAGAAAGGAATGGACAATTTCAGAGAGCAGTCTCACTTCAAGAATGATCCCATATCCAGGAAGTACATGAATAGACTTCAATTTTGACAGATTTCATGATCATACATATAAGCCAACACCACTAGGGCTTTATTTGAATAGAATCGAAATCATTTGTACACGAATAACAAGAAATGAACCTTGACTTTTGATAGCACAAGAACTGCATGTCGCTCCTGCCAATCTGAGAGATTCTGGTCAACACGAGGTGCTTCCCCTTCATCTGAACAGAAATTCAAGTAAGCCTAACAATCATTCTCTGCCACATTGAAATAAAACCTAAATCCCACCACCAAAAAACACAAATGCAAATGCGAAGTACAGTCTAATTTTGGATGGAATTGAAGCCAGAGAGACGAAAGAGTTAGATTACCCGGAAGAGGAAAGTTCTTGAAGGTTTCGAAGGTGAAGGACTTCACAAATTCGATCAAACTGTCTGTGACTCCGAGAATTTCCTCTTCCTTCTCTCCGCGGGATTGTTTGCCGCTGGTGAACTGGCCATTTTCCCTCAAAAGTCTGCGTCGAAACCAAGAAGAAAAATTCATCGTTGGTAGTTTCGGTATGTGCCTGCTTCTACCAATCAAAACTCATTCATTTGTATTCTCCTGGCCGCTTTTAGGGAGTAGAAAGCAGAAGCTTAGGGCATGGAGTTGGATTGGAGCCGCCATGGAGAGAAGAGAATCGCGATCAGTTCCCAGATTGGATCTATTTGAATTGGAGGAGACTCAGAGATAGAAGATGAATTTTGGAAAGAATTAAACAATGCAGACAATTGAATTGGAATTGGAATTCGATAATAAAAATATTCCATATCTGCTACTGCAGACTTTAATTAACTTTTTTTTTAGTACAACTTTAATTAACTTATTAACTTCCTGTTAAGTGTTAATTATATATAAAAAAATATATATATATATATTTCTCATACCCGTATCCATTCAGAAATTTCTATTTCTGTTAATATTTCATAAACATTTTAAATATATCATTTCGAGCAAACATTTGATAGAATTTTTTTTTTCTCCTTTCTTCCTTTTTTTAGTACAACATGTTAGAGAAATTCGAACTCACACCTCTTGATTGAAGATATATGTCAATTACTGTTAAGTTATGTTCGTTTTGACACCTTCAATGAGATAGTTGTGAACTAAGTATAAACGAGATAAAATGTGAGAGAAGCTATTGTTTTTAAAATTGGAATTAAGGTAAAATTTGGTAGATAATGAAGAAATAAACTCTCTTGACAATGGAACAAAAATAAAATTGAGACATATGTCATGTCAACTTCACGCTAATTGTCACGTAATTCAAATTCTACCACATTAATTTTTCACTCAAAATATTAATAGATGTTTGCCATTTTTGAAATGTCTATGAAAGGTTAAAGGTAGTATTGTAACTTTTAAGAGGTAGAGGTAGTTTTTAAACAAACATAAAAGTATCGGGGTATTTTTTTTGTAATTTAGCTATATATATATATAAGGTTTAAATTTTATTTCAGTCCCTCTACTTTTAACTTTAGTTCATTTTTGTTCTTGTACTTTCAAAACATCTATTTTAATCTTTATATTTTCAACATTTTTTTTCATTATAGTAACTATACCTTCAAAACGTCCGTTTTGGTCTCTATACTTTTGAGAATTACTAATTTGGTTCTTTAATCGCAAAATTTAACTCAAATTTTATATACAATAGAAACCGTTTAACATAATTTTATGACTAAATTGAATATGGATCAAAATGAACTAAATTGAAAATACTAAAATAATATTTAAATTTATAAATAATTAATGGTCAAGTTGCATTCTAAAAGATAAAAGATGTTAAAATACCATTTTAGTTTCTCTACTTTGAGATTTATCATATTTCAATCTATGTATTTTCAATAAATCTTAAAATTAGTTCTCACCCGTTGGTTTGAAGTTAATTTTGATCAAGCTTGGTAAAAAAATTAATAATAATTTCCATTCAAGCATAGGTACAATGTGAATATATTTTTCAAACTTTGAGGAAATAATTATAGCTACTAATATCTTTTAGCAAAAAATTAACCAATTAAAGGTTCTTGAAAATATAGAAACTAACTTTGAACTTTTAAAAATACATGAGCTAAAATTAAAAATAAATAAATAAATAATCCCAAGACCAAAATAGTATTTTAACCAAAGATAATAGTAAGCAGGCCTTCTAAATTTTTATGGAAAATTATTCTACTTTTATTTTTTAAACATTTAATAAAAATGAGATTCAAGAAGACTAATCATATGTTTATGTTCGAGTACGAATACTTAGGATAATGATTCAATAATTATTGAGTTCAATGGTTGTAAATAAAAATAAAACAATAATTGATTGCTTTAGTTTCTCTTCAAATTTCCATATCGACCTAATTGGAATCATTAGTTGTTGTAAAAAAAAAAAAAAAATTGAAATCTTTTACTCAAACAAATACATTGTTTGCCTCTTGTTGTTTGTCTTAAAATATTGAGGTGAAATACAGCTTCAAAATTGAACTCTTGCATTGCTCAAATTTAACCACCGAGCCTATTTGATGATGATATCAAGACATAGTAGATTTATAAACGACTATATCATTAAAACAATACTCAAATAGATCACCAACCATAACGACTTTGGGGGCTTGGATCGTCCACCTTCTTAGTTGAGCTAATACACATCACTCGAACAATAAGACTCAACCATCCAAAAGACAGAAGCATTGGTAGAAAAGTGAAAAGATTATTTTCTTGTTCATTCTCGCTCGTTGCTTTAAAAGTTCAACAATAAATACTTGCTCCCAATGTTTCAGAGAAGTCCTAAGAAGACACCATCTCAAACAAGCTAATTAACACGACCGTACCTAAATCTAGAATTTTGCAGTCTTCTATAGAGGTTTCGACCTGTTTTAAGTTTTCCAGTCTCTTTTTGAGGAGCTATAAGAGATAAATAAACCATGTAGGTACACTTAAATAGGCAGGTGCCAAAATAAGAGGAAATAAGTGACAGAAGCTATTTTGTGACGTTATAATTTAACTATACAAGTAATCGATGAAGCTATATGGACACTTAACTATACCTTTACTTTCATCATGTTGTATCTGCTGAAAACTCCCTTTGAGCATGGGTTGATGTTGGTTTATCATATTGAATCCTGAATCAGAAAAAATAAAAAATGGAATTTCTTTAATGAAGCTAGCTATTCTTCAAGGTATTCCGTATTCTGTGTGTATGGCGTTTTCAGATTCAGTCTCAACATGCAGCTGTAAATGGCTAATACAAACCAGCTTTTGACTGCTATGAAACGCTGGCTGGATCTTGTCGAACTGATGTAGTGTGATCATGATCGCCATGAATGACATTCTCACTTGGCAACTCGATTGAGACGTCTTTCGAACAGCTAAATGCGTCGGATGGAATGTTGATGCCAATAAACCCGATCATGACAGCCATAGCTCCAAGGTAATCCATGAGATGTGGGGCATTGCCCAATATGGAATCGACAATGGCGGCCAAAGGGACTTGAATTGTGAGACCGGCTGTTGCTACAGTAGTTGTGGTTAGAAGAACGGCTTTTGCCCACAAGTAATCACTCAGGACGTTATCCAACAATCCTGAACATAGCAGAAAGTCCCAATTCAGTATGAAATATGAATATACTACAAACATATTGGAAGAAGGAAGTAAAGAAAAATATATGAGCCTCTACAAACGTGAAAAGAAGTGAACAGGTGCAGAGAATGGAGCTAACTAATACATTCATGGATGACTTTTTGTGAAACAAATGTAGTGAACGAGAAGAGCTAAGAGGAAACTAATGGTGAAAACATATGAACTTGTCAAAAGGTATAACTCTTATATTGAAAGCATTGCATCTCTAGTGTGATAGTTATGGAGGGTGAGTTAGAATGACTATGGAAAAAGTGAAAAATGTAATCTACCAATTAAAAGTACTTTTCAAATTTTACAGATTACTGCTTATATTCTCACTGGAAAGCACTTCTTCAAAATTTATCCCAAGTCAGAGAGTTAGCCTCTCACAATGCAAGCTTCCTTAATGATGAGTCCTTAATCGTGCATAGTTTATGGGGTTGCAAAATGCTGAAATAACAAGATAAAGTTGTCAAACCATTCCACGCACGGAATGGAAGTCATCCATCATTCATCAATAACAGTGGTTTTGAAATAATCAAATGCACAAGCACCATGCACCAGAGATCGGTATCAAATATCTACTAAATAGTGTCCTACGCCTTTGGTTCATGGTGTATGTAGCTAGCCACCTAAAGATTCTGCACTCTAGATGCTCCATGTCCAAGAGAAAATTCTTGAAAATCATGTGTATTCTATGTAATTATGTGTATCAGGAATAACATGTCTGCTCTCTACACATTCAAAAGATGCTTACAAGCTTTCTATAGGTACACGGGAGCTCATAATCCCAAAACAAGCAAAGAAAAGAATATCAGAGTTCCAAAGATAAATGCTTACGGACCTTTAGCAATAATCAGACCAACTTCCTTCCAAGTCCGCAAGTGAAATGGCTCCACCTTAGTAAATTTGATTATAAGGGCAACAGGAAGGAAAATAAAGAGGTTGAAAAGTCCAAGGAATCCAAGAAATTGTGCCATACTAGCTTTGCCAGTCTTCTCATCATCATCTTCAGGCAGTTTCTTGCGAATAAGGGTAATGTACACGGCATACAAGCCAGCTGAGGTAAGGGAAAGAACATCACCAAGAAGAGGGTTCGAAGCAGTTCTCGAAGTCCCCTCAGATTTGGAGTCTCCCAGGCTTACAATTATCGTACCTCCCATACAGAGGAGAACACTAGCAAGCTTCACCCATGTAAACTTCTCACCCAAAAATGCTAGAGAAACCAAAAATGTAAAGAGGCTGGAAGCACTGCTCAGGATTGTATTTGACTACAGTAAAAAAAAAGGAAAGGGAGCCATAAAAACCCAATGTTATAAAATCACCAATCGCTAATATAATAAGACAGAGAAGTGGATCATCACTTACTGTGACAGTAGTATACTTCAACGAGAGATTAAAAGTGAGCTGAGCAAGAAACCAAAATGGACATATTAATAAGCTAACTTTTGCCACTCTAATGCGAGTCCAACGCCCCTTTTCATCCACTTGTTTGCCATTAGAGAAGTACCCTGTCTCTGACAGAGTAGTTTCTCTATTCAAAATTGATTGTCCATCTTCCATATGCATATTAATATGCATGGAAGGGCTGCAACAATCAGCATTTGAAACAAGATTGGTTTTTTCGCCAAGAAGTATGGCCTGCTCTGATTCCTTCAATTCTCGTAATGCATCCAATTTTTTGTTCTTCCAAAACAACAAGCTTCCATACTTGTCCTCCAAGAAGCGTGCAATTTCAACAATTGGGATGTAAATAACAAACAATGAATTGCAGATGTATGTAACGAGGAATGGTGAAACACCTTCATCAACAACGGACTGAACCACAAAACTAGCAGCTATCCAGATGGTTGCAACCAAAAATATGTAAAACAAACCGATTCCCCATCTCCAAACTTCATTTTTCATCTCTTGCAAAAGAAGATGATGCTAATCCCAAATCCCAACCTCACAAATAACCAAAAGATGAATCTCACCTCTCTTACAAAATGCCGCCACAGATTTCAGGCTCCACCACAAAATTCAACCTGCAAAAACCAAATAGAATAAAGAGTAATCAAATTCCAAATGAAGGTAACGATAAACGATTTCAAACATTGAGAACGGAAAAGCATAGATTCGAAACCAAAATTAGAAGGAAGTAACGATCGATGTCAGAAGTCGAACACATACGTCAGAATTCAGAAATCATATAATGTTGATTCACCCATGAATTCCAGACGTAAAATCTCTGTTCCTTCGAAACGAAGAATGAAAGAATTGCAGAACAAAAAAACTTAACCCGGGCGGCGAATCAACTCACCATGCAGTTCTAGGGGTGTAAGCAGTTCGGTTCGGCTCAGTTTTAGAATCAATCCGAAACCGAACCGATAACAAATCTATTAATTATTAAAACACTGAACCGAGCCGATATACAGTTTAAAGCCGAGCCGTACCGAATCGATAAACTGTCGGTTTATCGGTTTGGGTTCAGTGTTTAACCGAGTAATATGATTCTGTGAGCCATGGCGCCGCTATGGTGCATGGTGCGTGGGTGATTCGCCGGCGCAAGATCTACCGCCGCCTGCTCTCGCCTTCCTCCGTGGGTTTGCTCGCCGGAGAGGGGAGGAAGGGGATTTGGCTAAGATTTGAGGGACAGAGAAAAGAGAACAATGAAGAAAGACGGGGAGAGAGAAAATAATGGTAGGGTAAGAGTTTTTCTGAATTTTCTATTTAATGATTTGACTGCACAGCATGGCGGGTCCAAAAGTTCAAAGCCCATTTAGGAGATGGGTTTGGAATCTGAAGCCCAGCCCATACCACGTTTGGGCCCAAAGATTTCGTAGCCCAGGAATCCTTCTCAAATCCAAGGGATTGAACCTTCTTCGCCCCCAATCTCACATCTCGTATCGGGCTTCCAATGGAGATTCAACCCTCTTGCCCTCTCTATCGTGAGTTCCTCCAGATCCACACCATATCTTAGATATTTTGATTTTATTAAATTTGAAAAGATTTGATAATAATAAAAGATAATTAATTTAGAAAATTATTCCAAAATAGTTTCTTAAGAAAGATATGTATGGTCCTAAAAAAATGTATGTGTCCACATTTGATGAATAAAAAGAAATCTTAAAATCAGATATTTATTTTTCAAAATTTATAATAATAATAATAGATAATTAATCTAAAAAATAGTTTTAAAATAGTATCTCCTAAAATAAGATGGGTATCTTTCAAGTTTTTACATTTTTATGAACTCAAATGGAAATAAGTTATTTTTTAAATAATTCTGAATAATTTGATGATATGTAATTTGAATATTTTTATTATTTGCATGAGTGCTTAAACTAACTCATGCGTACCTAAAATAACTTCATGAAATGACAATTTCAAACGTACGTAAATTCATAAGATTTTAGCCCCTTGTTAGATGATAACTTCGACGACTGTTATTGCACAAACTGTCAATACGAATATATATATATATATATATAACTCAATTTCTCTATAAATTAGCCAAATTAGTTCAAACAAATTGAAATTATCTCCTTGAGTTGCTTTAACGGCAAGCGATCAAGATATACACCAACATCCTAAATTAATCCAAAACATTAGTCACTCATCTCCCAAAGCTGATAAAGCCTCTAGAAATTAATAAAGGCCATGAGCATAATACAATGGAATTTTAATACCCGTGTAAAAGAAAACAAATTGAAGTTAACCAAATAACCATAGAACAATTGAATAACTATATAATAAGAATTGGAGCCCATTCGTCTAGCATGGCTCCCTTTTGTTGGGTTGTTCTTTCGTTTTTGTTTACCTGAGTATTCTTTCATTCTTCTCAATGGAAGTTCGACTTTTCATTAAAAATAAACATAGAATAGGAAAACAAATAAATAGAACAAGTATCACCGACTACAGTCGGTGATTTGGTACAACATGAAACATGAGCATCAACATAAATTTATGGTTATTGGGAGGCAAGTGATAGATTGACTTCAACTGAAGAGTCTGTGAGGATAATACCTTTGGAATTATCAGCTTTAGGGTGATCGAGAGAATCCAACTTAATCCTGACATGAAGAGGTTTCACGAAAATGAGCTCTCTCAAATACCTTTTACGTTTTAAAAGGAACTGAATGCAGCACTCTTTTCTTATCTTCCCTCCATTTCTTGGGTACAAAAAACCTGCTATCCTTTCTGCATCTTTCTCCTCGTTGCCTTCCCAATCTTGGTTTCTTCTCAGCCTTAAATACAGGGCAGCATAAACTATAACCTGTTTTCCAAATTACGGCAAAGTTAGAACTTCATGTTACTTCCCCTAAAACTAGAGAAAATTTTCCATTTTTCCTCTTTTTTTTTTTTTGTCAAAATCGACTGAAAAGAGAGTGCCTGTGTGTGTCGTGGGTGAGGTGAAGAGGAGCGGACCAAACTAGATGAAAACTACCCCATCTTAAGACATTTATACCTACTTTTTGAGTTACGACAATTTAAGAGGCTGGGGTAATATTGTTATACCTAACCCCCTTTTTTTAGTATATACAAGAAACACTTTCTACTGATATAGTTAGAAAAGGTAAACCTCTCTCCAAAAGTAACAAAAACCATGCAAATGTGAGCTATTAATTACAGAGGGGCTTTGACACCATTTTAATTACTAAATAGAGCGACTTGCTCAATCTACCCTTCAGATATCCCGAAACCCTACTCTATTTAATAGGAAGAAATTTGACAATTATACATGAGAAGAGCTTGGAGCTTGATTCTTTGAATATTCTATGGTCCTTATAAGTCCATTTAACTTATGAGCTAGACGTGTTTACAGTAGTCCATTTTTATCGGGAACATCAGGTTAAAATGTGTCCTGATGATCCAATAGGCAGAAGCTAGTAAGTAACGTTTCTACCCTTTGTAATAAGAAATATTTCTTTTGGGCTTGTTTTGGGACCATAGTCTTCTTGGTAGATGCCAAAATATGTGTCCAATTGGGAAAGCTACGTCAATGTATTATTTATCCTTTCAACCCATACACAGGAACAATAGCTAATCTATTGTAGTTCATAGGAGTTGTCAGTACCAGTTCCTTTTTCATTTCTCTTCCAAGAAAAATTTAATGATACATCTTTGTTTCCTAAAGTAACAGAAGGAATATTAATAAGAATAATAGTCTAACGTCATGGCACTCATACCTCGCTAGTTCCAGGACTTGTATTGACAGCACACTCAATCTGCACTTTATTGTCTCCTATATGATTAGAAGTTCTCGTATTATCTTCCACCATTTCTGAATCTGGCGGTGAAAAGGCTAGGCTATCCAACTCATCATACCACTGTTGAGCAGAACCAACCTACAACATACCAAAGCTAACAGATATTCTAAAACAAGAAAATCTCACTTGAACAAAAGATGTGCAGCAAGGTTACCTTTTCTGAGGGCCCAGCTACATCCTCGACAATTAAGCTTTCAGTTGCAGTTCCTCTTGCTTGTCGCCATATGCTGTCTTCTTGTAATGATTCCACAAGTTCAATATCAGCAGGCAGATCAACATTGATCTGTATACCAACCTTACCTGTGCAAGGAGAAATCTCATGAAGTTAGTATGCAAAAATATAAAAGATTCTCTTTCAGCATGTTATATAAAGGATGAGAGATACTAGAACTACAATGAAGACTGAAATTGCAACACGAAAAAAACTTCCTGGCTTTGAAATCAGGTCCAAGCAGAAGCTGTACTAGACTAGAATAGAACTGCCATTGAACTAAACTACTACCGAAGAAATCACAAATCTAACATTTCCGACTCCAAGAAGAAAGTACCAGGCAGCAGTCTGAAAAACTGAAGATGATCAATCCCTGCTCCTCGAAAGCTATCAGCACTGCAGTATCAACAAAAATGCATAAACAAAAGGTTAATGAGGTTAAAAACAAAACAAACCCAGAAAGGACTAAACGCGTGACAGTACTATGATGATAATGATAGAAGAGTTTGAAGAATACAAATTAATAATTTATGGCCTGTGCCCTTTTTAACCACATTCAATAACCAGGTCGATAGTAAATAAATTATGTGCATTTCAGTAAGATAGCAGCAAACATCCCAATCGAGTAAATACGCTTACGTGGTTATGACCTTCTCCGGAGGTGAAGCAAACCAATATGGTAATCCAAGAACCCCAAAATTTGAAAATTGGAAGCTTGAGCTCTCACCAGAATTTCTATGATATTTCAATATCACCTGTCCAACTTCAGAAGCGAAGTAAGAGAGCTAAATAGACTAGCAAAAGATGGTAGGTTAAGCAGCAAAAACACAATTCATGAATTGAAACATTGGTACCTGAGTCGCAAATGATTATGCAGTTCTGGAAGGGTGTACAGGAAGATAAAAGATCCAGGTATGGTAGCCCCCCTGTGACAATATTTGCATGACTTAGCCGCTGCAACCAACCAGTCGGGATCTGTTTCATAACAGACACTTTGTCTGTGATCAACTGTCCATAGGTCTCCATGATATTTGAAAGGCCTATTCACAACATAGATCTTTCAAATAAATTTTGCAGCCAAGATCAGTGTTGAGAAAGGAATCTATAACATTCTAGACTGTACCTCTAACAACTTCAATAATTTTTCCTGACACCAAATCCATGACCCATAGTGTTTGAAGACTGTAAAATAAATGAAACAGAAGCAACGTAGATCATGAGAAACCATAATCCATATGGAATGTGATGTCGTATTGAAGAACTGTACTTCAGTCTTCAGATAAGGAATATATGGTACCATATACAGCAAGAAAAAATACTGTACAAACTGCAACGAACTATTCACTTGTTAGGTGAAAAAATAAAAATAAAATAATGAATTGCACTTCCAATTCTACCTGCGGTTTAAAATTAATAATCTATCATCCACATATCTAATGATGTGCCAAGGAAACATCAGAGACTGCGGATTGAAGTCTTCTAATTCTCTCTCAGCATTACTTCCAAGACCAAATTTGTCCATAATCCAGCTCCATAACTGTGTACTCTTCTTACTCGAGTAGTTTTCTGGATAGAGAGTTTCCACAACCCGCTTGTCCAAATCAGCTTTCCTAATAGCATGGTTCTGGATAGTCAACATCCAGTAACGGTAAAAATTTTAAGAGACTTTTAGAACCAGCGAGAGAGAACCTGACTAATGTCATTGAAATTAATAGAGACAGGTACGGTGATGCATTTTTAGGAACAAACGACTAAAATAGATATAGACAGAAACATTATTTGTAGTCACTAATTAAAAAAAAACATTTAAATGGAAAAGTGTACATATATCTCCAACTAGTGCAGCACCAATCAATTTGAATCCTAAATTATATATATATATATATTTTTTTTTTTTTAAATCCGTGTATCCGGGCCAGCTTGCGCGCACCTTGACTAGTCACAGGTCAACCGCCTGACCCTACTACATTTGGTTGACAAGGTAACTCGTAGGATATTAAATCCTAGGTAGGTGGCCACCATGGTTTGAACTCATTCCCTCTAAGTCTTTTTACTATTTACAAAGGCCCTCATTGACCACTTGAATCATCCCATGATGGTTATATATATATATATATATATATAATAAATAAAACGTGCTTTTAATTTTATAGTATTGTCTTTTGTAGAAAGATCTCCCAATCTTTTCATCTCCTACACGTGGATGTCATTTTATCATTATCTTGGACTTGACTAGAATATAGAATGTGCAGCTAAGTTTACTATCAAGGATTGTAGGCTAGTACTAATGTAAAATTGAACAATATCTAGTATACTGCCAGCATGTAGATCTGTGAATATCAAGCATACGGCTTCTTGGTGGGGCTACTATTCACAAGAAGGTTTTTTGTAACTTCTTGGTGGGGCTACTATTCACAAGAAGGTTTTTTGTAACTACAGTCATCCTTTGATTTTGCAAGATTGGAGAGTTGTGATCGTATAGTCTTTAGGGGAGGGTTCTCTCTACCCTCCGCCTTTAGGTTGTCTCCCCCCTCTCATTTTTTGATACTAATATCATCTTTGTTTCTTATGAAAAAAAAAATAATAATAAATAAATATATATATATATATATATATATATATATATATATATATATATCCACACATCTAGACTAAAGCAAATTTGATAGCTCTCTCACGTTGACTTGAACTACAATTGTGGTTAAGAACAAATGCATACCTCAGAGTCCACAAAATACAAGCAATTCTGAGTAGCATGATAAAAGGAAGCTGCTGGACGAGCTAATTTGACCAATTCAAATTCTCCATCATCAAAACCTGGATAAGAACCAATCTGACATATAAAAAATGTAAGAATCTAACTATTACAATAATACGGTAGTCTGTCTAAGAATTTAAAAGGTAAGGTACATGAGTACAAGTCCAAAATAATTGAAAGAAAATTAGCATTAAACAGAAGTCAGAGCAGCTCAAGAGAAACCTATTGATTCAAGGGGAACTTTTATATCATCACTATCAACGTGCAAGATCAACTATTAGCTTCTTTTTTTACCTGAAAGTGGTTTTCCTATAAATAAATGAAGATGGAGCTTTTCTTTTAACATCAAAGAATACTGTGTTGGATCAAAATTAAACATACAATGTCCAGAATCTTCCCATTGCTGTTAAATATGATAATCCGGTTATGATTGCTGTCTGAAAGGAAGAGTCGGCCACCCTTTTCATCTGCAGATATACAGCCTGTGATAATGGAAATTTATCTAAGAAATTAGAGAATCTGATTGCCACAAAAATAATGAATCTTCGAAGTGGTAGTAACTAATTTGTTAAAGAGAAAAGCTACACTTCCAGGGATATGTACTTGGTGGAGTAGATGATAAGGGAAAGGCATAGTTTCCATAACAAAAAGTTTGAAGGAATCAAATCCCCCCCTCCGCCCCAAAAATAAATAAATAAATAAAACTGTTTAATGCATAGCCCATCTCTAAGTACAAAGGAAATGCTTAAAGACAGAAGGTTTTTAAGAAATTTTGGAGCTTAAAGACCAACAGTAAGTAGCAAACCATCTGTAAGAAGTGAAAGCTGTACCTGGAAAGTGGAGAAGAAAATTCTGCATGAATGAACATGAATATGGTTCTGTTGTGATCTCCGCCTGCTTTAGGTAAGTGGTTCTCCCATTATTGGGCTGACTAAATTTCTCACTTTCTTGTTCTTGCAACTCCTCGATAGCTGGATGTGCATAATAAGAAAATAATGCACACTAGGAATTCGGAAAATGTATGCATGCATGATGAATGCATCCATTAAATGACTATTTACATAAACAAAGATGTAACGGGAAACAAATATAGATGTATTTGCACTGAATTGTCTCTTATCCAAAATAAACAAATAACAATATGGCTACAAGAATAAAATACATCAAAATGACCAGAATCCAGACACAACCATAACGAAAATAATGTTGTGGAAAAAGCACATAGAGAAATAAAAGAAGGTATACCTTTCCTCATAGTGAAAGGATCCATGTTCCTCTCATAGAGGAGTAAAGGATTTCTGAAGTTTTTGGAGATAATATAACAGAGCCCCCTCGCCATCTATTTGCACGAACCAATGATTTAAAAACTGAATCAGCCAACAATGCTACTCTTGCAATAAATGTTCAAAAAAAAAGGAAAATAGATTTATAATGGTTTAAAATAATATAGTTTCACAGATAATCATAAAAAGAGAAAAGACTACAAAATTCAAGAGTGGTTTTTCTGGAAATATGCTCGTCCAGAGTTTTTTTTTTTCATTATAGTGGACATCAATTCGAGCATGCAAAACTTAAAACACTGATACAGGTTGATTAGTACATTTGCAGAGCATGAAACATTGCAAACTTAAAAATATTGACGTGTATAAAAAAATTCTTTCTTCTTTCATCTCTTTCCTGTTTTCAACTATATCAGAAAGTGAGTGAGTCGGTCTCATATTAAACAATAAGATTCACAAGAAATGACGAACTTTATGGTGGTAAATGAACAAATGGGAACATCACTTCATTTCAAGATCATACTGCAAAAATTTTACATTAATATTGAGCTCCATTTTATCAGTTGGTTTTTCAATTTTAGCCAACCCACTTACACCCCTACTGAAAGGCCTGAAATCAATATCTCATAGAAGATGATAGATTTAAGAACATTCGATTTAAGAACATTATGCCAGTCGATCAAAATGATATATCAGCAAATCGATGCTAGAGTATCCAAGGGGTACCATGGTGGTAAGACCTCTGGAGTTTGAAGATCCTCTACAAGTTTTGGGTTCAAGTCTCTAGATGGAAAACTTGATAATTTATAATCTTTGTTGTTTTTACTTTTTAAAAGTTGGCGGGGTGGGCAAAGCCTCCCTGAAGATTAGTGGGTGGGCGGGCCATGAGCATAACGAAAATAGTAGGGCCTAAAACGACCAAGAACAAACTAATTTCATCCTTATGCAATTCCACCACCTTTAAAATGCTTACTCACATCATAGCTGCATAACATTTATCCAACTGAGGCAGAATGTTATACAAGTACCAATCATTCCCCAAGAGCAAGAATCATCAATCCCATATTCTATATCCCAATCTAACAACATGCATAAGGCAGAAAAAAGCAACACTTTAACCTCACCTCAAAATCCTTCTTGGACAACAAAATGGGAAACGAAACATATTCCTTCATTATAAATTGGATCATGTCAGTTTTTTCAGCAGCAGATAGAGAACTGGAACACTGAAACCCAATAACATGAAGCTGAGGAAACCTAAACATAAAGACATTACACTAATACTTAGCAAATGAACAAATAAAACAAAGAATAAGAATACTTAAGAAAACCCCAAGTCAGTTTGCTGTAATTGTAAGCACCTAGAATGTGGACTTCCATTACCTGTGCTGAAGGAACTTTACATTTTCAACCAGAAAAACAGATTCAGAGCTTGCCATTGCAAGAAATTGATCGGCAAGAATTAAGAAGATACCATCCTTCTCTGAAAGTCCTTTATTTCCATCATATGTATTCAACCAACGGTGGTTAGGCCCTGCACATTTGCACAAAAACAAATAAATAGGAGAGAGTTTGAGGAAAAGGTACCAACAGAAGTTACGCTGCATTTTGGTCATATCAAATATAGTAGCCAATTTTGATACATTTAACTGCAAACACAATATATTGTAAATGAAACAAGAACCTGGTCAGGTCAACAAACCAAAAAACCTATTGCATATAATAGTCCAACAAAAAAAAATGTCGGTCTAGAATTACAAAGTATGAAAAAAATGCCTTGGTAATGAGTATAGGATTGCTACATCATAACAGCTTCAAGTTGGCCATTTATTAGCATGTTTAGTAGTCACATAAAATATTGGTGTCAAAGGTGACTATTTCCTCCTGAATAGTGAAAATTGATGCCCTGGGAGTAAACTTGAGAACTTATCAGCACAGTAGCACACAAAATGGATCGTGACAAAATCCTTCATTTCAATTGATTGAAATATGAATCTAATTTGATGATTTGTGTTGCTGCAGTTCAGCACCTTATATGTCTCAAAAACTAGCAAAATAAAATTAAACTTATGAACTACCCAAATGTAAAGATGTATAACGATTATTTTTCTTTAAATGAAACAGAAGATTAATCATCTCTAAGAAGATACCTGGCTGTCCGAACTTTACAAGGGGGAAAGGAGTGTTGATAGAAAATAAGAGATATAAAGAAAAGAGAAAATGCACGACCTTCGGACTCATCTAAGGTTGACTTAATGAAGGATAAAATATTATTTGCTGCAGAAGACTCGCATTGTAGCTCTGTTGTAGTGGAAAACCTGAAAAAGACTGTCAAATATAAGTCAGACAGACAACCAAAAGTAACAAGATTGAAACTACCAATTGTAGACCAAATAATAGGACTACTTAACCAACCCAAGTTCCAAGGTGAAAGCACTATTCAAGATCAAAGTGCCCTTCCTTTTTGCTCATTGCTATATGTTATCTTCATGGCCCGAGCAAAAATTATTCAACACACTTTTCTATTAACAGAGCGAGCAAAAAGTGGTATTCCGGAAAATCCCTGGGAATTGTTTATTTAGAGGCCAGATAGGTTGGGTTTTGTTACAAAAGGTGTGGCTCCGGATGAGATTTACAAATAAGAACTTCCCCCTCGTAGAAGGAATTTAAACAGCTGGTTCCACAAAATAATACTACATAAAAAACATTTCACGATCTAATAGAGTACGAACATGAAGACAAAAACTAAAACTATTTCAGATGTGAACATATGAACCCAATTATACCGCAGAAAGTGACGTCCATCGTCTACAATCCTTTTATTGATTCCTTCAGATGCATGAAATGGAGCAACGGCCAATGCCAAAGAGCTGACAGCATCACTACGGTGATGCTGATGAGAATATCCTGGTGCGAAGAAGAAGAAAAAAAAGAACTAAGCGCAACAACGAACGAAGACATGATCAAATGCAACCGAGAAAATAACGCTCTTGGAACAAAATCCAATTTAAAGAGCAGGACACGGCTCGCCGGAGGATTACCGGAGATTCGGGACAAATGCCTAGAAATTTCTTTGAGTCGGCGAACCCTAAAAGCCATAATCGTTACAGAAGAACCAAATGACGTCAGGTCGACGGGAAGTTCATAACCTTGACGCGGCGTAGACGGCGGCTGGGTTTATTGGTTAGGAAGGGTTTTAGCGGGTTTTCTGCAGCTTTGGCAGAAGGAAGCGCGAAAGGGCAAAAAGGTACTTTTGTCCTAGTTTTTTTTTTATTAATTTATTTAAGTACAACATCTAAAGCTCGAGTTCATCTAATCGAGATTAAAGACGATGCTCTGGTAGAGTCTTCATTTTTTCTACTCTGTCCTTTTTTATAAAAAGTAGAAGTATATATTTAAGTTCAAGTATAGATCCCTACGGTCGTAAATGGATATTAATGCTCTAGTAGAGTGAAACTTTATTTTATCTACTATGTCCTTTTTTTTTATAACATGTAGAAGTATAGATTTAAATTCAAGTATAGATTCCTGCGATCGTAAATGGATATTTAAGCTATTGTCTAATCGAGATTAAAGAAAATGCTTTAGTAGAGTGAAACTTCATTATCTACTTTGTCCTTTTTATAACATGTAGAAGTATAGATTTAAATTCACGATCCTATCATAAATGGGTATTTAAGTCATACTTAAATACCTATTTATGTAAATAATCTATCTATATCTATAATTTATATATAAAAGTATGTCTAAAATAAATTTTTAAGAACATTTCATTTTTAGTTTTATGTTTTTAGAAAAGATATGTTATTTTCACGAGTAAGTTTTTCACAACTTTAAAAATGTATTTAAAATTTTTGTCAAATTTCAAAAACAGAAATAAGTTCTTAAAAAACTACTTTGGATGGGTAACATGTTTGTAAAAAGCACCTAACAAAACAAAGACACGACTAAAAAGTATTGTTTACCATCTTAATTCTTAAAAACATTAAGCCAAATACAAAATAGTTACAATGAGGCTCAAATAATTTAAGGTTAGATATCATTTTGGTTCATGTGTTTTTCAACTTCGTTTCATTTTGATATTGTACTTTTAAAATGTTAATTTTTATTTATGTATTTTCAAAATATTCGTTTTGTTTCCTCTACTTTTAAAAAGTGACCATTTTGATTGTTTACTTTTATCTGTAATCTCATTTTTTTATATCACAATTTCAACACGAAACTATATTCAGTATTTTTCTTAAAATGTAACCGTTACTTGTAGGGTTTTTATTATGTGTAGAAATTGTGATAAAATTTTACAAAAATAGACTAAAGTAATTATTATTTTAGTAGTACATTGATCAAAATGAACATTTTTATAGTGCATGAACTAATTAAATGAACCAAAGTTAAAAGTATAGGAACCAAAATAAACCTATTAAAAATACAGAGACAAAAATGAAACAAGATTGAAGTATGTATACAAATTAGTATTTTAACCCATTTAAATTGTTATTTATTTATTACATTTTGTTTAGAATGTTGATATTATGTCATTTATCCATTTCTAGTTTTACATGTCATCAACAATGGACTATTACAAATTATTTTGATAGATAACTAACATTGAAATTAATAGAATAATTTTCATAAAAGTAGAATTTTGGAGAAACTGTTTCTGAACCATATTAATCTAATTTTTTAGGACAAATTGCAATGCAGATGTTGTACCAGAGCTTTTTATTAGTGGTAAAAGTTGGAGTCAAAACGAACATAGTTATCTTCAACCAAGAGGTTGTGAGTTCGAATCCCTCTCAAAACATGTTGTACTAAAAAAGAAGTGGTAAAAGTTTGAACTGCAGGGAAGTGATGGAGAATTTAGATCCGGTTCAAAAAAAACTTATTTAAGTTATTTACTTATAACTTTGTATGATTTTAATCTATTACACAACAATTCTAAATTTATTCGTGGAAAATCTCTGCAATATTTTGACTGAGGTACCAACATGAACGTAGTTCAACTGTAATTGATACGTAACTGTAGTGAATGGGACACGTCATTGAAGGAAGCAAATGACTTAATTTTTTTTTTGTGTTCAATATCCATATAATATATCGCTCACATCAATATTATTTGATATAAACAAGAATATTCATCTGATGCTGGTTTCTTGCTGGAAAGAATAAACCAGCACCATTGAGGAGGCTCTTGAACCCGGGAAATGAAATCTAGCCCCCATTAGGCCCAGTTTTCCTTTTGGACCAACAAAACTTTGACCTCAACATCCTTCCTCTTTAATAAATACGTATTTTTCTTGTCCTTTATATCTAAAAATTTATATGAATTTGAATTAACCGGAAACAAGCATACCTTTAAAAGTAGATTACAGAGTAAAGATACATAATCTATCTTAAAATAGTTATTACGAGTAATCTTTTTAATTTTTTGACATATAATTTTGACTTTTTAGAAAGCAGATGAAATAGTTATTTAATTATTTATTTATTAGGATAATGGTGAAAATTTAGACTCAAGAGAAGATATTTTTTCAAGCAAGAGAATGTCATTCCTTGCTAATTATAATGCACTTTCCGTTTAACCTCCAATGAAATATATATAGAAATACATCTTATAATTTTAAAGCATATTTATTTATGGTTGAATTATATGAAGTTCATAACAATAGTATATTGGAAAATATATATTTAAAAAACTATCAAAATCTCTCTCTCATATTATGTCTTTATATTTTAAAAAAAATAGGGTGATATTGGTTTCTTTCCTTCTAAAAATATATTTTAAAATGATAAGGACTTCCATGCAGAAGAGAGGAAAAAAAAAAGATTAATCAAATGGACAAGAACTACTAAATTTTCAAATCATAAAAGTATAGAGGGAGGAAGGGACATAAGTCATAACGAGACTCATGAATTCAACGGAACATAAACAATTGAAAGAATTATTAATTAGATATAAAAGGCAGAGATAAAAATTTGTATTAAATATTTGTAAATAAAGATTAAAATTATCATTTTTTAAAAAATGTATAGGAAAAACTAATAGGGATTAAAATGAAGTTTGAAAGTACACTGAAGTAATATTTAGACGTTAAGTTTATAATTTAAGAATCAAATATTTCAATTTGAAAAAAGAGACGGAGACGAGAGAATCAAAAAATGAAAGATGAGAAATTGAGCACCCACCTTAAAAATTAATTCTTATCTATTTATTGGTATCAATATTGTAGAATTAAGTAGTTGTCACGTAAAATTAGTCGAGTTGCGGGTAAACCGACCTAAGTACTCATCGATATCAAGAGAAGAAATAAAATAAAATAAAAACAAAAACATTGGTTACCGCAGCTTTTGTTGTGAAAGAGAGGACAAAGCAAAAGCCAAAGGCCAAAACAAAAACAAAAGGCCCTCCATGATTTAATGATTTAATCTGCTGCATGGCGCAGTACAGACAAATCTTACACCTCTGCCCCACCTGCCAATCCGGACCCTCCATTCTGATTTTTCTTCCCCCTCCCATTTAATTTTCCTGCGATTGACCCGCCAATCAGACGTCTCAGATTTCACCACTCACATGCAACCCAAAGCAACAATACTTGTGCTAAACCATCTACTACTATTTTTTTTACAAATAAAATAGAGAAATGTACAATAATATATAGGACTATGTTTAATTTTTCTAAATAAATAAAGGAAAAAGAGTGTTTCGAAGGATTTTATGGTGAATAATAGTCAGATGTTAAATACATATTTTCATTTTTTAAATATATTTATTTATGTATAAAACTTCTTTCCAAAATCTCTGCGTGATTTAGTAATCTATAAACAAGTATTTTTTTAATTTTATATAATTTCTACATGTTACTAAACCGCATGAATTCAGAAAATACTTTTTTCATCCCACCACTCCCTAGTCAAACTCTCAAACTAAAAAACATCCAATACTATACAAAATTATTAGGACGACAAGCTTGGTCAATATCGAACTCTCACAAACTTGTCCTTAACCCAAAAAAGGCTCCAAGACTCGTATATGAAACCTGAATTGCATGAAAAATATTAAGACATCGTACATGGTTAAAGTAAACCAAAATGCAACAAAAATGCTGAACTTAAACCTTTTGAAATTGTTTTTGAATTCTATTCGAAAATATATGAACGCAATAGAAATGGACAAATTGTTTGGGGATTGAAACACAATGCCACTAACAAACAAACAAAGATAAACATTGGAAAACAACAAGAAAAATTATCTAGAGTAGTATAAATCTACATATTATATTAATTAGATCAAATATTGTCACCACCACTATTAAATCATTCAACCAGTGGTATTAAAAAAAAAAAACAAGGTTTGTTTTTGCATTTTTCTTCCCGTCAAACATTTAACGGCCATAAAATTCCTCCTGTTAAAAAGCTCACTATTTTCTAAAAAATTTTATACCAAATAACTAAACTTGGAGTTAAGATATCATGACCACTCCTCAAATTTAGAGAGTTGAATCCCCACTCTAAAATGTTAAGGATATACAACCAGATTAACCAAATTAAACAAAATTTTCACAACATTGATATCTCTATTCGTAAACTCAGAGATTGTTCTTCGCTTCTAAACCAACACAAGAATTTCTCCTCGCAATCTATAGTATATATTCATGCGATTGTAATTCTGTATATGTTTACATATGAAGAGCGAAACAAAAACCACAAAAAAGAGGGGGATGAGAAAAAAAAGGAAGATGCAGCAGTGTAGCTTTAATGGCGAACTCAATCGTTAATCAGAATCCCACACGAAGACGAAAAATCAGTGCAATCCATAACCTCCGCCGCCGTTAATTTACAAAAATACTTCCACATCTCTGCTCAAACTGCACCTTCCTCTCCGGAAATCGGCGATGCCTAGTTCGATATCGGATTCGGACCGCTCGGAACTTCGTGAGCCGCCGATTCAAATCGACGATCGTCTCTCCGCCGCCGGAGCGATTTCGATTCCGAGTCCGACCTCTGTTTCCTCGGCGGATTGCTCGAGGAATGTTCGACCAGACGCCTCTGCGGCTCCAAGGAAGCCATGGAAGAGCTGCTCGGCACGGCGGCGGCGGCGGAAAGGAAGAGGAAAAGGAAGATGAAGAGAAGCGTTAGAGATGAAGTTAGGAGAGATTGAGGAGGAGAATGTTGGCGTTTGTGGAATTCAGAGCTTCGCGATCTGGAAATTCTTGTTGCTGCCATGCAAATTCAGGGGAAGATAACGCGTTCTGAAGAATTCGGAAGGTTCAAATAGCCATTGGAGAGAGAAATGGCAAAGTGAAAAGTGAAAAGCGAAGAAGATTTGAAATTCGATACACATTAAATTTTGTCTGAGAAACAAAGCTAACTTGACGTGGGGAGATTGAAAAATGAAAGGTGCTGAAATGGGGGAACGGAACGGACTCGATTAAAATTACCATTAACTCCTCCTGTTCTTCGCCGTCAGTGGTCCTATGATCATCCCCTCCAATGTCTTTTTCTTCTTACAACTTTTATTTTTTCCTTTACGTTTTTTTTAATGATTTATTGACGGCATAATTATAATATATTTTAATAATAAAAAAAACATTTCAAGAAATATAATATTGAAAATCCTTGATTTAAGGACAGAAAATTTGGCAACTCAAGCCTATGTTTTTGCATTTCTCTATCTTAATTGTTAAACACTTAATGGTGGTGAGAACAAGCTTGTTTCCTATGGAGCCAAGTATTTTCTAATATAATAAATGTAGTAATGTGTTGAAATTGTAATTAAAAAATTAGATTAAATATAAAAGTAAAAAAACTAAAATGGTATAGTTTTCAAAGTAAAAAGACAAAAATAAACATTTTTAAAGTATAAAGATTAAAATTAACCAAAGTTTAAAGTACAACACCCAAATAATATTTTAATCAAAATAACAATACTTAGCTGTTGACTTGCCATCCCTCACTTACCTCATTACCATTAAAATTTAGATAAATAGGAGAGAAAAATATATAAAAAGAGATTATTTTTTATTTTTCATTTTTCAAAACATCAATTAGCTGTCAAATATCGTTTGTACAAACGGTAGGGTTGGATTACCAATTTAGTACCTATGGTATGTGCATAGAGTTTCAATTGGTCCTATGATTGGTCCTATAACTTTAGTCTAGTTTCAAATCAGGCATATTTGAATGTTTCAATTTGATTATTTTAAAATGGTCAAGCTTCACAGATCATCTTCTGTTTGTTATGATGACGAGTCATTGTCATATTGTATACACGTCTTTATTTATTTAACAATGAACTAATATTTTAAATTTGGTTGATTTTGTTAGCTGAATATATTATGATTTAAGAAAAAATGTGGGTTTTTTAGCAGATAAAAAAGTGTTTAAAAATTATTTGTGAACCAAATTATAGATTATAGATATTAAATTGAACCAAATTGTAATTAGGTATATAAAATAAATATTATTAATATTGAATAAGTAATTACAACCATTACCTATCACTTATGTATGTATTGCATGCATGTTGCAATTGAAAACTTAATAGATTTGGACATATGGGCTTGATTTTGTTGATTCACTTGATCAAACTATGGACAAGTTTGGTTTTATATGTAAAATAGCGACTGCGTGTTCAAATTTTGAACCATCGAACCGAGCATATATAATTCAATGTTCAAAACCTCATCATTATAATTATTTTAAAAATTATAAATTACAAGGTATATTTTGCCTATTTATATGGGTCCAAAGAGGAAAAAAAAATGAACTTCATTGAAACCTAACTTCATTAAAACTATAAGCGAATTAGTTGATATCATAAACTAAGATAAATCATGATGCACCCATGACAAAACATTGAATTTTGAACCTACTTTTGACTTTTCCCTTAAAAACATTGCATTTTCCATGTGAGATTTGTGTCAATAGCTAAAAAAAGAAACACCTACAATTCATAAATAGACAGATAATAATATTTACTCAAAAAAGTATAGACAATAAATAAATATTATACACATCAATTTTCCAATTTTGTTTATAAATTGAAGCGAACTAACACACAAAAAAGAAAGAAGAAGAAAGCAGTAAATAAACTCATCTTCGATGAGGCTTAAATCCCTAAATTCGGAATTCGATAGCATCGTGTATGTACCTCTTCCAGTCAAATGTTAATTTAAACATAGTTCAATTACTTAACTCTTTTTACTTTAGATTTTGATTTATTTTGGGCACTGTATTTTTCTATAATACTTTAACGTTCGTTTTAATCCACGTACTAAAAAACAACGACCATTTTAGTCACTTCATCTTTATTTTTATCTCATTTATTTCGATCAAAATTTTATTTCCTGACACTTTATACTCACTAAATTTCTTGAAATGTAACAATAAATTTGTATTAAATAGTTTTCATTGTGTATAAATTTTGTGTTATAGTTTGTAAATAATAATCAAAATGACCATTTTTTAAAGTACAACCGAAACAAATGTTCTGAGAGTATAATAAATAAGACGTTACATTTATGTTGCAGTTATATGTTTGACTTTTTTTTTTAAGAATATTATAATCCAGATAATGGGCGGGAATTAAACTAGCAATTTACCAAAAATATAAATTAATATCTTTATGTGATTGGCCCTTTCTCTAAAGCTTAAAAAAAAGAAAAAGAAGTTTAAGTCCAATTCCCTTTGTCGGGTGGGAAAGATAAGAAAGATGAGCATTTTAATTTAATTTGTAACTAAGGAATCGAATTGACAAAGCACGTAACGTAGAATATGAATTTTCCAGCCATACATTATAATAATATTCACATCTGACAGTTTTCTTTTCACATATGATATTATATCTGTTTATTCTTTCCCCACTTGGACACCAGCATATATGCCAATCAACACAAATTTACTTTTATAACACATTATTTTTAATTACTTTACAATTACATAACGACTCTTCGAAAAGGAAAAATAAAGGGGGATTAATCTGAACTTAGATTTGATTGAATTAGGTTATAAATTTACTTTAATTGATGTGTGCTGTGGTGGGCTTGAATAAGTTGAATTGGTTTTTTTTTCTTTAATTAAAAGGAATTCCGCTAAGAAAGAAACACCACATGGACTATAGATGAAAAATCTTCCTAGACGACAAACGAGAAGGAAACTGAACAAAAATTATTCAAATACTCTATAATGTCTTGAACCCCATTGCATTCTTGAACAAATGACTTGCATTGTTTGGTAATTAATGAAATTCAAGATATGAAGGGGATTTGATTCAACTCTAACTCTTAAAAGGTACATTTCGAGCGTTAATTTGAGACCTCGTAAAATAGATTGAAGTTCTGTTAGAAGTGGAGAGAATTGTAACTTAATCATATTTTTCAGCCACCATCATGAATGAGTCGAATTTGGTTCATGAATTGATTTTAAATTAATTTTAATTGAAATAAATGATCTCTAGGATATTAATTAGGAATCTATGAAAAAGTATTTTAAACCCGTCTTTTGTTTTAAAAAAATTTGTAAAAATATGTAAATTGATGTTCAAATAACATTATTTTAGTTATTCTATGATTTGTTGAGTCTCAGTGATTACGTAATTAAAAGTTCATAACAATCCGAACAACTAAATTATGTGGAAATAAATTTTTAACTTGATTCAATTTAATTCTTATAATTAAATAATTACAAGATAAATATTTTTGCACGGCTTGGTTATTTCCACTGGTTGGAACTTAACATAGACTTTGAATGTATGGTTTATGAAAATACAACAAAATAATAAAAAAAAGTTTAAGGCTAGATTACATAAAACATCCCTAATCTTCTCATTTATCTAAAAAATATTCTTTTATCATTTTTAAAAGTTGTAATACTATCCTTATATTTTATAAATGTTTTAAAAATATCTTTTAAATAAATATCAGTTAATATGTTTAACACAAGTTGATAGGACATAATACAATGTAGCAGTTAACATCTTGACCTTATCTTAAAAGTTCTATTCCTCCTAAGTGGGGTTTGTTTTTCCATTATCTATCAAAATTTGTTCTAATACATTCTAAAAATGATAGCTTCATCCATATTTCTTTTTTTAGATTTAATGCGCACAAGCTTTCATATTAATTACCGTGTCGTTCTAAATCTGCCACGTCAACTTTTCTTTTAAAATATTAACGAATGTTTTATCAAATGATATTTTTGAAAAATTTATGTAATGTCAATTGGAACTCTTGAAATGATAAAAGGTATTTTGAAATAAATGATAAATTTTAAAAATATTTTTTGTAATTTAGCATAAAAGTGAAGACCAAATAATTATTTCATAAATGTCCTTAGCAGCCGATTCAAGAAATTGAGAAATTCTAATCAAATTAAATATGATTTTTTTTAGTTCACTTAAATATGATTGAAATATATAATAAAAATTTAAATAGTGTAGATGTCAATTCGGCAAAATATAACTCTAGTTAGTTAAGGTCCTAAAATCTTTGTTGTAAAAGAAAACATTGTCAACTTAGTTTGATGTCAGTTGATTGGATTGAATTTATACTAATTCAATTAAAAATCCGTTTTGTCAAACTTTATTATCTTAAACTTAGACCATAAATGTATAAAAAAAAAAAATCTTAAACCATAGATTAAATATTAACTTACGCCTGTCTACTTCAATATTACCTACTACTTTTAATTGGAAAAGTAAAACTCTATTAAATTTCTTTCAAAGGGAACAAGTTAGTTCAGCGGTCAAAACGCTGCGTCTTACAAATTCGCCAATTTTGAAAATTATATATATTTGTTGCGCGTTCATAGACGAACTTTCCACGTCATCACACTGTTTGTTGAAACTTTTTTTTTTTGGTTTTTTTGTTTGCTTGTTTGTTGTTGAAACTACTTCAGAGGAAAACAAGAAATATAAATAAATAAATAAATATTTAATTTTCGAGAAAGAAACAATAGCGTGGCATTTCCGTAATTTTTGATGAAATCAAAGGGTAGCTACAACTAACTCAGAAACACAGACATGCCAACTTTTCGAGCTTCCTCTTGAAGCGAAGCGGAGCCTTCTTTTTCTCTCCATTTTTTCGTTTCTCCCCTCTTCCTCTGGTTCGATTTAGGGCAAAATCCATCGTTTTCCATGGGGCAGCAAACCTTGATCTATAGCTTCGTTGCGCGTGGGACTGTGATTCTCGCTGAGTATACGGAATTCACCGGAAATTTCACCAGTATAGCCTCCCAGTGCCTCCAGAAGCTTCCTGCCACCAACAACAAGTTCACTTACAACTGCGATGGCCATACCTTCAACTATCTCGTCGATAATGGATTCAGTAACTTTCTCTATCTCCGTTCATTTCTTTTGTCGATAGCATCCTTGTTCTGTTCCTACGCTTTTCGTGGCTGTCGTCTTTGATTGTTTATTTTCTATCGAAATTGTTGTGTATTTCTATGCGATTATTTCTGAATCTCTTGTTTAGTTTTAACATGTTTTCATATTGATATTTGCGTCAGATGCGATTCTTTTCTTTTCTGTTAAATCGCTTCTTTGTTGTCTACGTGAACATTGGAAATTATAGGAAACTACTATCATAAAGAATCGCTTTGTAATGAACTGATGAGAAAAGTAATGGAGCTTTCGGGCCTATGATTATCATTCCAGTTTGAAAGATATTACGTACTTGAAAAGCGCGATCGTGAGAATTCCTTTCTTTAGATATGCCACAGCTCGACATTATTCCGCATGAGTACCGTTTTAGAAACCGGTTTTTGAAGATTTCTTCGTTTTTATTCTTTGGAAGTTGTTTGTGCGAAACCATTATTGCAGATGTGGTATCCGAGAACTCTGTCAGTCATCGTATCAATATTTTGAAACTGTAACCTCTGTATATGACGACAACAAATCTCTTTACACTTAAGTCAGTTTTGATGTTCTTTTCTCGCATCACAGCTCTGTAAAATTAGCATTCTCCTGTTTTGTTAATTACTCACTCTCCTCCATGGCTCCACCTGTAAGTTATTATCTGAGTTTTGTGATTGACATTGTATTGTCCTGGGGATGTTTCTCATCTCAGTTCATTTTAATGGTTTCTGAGTTGTGTTGATCACTGCCTTTATTATCATAGTTTGAGGTTTAGTCAAGACCTTTGGTTCAGGATAATTGAAGAAATAATTGACAACCAAAGGTTATCTACTTATGGATATCGCAGAAAAAACGTACAATGCAATGAAGCTGTACTATCTAATCCATAAAGTTTATACATGCGTGCTTCCATGAGAATGACTATTCTTCAAATTTCTGAGCGACTGAATTTGGATCCTAGTGATGTCTTTGTTTTTGCTCATGCCCCATACTGCTCTACACATACATACATAAGCAAGTCTAATTAATTCCATCTCTTTTATGTTGCAGCTTATTGTGTGGTTGCAGTTGAGGCGGCTGGCCGACAGATCCCCATTGCATTCCTTGAACGGGTCAATGAGGATTTTGCGAAGAGATATGGAGGTGGAAAGGCTATGACAGCAACTGCGAATAGCCTGAACAAAGAATTTGGGTACATTGTTGCTTCTGCAATTATTGGATGAATGCCCCTTTATCTCTTATCCAGAGTTAGATATAAAAATAAATGAACGTGCCATTATCTGTTCAATGATGTTACATATATTCTAATAACTTCATATTTTTTATATAGATCCAAACTGAAGGAGCATATGCAGTACTGTGTGGATCACCCAGAGGAGATTAGTAAGATTGCCAAAGTTAAAGCGCAGGTTTCTGAAGTCAAAGGAGTAATGATGGAAAACATTGAGAAGGTAAAAGAAGTTTTCTTACCTACCCCCTAGCGTCTACCACATACAGCCATTACTTTCCGCCTTTCCTTTCAATCTCCAATTTTAGGAAAACGCCTTGTTCAAATTCTAAATTAGAATTATTATTTTGCTAATAACATTTGATCTGATCTAATCGTATACTTTATCTTATTTTGTTGTATCTGTAAATATTGGTCTGCTCACTAATTGTTCTCTGAACAGGTTCTTGATCGTGGAGAGAAGATTGAGCTTCTGGTTGATAAGACAGAAAACCTTCGATCTCAGGTGATCGTCAGAAGGAACCTTTTTCTTTTCCTGCCTTAATTATGACTGGTGATCTGAAAATGAATTTGCATGGGTATACATGTTATATAGTTCGAGGAAATTTACTTCATGATAGACTGGTTGGATCACTTGTTTGACTCAATACTGCCACGAACTGTGGGAATCTTTTATCTGTTTCTAAGACGTATATCTTCAAAAGGACATGGGGTTTAAAACTTATGACTGGGGAGCAACCTCAAAGACCATCTGATTTCTTTTTTCAATTGTTAATATTTTAGCTTATTCGTATCAGAGTATTGTCTGTTGACCTCGCGGGGTCTACATTCTCTCTCTTTAACAAGGATCAGAATGATACTCCCAAGTAACTTGAATTAGGAGAAAATGGTCATAAAAGCGGTAGATTATGTTTACAGAACAGGAAATACAAAATCTTACCATGAATTAATACAGAATTTTACTGACATATGATACCTGCGATTCTGCAGGCGCAAGATTTTAGACAGCAAGGAACCAAAATGAGGAGAAAGATGTGGTATCAGAACATGAAGATAAAGCTGATAGTTCTTGCGATCGTAATTGCTTTGATTCTGATAATCATTTTATCTATTTGTGGCGGCTTTAAATGTTGATGGGATCCTCTTTGCAGCATTAGGATTTTGGTGATGGATCAGTATTGATCAGACAATTTTATTCATGCTTGTTTATTGTACAAATCGTTCGTTTCCATGTTCCACTTACCCTTACGTAACTAAGGACCTTGTTTTGTATAGTTTGTGCGGTTTATATTCTTTTGACACTTTGAATGGAAATATATTTGTTTGCCAAATAATACACACGTGGTTGTGAATAACGCATTGATTGTGCACATTTTTGGTTCTATTATATGCGAGCTTTTTCGACCTCATTTTTGCATTTTGATCTTCCGGAATGTGGTCTACATTATATTTGGAAATTTTACAGGTTTACCCTATTATATGATCAGATTCGAGTGAAATTTCAGCCTTTTAAAATTCAAGGCTCGATTAGGCCCAATCAATCAACCACTTACGATGACTTTGCTCTTACTAATATTGGCGCCTCACTTGTGGCGAGTGACAAACCTCCAAACCCCATATCCTAGCCATTGTTTTTGTAAGACGAATTCAAATTTGGGGAATACTGCTTTCTTCGGTATCATTTAATATATGCGAGGTCTAGTTACATTAAAAATTTATTTTAAAAAAAAAGTTATGATATGAAGAGAGTGATACTAAAAAAAAATTATCCCAATCTCAGATTCTTAAATATGTTTTTACACTATTCAGAAACATAAGTTACCTTCTCTTTTTCACTCACCAATCTCACAAACTTTCATTTAAATGCATTCAATTGATTCCAGCTGCTCATGGCTAGCTCATAAATTTTTGAAGAAGAGTTATGAAGTCAAAACTAAATGTAAAATAGAAAAGTAAGCTCAAGTTTATGAACTTGTACTTGATTCGCGTGGTTATAATTTTAAAAAATTAGCATGGAGATTTCATGAATCTAAATTTATATCATACGTCTATGTAATCTATAAAATTAACAAATCGCAACCAAATATCGTTTATAATCTTACCTCATTCAAACATGTTTTTGAACATACTTAATTGGTGTTAAGAAGGAAGCTAGTGTCTAAATCAGGGACTCAAATGATATAAATCATGAAACATTTCCTTATTCTTTTCATTTAGCGTTGAGATTGAATTCAATCAGTATATTGAGACA